GGGGGGGGGGTGTAAGATGAGTTGCCAGTTCGTGAATGGCGAAAGGTTGGATTCAAGCAGCCTCTTCATCTCCGCCTGAATTCGATTGACTGCTGCTTTCGGTGGGGATCAGGTGTCTCGAAGGGAACACTGGCGCCGTTTCCTTCCACAAGACACGTTGTCGCTATGACCGGGGGGTTCAGGTTTGTGGAACGTCCGCAACATCAGCTTCCAGGGATCTGTTCTGACAATTATGAAGCCCTCGGCCTGCCCAAAGAACTAGAGAGAATTATGGATGAGAGAAATGTTCTCGTAGCGGAGACATGAAAGATGATTAGCGAGCGAGAGCTAGATTCCTTGCCTTGACGAGATGGATGTTTGCTCGATCGATGGACAAACAAGTCGTATGTAACATGCAACGTACAAACAAAAGAAAAAAAATTAAAGGAGGCGAAGAGGAACGAGGCTCGGAGGCTCGTGCACTACCGGCTGGTCACGTGCAGCTCCGCCTTTGACCTCCTTCTCTCTCGAACACAACGCCTCTCCTCCAGACACTACGGTTCCAGGCCCATCTGCACCAAGCCGATACATCACTGCTCCGTGCCTTACAGGTCCCTCTTATCTTCACGGACGAGTATACCTCATCCTCCGGGCATCGAACGACTGACCCGTGTCGGCGTTTTCCGCAGGGAAGAGAAGTACCAACCACATCAACTACCCACCTCCCACCAATCCTGACCATGCCGAACCGGACACGAAATCTGCAACTTTTTTTATTTCAGGGCGGATTTCCCAGGCTCCGTGCCTTTGCAGCTCGGTCTAGCCACCCCACGTTTGCTTCATCTCCAACCACTGGTTGAGTCAGAGAGACAGCTATGTCTCTAGGAATAGAGACATACTTGAAGTCTTGACCATTCTTTATCTCGGGTATTCCCTCCTAACCGAGATCACCAGACGAGCCAGCCTGATCAGTTTCGTCCGAACTCCACCTCCCACGCCTCAACAGTCCATCTCCCAATCTGGTCAAGGTTTTAGCGTTATCACGCTGCCACTGAACAACAGTCCCAATATGCCAATTATTCATTGGCAGGGAATGACCCATCCTCTTCGTCAAAGATCGCCACGTGGACGGATACAGTATCATCTGAAGAGTCCCGTCATATGAGGACGGGACAGTCCATCCTGGGCTAACTTTTTCCCTTGGTACAGACTGGCGACCCCCTTCTTCCTCGCATCAAGACTGCCGTCTAAGATCGCATCTCCTGGATCTCAGGCCGTCATCACGGGTCAGATCCTGTCTCTGCCTGATCCTAATATATGTTTTGTTTTCTATAATCCTTTCCAGACTACCTCGCTCTCGCTCAACTGTGGAGCAAGAGTCATGATAGAACAGCATCCTGCCAGTCCTGAATCAACCTTGGGAACCCCCTCTTGCTGTTGATGATGATCACAAATCGGAAGTGGAGCCGCCCCTCCAAGTATTTATGGATACCCAAAAAACACACTCCAAACGGACGTGATGTTTCACCACCTCATAGGACGCCTCAATTACGGTCTGGGCAACCTCGTCTTGTACTCCCTTGAGTGAAGCCAGCAAGGATTTAGTGGCAGGACTCGTTCAGATGCTTTTCTATTGGCGTTTTGTCACATCCGAATATTCAAGCCTCATGCTCACGCAGACCTCAGCGGCTTTTCCAAAGCCCCCGGAAAACCCTCTCAGCTGACACGGATGGTGAATTCTCGGGCACCGATCTGCCTGGAGACGCTAAAATAAAGGGGAGTATCATTGGTAAATTTCGCTAGTCATGTCCAATGAGATCGTACGTGTACATGACGAGCGGTCGATATTGTTGCCACAAATTTCATTCTTTCCACAACATACACGAAAGGAATCGTGCGCATGGGTTGATGACGACGACGAAAGTGATTTGCTCTGGCAGAAACATAAAAGCATCACTGAGAAACAAAAGTCTTTGGAGAAGATGAGTTCAGCCCTGTGCATCCAAACGCGACTGGTATGACTCTCTGGGGCGGTGTACGCTTGGCCCCGCCCCAGTCTAGAGGTGCATGGAATCTTGCAATGCGTGCAGCAATGCTTGCATCTTCTGCACCATTGCCCTGAACACGCTGGCAACATACCTGGAGCATGGTCAACCAAGAGAACCTCGTAGCTGGGTAAAAGTCTTTCACATGAGGGAGGCACGCTCATTTTCTAAGGAGAGATTCGCGACCGCTTGTGGATCTTGACCTCCTGGGTGAAGTGGTGCTATATTCATCCGGTCGCAGTCTTCTGCCACATCGGTACGTTCAACTCTGGTACAAACTCTACGCGGACTGAGCCGTTTCTGTAGTCTAACTTCGCCTCAGCCGGATGTGGGTGTCCAGCTGCTGGTGGTCCGTATTCCCCTCCCCCAGGAGAGGTATATGTCGTACACCGGGAGGGCAACGGGTTGAAAAAGAATTTGAACACAAACACTGCCTGCAAACATTCCCTCCACAATCATCCTCCGACCAATCTCGTTGCACGTCTCAACGTCCATTCTATCGTTTCCCTTGACGAGTCCAACTTTAAAGGTAAGAACACGGTTGCACCAAGTTGTGCAAAGGACATCCGGTGGAACCCCCGGGGTGGGAATGTGGTGGAATATGACATTCGCAGTTCAGCCCAGCGGCAGGGAGAGACAGACAGCACAAGTTGGTTTTGACGCATGTGCAAATCTTTCAACAATCCTCGATATGACACCTATCAAACTGAATGCTGTGCCAGTCGTGATGGTCATGATTGGCTTGTCTGCCCGCCCTTTGATTCAGCACCCAAGTCGACGTCCACGGTATTGTACCTTCCTACGATAATCACAGGCACGCCCCGTGTTCCCTTCGTTTGCTGACCCAAACACATTCTTATTGCAGTTTGGCTACGAAATATTCAGCAAAGCATCTCCTTTCAAGAAAACTTGAGAATCTTTTTGCCTGATTTCTCTTTCCGTCCAAACCCACAAGGATGGCCCGTCATGACCTGAGTGCCACCAACATTCAAATACAGCGCTTCGCGTCCGGATTTCCGACCAGATCTCCGGAGCCGAACAGCGCCACGTCGGGTCTTCAAGCATATGATGCTACCTGGCTTTTGACTCCTTCAACCCCTTAACTCCTTGAACATGAAACCTCAATTCTAACCCCACATACCAATTTCCGTCCCGATCCCCTGTTTCAATGCCTCCTTTCTCTTTTTCCGTTGCCCGTTTCTGAAAGCGCCGTGACCTGGCGCCGGGATGAAGGGGCCACGGCATGGTGAGGCTCAGCCAACCACCCCTACGACACCGCCAGTTCACACCGCGAGGGTCAACCACCGAGATATTCGAGTTGAATGTTGGTGAGCTTGGAGCAGACACGATTACGATTAAAATTCATAAATGCGATCTCTGTGTGATACTATTGATGAATCGAGAGGTGTTCTACAATGGTATTGCTTCACATGTTCTGCTGGTGGGTTTTACCAGTCATTCTGCCGTCAATATGTCACCGGTCAGGAGCGAGTTTAGAGATCACATCCGTTAAGAGGTGCTGCTCGAGGCTCCTGTTCAGACCCGATGCCATGGCCGCACCTTCACAACGACCCCAAATGACGATCTGGACATTCCTGCTCTTTCGATCTAGCTCGTGACCAGCGTCGTGGCCGTTTTCGAGTTGTACGCCTGTGCAGATGTTGGGTGAACGTTCATTTACCCAAATTCCCTTGAGCGTCGTATTGTATGAGACATTGGAGAATAGCATCGGATGTCTGTCCAAGCCATTGAGTCGATCTGGTTTGAGCACGATGATCCGCTCAGCAGATGTCAGATCCCCCCGGTTGTAACGCGAAACCTGGTGGCCGTCATCCGCCATCGACACATATATCTTGGTCCGATCTCGAATGAGGTCTTGTGCCTGGCGACGATTGCGCATAGTGTCGCCACGGCCGTACATAAGTCAGGATAATCCTACGATCACTGGTTAGGACGAACCCTGACTCAGCTTCGATTTCAATAGCACCCTGTATCATAGCTTTGATAATATCGGGCTTATGGGACTGGTCAGCATCAGACCGAAAATTTCAACCGTCCAAGTTAGTATATATTGACGCGTTTATTTCACACAGGGCGCTCTGGCCGAGGAGAGAGCGGCTTTCGAAATTCTGATCGTGGATTGTATCTGAATATCTGGTAAGTATCAGTATAATGAGAACAACGCCGACCGCGGCCAACCATAGCGGTGGATTCCCACGTAGAGACGCAGTACACTGCAATTGAACCGCAGCGTATTTATATGCCATATTATAAGGTGCCCGCGCACCGATTTTTCTTGTCATGTTATATTTTCGTCCAAGTCTCTTTCAACTCATTCGCAATACTGGCCGTTGGATAAGCAAACTCCCTCTGTATTGAATCCAACAGCGCCAATAAGGCCGTCTGCTCACGCCGATCTGTAAAAAGCTCTCCACACATGGCAATCGCAACGAATGCGTTGATTGAATTTGGCGGACTCCGCCAATTACTCACGGCAATGCCGCAAAGATGCAGCACGATGTAGCGTAATAATCTATCCCGTTCTCGCATCGCGGCGACGTTTCCGATGCCTAGTCTCGGTAAGAAAGGGTCGAAGACGGTGAGAAGGATGCGGGCTAGGTCCATGTGCGCAATCCCTGTCGCGTGCCAGGACTCTTGATACCAAACGTCGGGAAAGCATTCGCCGGCCTCGAGGTTGGACGCGCTATAGTAGGTGGGTTCGAATGAAGAGGGCATCGTGGCGCAAATGGCGGTGTCGCGCTCTTGCAGCCGGCGCCAGTGGTCGACATCTGCGTACAACGGTGGTGTTTTGGTATTGCCGCTATCGCTGCTTCCGTAGCAGAGGTTGAGGACGTCGGCACAAAAGACCACCATGCGCATGGCCCAGATGTGGTCTTCGCACGGGGAAAGCTCGCGGAGGCCTCCGCAGCGAGAAAGGGGCAGGATGATGGGTCGTTGCTTAATGAATGATGCGTACACTTCTTGCCGGCAGGCGACCCAGAAGCAGGCTTGACGGAGAGGGTTGGCTTGGCTTGTGGTTCGAGGAATACTACTATCAGTGATTCGATCGTATGGAGGCATCCACGCTGGAGACGGGGCTATCAGTTCAGAGCCCGGTGCCGTGGGCGTGTATGCGGTCTGTGGGCCTGGGCCTCGTTCCGAGGCGGCACGTATCGCATCGCGGGAAAAGCTATGAAAGACAGTAATGGGAGATTGATGTAGGAAGGGCGCAATACTCGGCACTTGTGCATTGATGTAAGCGTATATCAAGCTGAGAAACACCTGGCCACCGCCGCTATCGTCGTCCTCACGACAGAGAACGTCCATCTCTTCATCGGTTCGAAGAATGATCGCCGCCGCAAGGAGATTTTCATTATGGACTTGGTCCGGATCCATGCTCAATTGGAGGAGTTCACGAATACATTCGTTGTGGAAGTGGACGGCTTTTTCCTCATTCAGCTCAGGGAGGACATTCCCCTGCCAGAACACGATCCCTGAATCGTCTCTATGCATACTAGAGCGGACCAAGTGTCTTGCTGAGACGGTGAAGATGGCGTTCATCAGGGGGCGGGAGTTTCGTGCTCGAAGAGGAACTACTGTCGCGAAATGTCGGAGTGGGTCGCACAGGTCAAACCAATGTGCGAGATGCTCTGTATAATAGCGGACCAGGATTGCTTTGAGGCGCGGCTCCACCCCACTGGGATCGGCGAGGACAGGCTGTTTGATCAGAGGACGGAATTGGATCCTGGAGTTTGGAAGGCGATCCGCGTTTGCAGTCGTGCTGAAGGAAAGCGAATGAATCCCGTGCCCTGAGGGTGGTTGCAGCCGTGGGAACACATTCGCGTATGTGGTTCGCGAAGGCATCTCATCACTATGCAGAAGGTCCACGTGAGCCTTGGATGTGCTTGCTGGATCCATAAGAGCAGGTGACGGAGTGTGTGCGCCAGCCATTGCTCTGAGTTTCTCTCGTCAGCTTCATTGCTTTTAGATCATCTCCCGTTCACGTACGTGTCGAGTCCAACAGGGAAAGGAGCAGATGTCGTGTAGTTCGGGAGGTCTCCTTCCGTCAATGGCGCATCTTTACCGGGCCTTATAATATCTGATCGTGGCTCTTCAATAGGGGCTGCATCACCGTCGTCGTCACCGTCGTTGTCGGTATCACTGTTGGCATCGTTGTCGCTCTCGTTCCTAGGGGCTATTTTTAGACGCTGATCTTGCGGCTTAAGGTCTCGGTTGTGAATGGCGACCATATCAGTAGTTTCATCAACGTAGACCAACGACCCTGTTTACCGAATCAGAGAAGATATCCAGGTTGGGCCACAGAAATGTGGACGGAGCACGCACTCACGAGGGAATCCCGATATCTTTAGCCACGGCTGATTTGAGGCGAAGGTCCACGGTGTCGACGACGTTCGAAATCGCATCGACTGCTTGTCACGGACACACTCTCGGCCAATCCGTTGACAACGTCGACAAGCTTCGTCGTCGTCGATGACGAGGCCTACTTCTATTTTAGAAAGAGAAACAAACGAACTTTCCCAAATTGACAATACATTTGACGTGTTGTTCTGTAAGGCGCCTTTAGCATTGCCATGGCCTGAGGTCAACCTGTGGAGGGACTTATCTACAGTTGGTACATGGATTCCTCTCCGATCTCTTGCGTCTCCAATCTGATCGGTGAGACGATTCGGATGGACATTCATCATTCATGATATAAGGTGCGGTCTGAGAACTGGAGGAATGAAGACAATGCCATGACATGTCAATTATCAGCCGCAGTTGCCAAGAGCCGCGAAGAGAATAGTGCGAAGAAATATCTTTTTGGCGCCATCTTTTTGGTTTCTCGCAGGTCGTCGAATTGCTGGCTTGGACGTGGATAGTCTTTGCAAATATGCATTACACGGGCCATCGATAAACATTTTACGACCGAGGGCGTCAGAATTTCATACCAGAGGACAGGTGATGATGAGATGGCTTCTCCTCGCCTTATCCAAGGGCGGAGGTATTAGTCAATCGCCTGCTTCTTCCCATTCTCAGTCTTCCGCGCTGATATGATAATAGAATAACCTCTCTCGGGTGCTGGATCAGCTCTCAAGCATGAATCACGAAAAGCATACAGAGCACGATGACGTTATGTCTGGACAGAAGTGGAAAAGAAGACGTGCTGGAGGAGGCAGGGGATCTGGCCCCCAACTGCCCTATGGATTGGTGTCATTCGACGACGTGCAAGTAGATCTCTCACCTCCACAAGTCTTTGAAACCCAGAGCCCCACCGTGGTTACGAAAAAGGTTTCATTGTCTTGTCCTTTGGTCCAATACATCCGAATTGGGCCGTCAAAAGCACCACGAAGTGGTGAAAATGGGTACAGAGATAGGGACCCTGTTCACACCCTGGTCTCACTTGAAGCGGATCATAAACCGATGGAACTCCACGCAACTGCTTCCTTGCTGGCTGGACGCGGATACGTGATACAATAGGATTCGTATATTTCATGGCCATTGTCCACCATTCAGGGGCGCTCAGGCCCTGACTCGTTCAGCCCATGTTGTGCAGTACCCCTGCTCATGTTATCGACCTAGCGGCAACACTCTTCGGTCAGGCCACGGTTTGGCTCCCTCTTGCCTCTCATCAGGCTTCTCCCCAAAATGATCTACGATACAGTAAGTCCTCCATATTTGTTTTATCCACAAGGACAAGACACGCAGCATGCCCACCAACCTCAACACTGCCCTTGTATGCAACAGCGACCACTCCATGAGCAATGAAGGCGATCTACCACAGCAAAGCATGCCGGGTCCATATCCGTACCCAGGGCCAGGTGTTCAAGGACCATCTTAAAGAAAAACATACAGTGACCAATATCGCCTCTCTTCAGTAATAGTGAGGAAATATCAACTCCTTGAAAGAGTGACGCCCGCGACCATAAAGCTCCCCACCATCGCATGTTATCTCTTTCATCACGGCCCGAACCGTGTGATTATGGCTCATGTGTCTTCCCAAGCATTCAGTTGGCTCCTCTCAAGTATATACCAAAACCGACCACCAAAGACCCAATCCGCACGACATCCCTCATCTGACCTGACTGACCAACACGTAATCAGCTACTTTTCGGCATATTTTCTATACGGCATGGGAAGAAGATAAACCCGGAGCGTTATGACCCGGGGGCTATATCCTTGTGGGTTTCAATCAAGGCGATCTCGCAACAGCGGCAGTTGGGATAACCACAATACGACTTGAAATTCAATCAATGAAACTTGAAGAAAAAAAATACACGTTCAAGGGTCGCAGTATATCAATGTTTGAATTGAACCATCTCGTTTGCCGATTGGCTTTGCCGGTACTAGTATTCAAGTTCTCGAAACGGCTTGGCGTTAGAGCTTCAGCGCAGAAGCCTATACGGATGAATAGGTACAGTTCGCGGAATTCATGGTTCAAAGTCATACGCGTCGCAATCGGAAACTGTTTCAAAGTCGTTTCGGACGATCATACATTTCTAAGCCTGAACAACCCAAGTGATTCGATATCTTAGTATATTTGATGACACAGGAAGTATCTCTGTCAAGATTCAATCTGATGTCTCTCTGGTGTGAAGCTGGTCTTCGACGGTTTCGTTCCTTTTCCGGTCCTTCTCTGTTTTTGGATATTCGAGTGATTTTTGAATTCATACAGCGCTTTGATCCAAGGTTTAAAAAATGCCTTTGGGAGTTCTTCAAGATTATACGTTGGCCAATGTGCCCGGTACCGCGGTCTTAACAGATACAGGCGAGCCTACAAATCAAGGGACGTTTGACCTATTTCCTTCCACCATGCATCAGTTGGGCTGACTTGACAGGAGAAGCAGGAGATGGAAGTGGAACAAAGAAAGTGGGAGACATCACATTGGTCCCTCAACCTAGCGACAGCATCAACGATCCTCTGAATTGGTTGGTCCCATTATCCAAAATATGCAATGATGACATTGGTAACTGAAGCCAGGTCGCCTTGGAAGAAGAATGTCCTCATCTTCTTGGTGGCATTGACCTCCGGCGTGACCGTTGCGTACGTACATCCCTTCCCCAGGCACTTCTTTCAGAGTGATATCCTAATAGTATTGGACGCACAGCCTAGGCCCGATGATTACTCCCGGCCTACCCATACTGGCACAGGAATTTCAGAAGAGCCCTGATGTGATTTCAACCTATCTGGTTGGCCTTTTCATTCTTTGGACCGGCATCTTTACGTTCTTTACCTCTGCAGCTGCTTCCGTCTGGGGGAAGCGGGTTATATATTTGACCTCTGGCGCCGCTTTGCTTGCCCTGAACGCATGGGGCTTTTTCGTCAAGGTGACACTCTCCCCACTCACTCCTTTCTAATTTTCTATTAGTTGCTGACTGAATTTGTGCTTAGTCGTTTGTGGAATTTGTTGCGATGCGACTCCTACAAGGGTTCGCCTCGGCACCCTATGAGACGCTCGTGACCTCCACCGTTCAAGATATATTCTTCGTGCATGAACGTGGGAAGAAACTTGCAATATGGGGGTTCATGATCACGACGGGGGTCCTCCTTGGGTATAGAGAGATGTATTCCCTTTTGGGCAGCTTAATCGAGCTAACTGATCGTTTGCAGTCAAGTCATTTCAGGCTATATAATTGAGAATCTTGGTGTCAAGTATACTTTCGGTATCTGCGCCTTGATCTACATTCCCCTTTTGATTGCCACTTTTTTCTTTGTCCCCGAGACCGTGTACGACCGTCGTGTCCGGAGCAAGGACATCGACCTCGACGGGGACAACAAATCCTCCGTCCGAATAGACGTCTCGAGTGACTTTCAGAAACCCCCGGTCTCTGCTTTGGCAGTATTCCGCGGTCGGGTTTCGAATCAAAGTTTCTGGAAACAGGTTGTCAAGCCATTCCCGCTCTTCATTTACCCGGCAGTGATTTTTGGAGGCTTTATCTATGGAAGCTTTTTCACCTGGCTGGTTGTCCTAGGGGTTGTATCTGTGCCGATGTTCTCAGCACCACCATACAACCTGACTCCTTCTCAAGTGGGGCTGACCAACCTTCCACTACTCTTCACCGGTCTTGTCGGAGCCCCAATCTCAGGCTGGATGGCTGACAAGGTTGTTCGCTCCATGGCGAAGCGGAATAGGGGGATATACGAGCCGGAATTCCGTCTCACCCTGATGATTATTGGAGCTCTCCTCTCCACCGCGGGTTTCATTGGGCTAGGCAGTTCTGTTGACATGGGTGCACCGATTGCATGGCCCCTAGGTTTTGCAGCCTTTCACTCACTGGCGATTCCGTTCTCCACCCAGGCCGCTTACACTTATGTGGTTGATTGCCACCCCGACGACGCCAACCAAGCTTTCGTCACAATCGGACTGGCGAAGGGAGTCTTGACCTTTGTGGCCACCACGTTTGTGAGTGGTTGGTTCGAAGCTCAAGGCGCCAAGAAGTTCTTTTGGACAATTGGTGCTATTAATTTCGGGGTGTGCACACTCACGATTCCTATGTACATCTTTGGGAAGAGATTTCGGGCTTTGGTAAGTTTTATTGACGATAGACACCGTATCAACACTGACCAGTCAAAGGTCGCCCGCAAAATCGGAAGCAGTATCTCGGGTTAGGCCGGGGAAGGGGGACCCCCTCGTATACGGTGTTTGACAGTGCTGATGCAAGACAACGTGTTCGGAGAAATTCGAGACGAAGTAGACGCCTCGTTCACTAGGCTCGATCACGGTCACTGAGAATCCGACTGCACGGAGGCGTCTTTGAATCTGGCGCCAATCCTCTTCAACAGAGGCCGTGTGGATGAGAGGGGAAGACATCGCATTGGGATGGGAAATAGAATGTATTCCATTTTCGGAGGGATGGCTCTTCTGTTATTGCGTAGGCTTGTTCATCGTCGGCGATGTGTGTTTCCTCTTGCCGTATTCTTATCCTATTTTTCCGAAACGGCCTGAAGTGTTGGACAAGTTGCGTCTTCCATTGAATGCAAGACGACGTGAGGCATCAATATATTGCAAAGCAGTCGAACTCCTACACATTTCCTGATGCAAAACGTCCTCAGCACTATCTTGTTGGTGACCAGCGGCCAAAGTTCTTGCATTCTGTGGCGCACGTAGAGTGACATATGAGATCAATTACTTGGTAACTCATATGCCACGGCCGTTAATTAAACGTGGAGGAGGCTTAGGGAGCCATGGCTGGACGTCTATAAGCTGAAATGTCGTGATGGCGAGTATCCCGTGCTCGAAAAGTTATCATTCACTCTATGTTCTACCCACTTCTGGCAGACGACTGCATGCTACGAAGGGTCTACGGGTCTATATTCTATACCTTCCCCTATCTCTCTTCTACAGTCGTGCCCGGAATCTCTCGTCGATTCTCCGACCATTTTCACCAAACTTGATCTTTTCTCCCGTAATCAGGCTCTCTTGCAATGCCTGCCCTATCCGAACGGCATTCACGGCACCTTCTAACTTCATGGGAGGCTCCGTGTCGTCCAAACAGCAAGCCGTGAACTCGTTGGCTTCTGTGATAAAGGCTTCACGGAAGCGACCATAGTAGTGAGGAGGGATCTCTCGTCGGATACCGGTAGATTCATAAATGTTCACAAGGTTCGAAATGGGTTGGGTGTTGATGGCCAGTTTGCCAGCAGTGCCGGTGATTTCCGTGGTGTCTTCCTGACCCGCCGCCATCATACGGCTACAGAATAGTTGGGCGATCTTTCCCCCATAAAATTCGATGATTCCAACCGCATTATCCCGATCGTTGTATTTTCTCAGCTCGGGCGAAATAGCGGTTATGCCCACTGCTGCCACGCTCTTCACTGTACTGTCTTCGCCGAAGAACCAAAGAGCGAGATCAATGTCATGGATGGAGCAGTCGACGAAGATACCGCCGGAAAATTGGGCATACTCAACGAAAAACCCCGTAGGATCCAACTTATCGCATGTCTGGGAGCGGAAAACGGTTGGGGTTCCAATGAGTCCCGACTGCATCTTGTCGAAGGCGTCGCGGTACGAAGCATCGAACCGTCTGGAGAATCCGCAGATAACCTTTTGAGAGGGGTGTTTCTTGATCGACTGCCGATATGCTGTCACGACCGATTCGGAGATCTCTGCACTCGTACTCAATGGCTTTTCACAGAGCACATGGAGACCCAATTGGATTGCTTTAATTGCCTGTTCAGCATGGACAGTGGTAGCTGAGGCCACGACGACAGCTTGCAGACCATTCTTGGTCTCTTCTCGAAGCATCTCATCGTAATCGAGGTAAGTGCGAACTCCAGGAAGAGCGGTCTCTGCCCATGCAATTTCTTTGGGCTCTGGCGTTGATGCAGCGATCATTTCTGCTCGTGGGGTCAATCCATAAAAGTGCATGGCGTGGCGAGCGCCCATGCGACCCAGGCCAGCGATGGCTATTTTGAGCTTGGGAGACACCATTTTGAACCTTCACGTTGCGTGATTTGGACGACACACTCTCTCTTCGATAATGCTGAGCAGGATCCCGTGGGCAGCTCCCCGCAAAACTGAACGAGTGAAATATCCAAGGGGCAAAATGCAAGAGCGGCTTTCCGTGGAGTGACAAGAGAAATAAGAAGAAGGTCTGGGTAAATCCGGTCAAAAATTATTGATCGTGGACCAGCGACCGCCATGCTGTATATCAATGCGCACATCTTATGACGGGCCTCTAACCAAAACAGAAGACCTTGCCGACAACCCTCCGTCCCAGAATGAGAAGGTTTGAAGACATCGATCATACATTTCTCTTACCGTTAAAATCATCCTCACGGCGTGGAGACGCGTCTGAGGATCGATCTCGCCGAACTCTTCCACATCGAGGTGGGATCATTTTTTTCCCACCAGCTCCAAGAAACCTTTTTACTACACACGGAATTGATCCGACGATCGCCGATGTTGCCTCCAAATTCCCGCTTTGGAGAACTGAAAACTTTGATTCTACATTGCGTAGACTTCGCCGAAATTTATCCTGCTTAAATTCATGCCCAATCCCAGTTCTCTGGGAGATTAGGACAGGTTGACTGAATAGCGAGCATCGCCGTGTATAATTGCGTTTGGAGTATGATCAAAGGTCGTCACTGTACAAGGTAATCTTCGAGAAGGGCGGCACCCTGTCGGGTACATGATTTTCATGTCGTCCCGCCGACAAATAGGAGGCTAGTCTCACAGATGAAACCTTATCCTCTTAACGTTGATTCTGCGCTCCTTGATCTCGAGCGTAAGTAAAACTGAGCTTTTCACTAGTAGTGTCAGTGCCGATGTGAAAAGAGCGGTTTCCATGCAGAGTGACCGTCATCATTGTTGATACTGGACATACCTAATTGGCCTGCTGGGACAGACCTAGGCAATATCCACAACTGTGTTCATTGAGCAAAGGAAAATCGCCGTGAATCTCCTAAATTGTGAAAGAAGGTCCCCTCTGACCACATCATCCACCCTTACGACACGTTGATCCTCGTGGGGGTGGCTTCCCATAGAATTCTGGAAATTACCACGTCAAGATCCTGAAGTACGTAATGTAGCCGGCCCCAGCCTTGTTCCCCTCTGCATCTCCCTTTCCATGCTCAGTTCTAGGAAGTCTCTGTGCTTTCAATGCGATTATAAAGATTCTCAGATCATCCATTTTCGTTCTGGAGAAAGGCTTCCAACACTGTTTCCTCGCAGTGTTGGCATCTGATTCTTGGACACTAGTATATATGACGGCAAAAAATTATTTCTCTGGCCTATGCAAACACACTGTCTCTTACCTTCGCGGATGTGAAACTCCCTGTACAACTTGAATTGAACGAGTGTGGCTTGTCTGTTTTGCAACTGGTCCCGCCAGATTTCCAGTTTATATACACACGTTTGGTTGGCTCCATTTCTACTCCTATTCCTACCCCTATACCCTGAATAGGGATGATAGCCCCTTACCCAATAACGGGCTTCTGGCTACTGTTCAACAGCTCATTCGTCGCAGGTTCCCTCACAGAGGCATTTTCCCCACAACTTCAATAGCATCTGAATCTGAGTCTGGAGAAGTTGGATATATGTAGAAGATTGAATCAGCAAGACGTGCCCAGAGGACCCGCCAACCGGCTACAACCCTTTACTTTCCCGCCCCCGAGGCTGTGTTGAGCAGCTCACTCAATTAAGAATGCATTTCTCGGTCACGGAATTGCTTCTTGTCCGGAAGGAAATCTACTCAGCTGCATCGAGAGGTATAAGAGCGAGTCGAATGTCCAGGAGATTGTGGATTGGTACTACTGCGAACCCTCAGTGACCCGGGTCCTGGCGTGATTATTCGAGTTTCCGTCCTTCAAAGGAGGAGCCGCGGGGTACGTATGGCTCCTGAAGTTTCTCTCTCACGAGTTCATCCGGTGTGGTACAAGAGTCATTCTCATTTCAGGTCTGAGAACTCGTTCTATCCCCCCCGACAACCTGATGATCGTCTGGCATGATATTATCGACATCATGATGGACGTACCGAAATCCATTTGTACATGCCATACACATTTACCAATACGATCGACATGGCTTTACAATTTGTACATTTTCCGTTGGGGTGACGTCCCCAGTCCCTTTTTGGCGCTTGTCCAATCCCTGGAAAACAGGTTCCCGGACGTCTCTAACGAGACAAATCCCAGACATGTTGTATATCTTCATTGCTTACTGGCGCAACAACCCATCCTTTTCATCATGCTCTTCGATTTCGATGATATGTTCCGCATCGGGATAAAATTCAGCTCCCCAGCTCTCGATATCCACGATATGGCTCTCCCCTAATTCGTCCTTGACGACGAGAACCATCTCGTCAACGGCATTCAGTAGGCCGACGAGCGCGGACAACACGACACAGTATTTACGAAAGCCTTCCTGCTCATTTTCGATCATAGCACGCGTGACAGGACCGAGGAGTTTGCGAACGTGTTGTTCCTTCTTGGATCCTGGAGTGTGGATGACACGGTCACGGAAAGCGCGGACTGTCAATGGTGCGGAGAGCACGCTCGGCAATGCTTGCCCAGTTTCGAGAGCGTGACTCAATAAGCTGAGCACTGCCATGAAGTCGCCAACAAAATGCTCCTCGAATACCCCCGACAGGAGTCGCAGTCGGCGTCGAAAGTCGTCGGGGAGTTGGGAAGAGTAGTAGAACAGCTGGAAAAGGTTGAAATTAACGCGTGTGGCGAGCGCAGTGAGTTGCGAAAGACCGGCCGAGGTGAAGTCGGAGGAGGAGAACTCGAAGCGCAGCAGTTGGATGGGACCGGCGATGGTGGATAGGGTATCAGCCGAGGCGATGACGGTTTTTTCAAGCGTCGAGATCGGCTCGGGATTCCTGTGTTTGTTGTCGTCACCCCGATGGTTCCTCGGAAATTCACTGATGAAAAGCGCGTAGATGTCCTGGAACTTGGAAAGGGTGGCGGATAGGACGCGTCGGTAGTGCCGGCCGGCGGAGGGTGGACGAGGGAAGTACATGACGATGGCGGCCGCGGCAAAGCCGACGAGGACGAGCAGAATTCGGCGCCAGAAGACGTTGTAACCGACACCTGGGTTGCCGTAGCTGGGGATATGGGTGTCGACCCAGCTGTACGCGACGGTGAGGTAGGCCGTCGCAGCAGCGAGCATGAACGCTTGCAATAAGGCTGGCGGTCCGAAGAGACGGCCCCACATGAGGAGGATGATAAAGGGCACCATGATGGCCGCGATACCATATGGATTCCCATCTCCGCTTCCGGCACCGATATACCAAGCGACCATGCCGAGGACGCCGCCGATGACGGTGCCGGCAACCCTCAACATCAAGCCCCAGGTGAAGTCTGCGGCGTAGGGGACCAGGGATATTTGGCCCATAATTAAAGCCCACAGACCTTTTTGTCGGAAATAGAAACCCGCGCTGGACGGGATCACGGCTGGAATGGCCAACGCGATGGTCACGATGAGCATCCGCAGGGCGAACATGCCTTCGGTGTTGGAGAACCAGCGGATCACCGACAGGGTAAAGCGGCTTAGACGACTTCGCTCCTTCCCCCGATGCAGATGTATGGAAGTCAGTTGACGGGAAGCCGTCACTTTCAGTTCGTCTGACTGGCTCCAAAGTTCTTCTCCATTCTTTCCCGCATGTCGATGACGACGACGACGACGACGACGTTTCGGTTTCGACTTCTTCTGCTCTTGTTCGAGCTCGGCTAGCACTGGAGTCACTTGAGCGGCGGGCTCACGCCCAAATATCCATGATGTGAGATGCCGAAGGCCCGTTGGCATCCACAGCCGGGTTCGTGTTCTCTGCTCTTCCAAGGCCACAATTTGAGCCAGGAGGTGTTCCAGGGCCTGTGCGAAGCTGATGATGCGTTCCTCCAGGATCAACCCGATAACCAATCCTCGCATCGGCGCCATGCCGCTCTCTGGCGGGGGGTTGAGGAGACCATCCTTGTCGAAAAAGTGTGCGTGGGGGTCAAGAAGGCCCGTCGGAGTGTGATTCAGGAAGTCTTGCGAATTCTTGCGTAAGGTTTTCAAGATGTCCGTATGTTTCATCAACACGGTCTCCCACGTATCCGCGGAGGGCCGACGATAGAATTTTCTCTCGTTGACGAGCTGGAGGATCTCCATAATCGCTTCGAGTGCTTTCTTGCAGGTGGCGAGTAAAGGATCACTGGTGTTCCGTAAAGCCGTCATGCTCTTGACGACCAGATCCTCCGACTCGGCGCTCTGGAACAGTCGTGCGAAGTCTAGTTGCAGTGCGAGCTGGTGCTGTCCAAATTTGGGCTGATCCTTGATATCGGCACCGTTCCTTCGTGCGTCATCACGTTGCAGGAGTCGATCAATTCGCATCCTCGACTCCGCACGAGTGAGCTGCGATTCTAGGAGACTGGCCCAAGTGACGAAAACGTGTTTCAGGGGAATCTTCAACAGCCCGATATCTTCGGCATTCCAACGGCCGATCGACACGTCCAGAGGAAGAAAGGTCATGCGGCCTTCCAGGGTTTTGTAACTGGCAATCCCCGCCGCTTTCGCTCGCCGCAGGCTCTCGATACTCATCGGTTTGGTCGAATTGTCGAAGCTGATCCGACAAGCATCGACAAATTCACCCATCGGTGCAATCATCTCCTTGATGTTGGCCAAAACGATATGAGACGTTGATTCGGGGAAGAAGCAGATGTTGCAAAAGATTCCCACTCCCACAGCGGTTGCCGCCGGCTTGATAAGGACGGTGGGAATGGTTCCGGAAAAGGATGGGAGGAGGGGTGCGGTGGTAAGATAGATGTCAGTGACCATGGTGCCGAACATCTGAATGAGAATGAATTTTGGCGCCGCGACACGAAGACGTGCCTTTTCTTGCGTCAGCCACGGGAGATCTAACCATGTGTCGTGCGCGCTCACCAAGAAATAGATGAACAGACAGCTCATGCAAAAATATATCGCCGTTACCCGGGCGTCCAGCATGAACCCGTCATACACCAAAACTTGAGCGTATGTCGTTTGTCCCGTCAATTGGCCGACATAGGTCGCATTTTGGCTGGCTTCTTGGGCCAGTTGACCCAGTCGCTGATTGGTCTCAACCGGAGGTCTGGCGGCCAGGGCAGCCTTCATCGTTATGCAACCCCATGCCCACGCCAGTCCCATCCCCAGAAGGACTGTGATGCCAATCATGATCTGGAGGGATACTATGCCCGAAGGTGGAGCGATGAAGAGGACGATACTCCACGGGAAGATTAGAAGAGATTCTCTCGACTCAGTCACGGGAATCCTTACCATCCAAAGAAGAGAGCCTGGCCATACGCTCGCAACACCGGGTCAATGACGATAAACAGGGTTATGATCCATACGGACAACGAGCACTTGAAAAGGACTTTCAGGTCCTTCACGTTGAAGTGATCGAGAATGGGAGGAAGTTTCCTTTTCTTCGTATTGGACTGGTTGGGCGGTCTGAAGAACGCATTGGCCTCCATCTCAGGTGAGGGAACCGTTTCTGGGTGCTCGACGCCATTCGGACGCGATGACGACGGTTTCACGTCGGTAGCTTCGGGGTCATTTGCCATGATGAGTCGACAGGAGACTCCCGCGTGGCGTTCTCAGATTCCAACATTTTGGGAAGTGGTAAATAAATTGGGGACGGTTTCCAGCCTTAAGTCAACCGAGAGGAAGTGGGCGATTGGCGACTCGGCCCCGTTCAACAGGAGAATGGATGGAGTAGGGATCCTTAGCGTAGCGAAGACAAAGACGGGAGCCCTGGCCTGGCCTCTTGTGAGATAAGCCGTGGATACCTTGGGTGCGGCTGAAACATTCGGGGGATGGTAACCAAGAAGCACATCAATTTTAGATTAGCACGCGTCACAAAGAAAGACTGAACACGGAATACGCTCAGTGACTCGTTCGAGATGGCGAGATGTATTTTACGCGAGGCTGTTGATGTTGATGAAGCTGGCCGACATTGAATGGTACCAGGATCATGAACAGTATCAGAGTGGGCAGGGGAGAAGCCCATTTGTTCCGAAAGCCACCCTACTCTTCTGTGGATAGTCAAGGAAAGAGATGTGCCGGAGATTCAGTCTATCTGGAGGTCTCGGAACATCTCCTCTTGAGCTATACTTAAGATAGCATGGTTAAACATATGATGATCCTACGAGTCAAGAGAATCCATGTTCAACTGTCTCGCTATTCATCCGATTTGATCTGTCATCAATTCATCCTCGTAGTAGCATTTCTGGAGCACGGTCTGGGGTATCAACATGGCCGGTAAGTTGAATGCCCTAAAAAAAGAATGATCCCTTCCAATAAACAGTCTTGCCTTCCCTCCATTCAACTCTCCCCAACGCCTGATTGTCCGGTGGTTGGCCGTGGTATCAATGGTGGGAAATCCTTGAATTCCCTCATAATTGAAAAACTGGTCCCATTACTCGCATTCGATCAATCCGTTGTTCTTGATTCTCCTCGTCCACCGATGCCCAATGATGCACAACCTGGTCGGCCAGCCGATTGAACAAGTTGCTCAAGACGATCTCACATATCCGTGAGGAAACTTGGCCGTTTGTTTGTCAGCACTGCAATTCTTTTCCTCCCATTGCGCAAAATCTTCCATCAGCTTGAGGCGATGGCTTTCGGGAAATCGTTTGAGGTAATCGTCCAGGACATGTCGTTGTTTATCCGCGCCTCGTGGAGCAAGCTCTGGAATGATCCAACCCCATTGAATGAACGATCCGCAGAGATCACTGGCTTTGTTCGCATCCACGTTGGTGACCCACTGGGCTTGTGATCGTCCGAAATTCCACACTTTGTCTGTCCCCTCTTCCTCCAAGCGAACATGATTGGCTTGGACAAACAACGCCAGGCCGATGAAGAGCCGATTTTTTTGGCAGCGGTAAGTGTCGAACGTGATGTCCAATTTTCGGCTGAGCCAGATTTCACGTGGATGAAGACCGCTGGGGTCACCGAGATCTTGACGAGAGAGTTCGTTATGCTGATGCGTATTCAGCTCCGGCACCCGGAGATCCACATCCGGTCCATTGTCGGGCAAGATGGCTTCCGCATAGGCTTGATAGTTGCTTTTGGCCTCCTTGTCCTTTTCACTGCCGGGGTAGCGAGCAGTGAGCGCCGCCTTGATATGATGGCCAAAAAGGTCAGGACTCAAATTATCCTTTGCCTTTTTATCATTCCACTTCTTTCGCTTGACCCGGGACCCGTCGGGTTTCTTTTCTTCGTCGTCCGGTTCCTCTCTCTTGCGCTTCGGCCACTCATGCTCCATGGTTGTCTTTGCTCTGCTGGGTCGAGCGGGTGGGGAAATGTTCACTGACACCGTCTCTGGTCCCGTCACTCGTTGCTTGGTGATTTCATTTGACGATGCTGCTCGGCGGGTCCGGGCTCGGCTCGAGACCTCGGGACGGATGGGTTTCGGCGAAGCTCGTGGGGCTGCCGCTCCTGGACGTCGAGTCTTCGGTTTCTTTGATGGCCTGACTTCTTCTCGCCGGAAAGAGGAAGATGCGAGGATCTGCTCCAACCTCGTCGGGTTCTGCTCCAAAAACGATGCTTTGCCATCGTAGAAGAAGTTTCGAATGGCCAGAAGAACCTCTTGCGTCCCGCTGGGATATTGGTCGAGAAGTCCAGCGTAGGAGAAGCGCTTGACGGGGCCCCAAGGATCTCGCGTGTTCCACAAGCCCACCTTGGCCGAGCCGAAGCCATATTCAGGCTCGACACCAGGAATGTGGTAGGAGAGGAAATAGTTCATTCGTTGAATGAGATCCGAAGGCGACACCAATCGACGCTCCTGGGGCATTCGGGTGTCCGGCAGCTCGATGAAAGGGCTCCTCTCATGGACCAGCATCTCCGGAGTGACTTCCACGCCGCTGGCGATTTTCTCCAGAACCAAGTCGAGTTCGGTCCATGACAAATGGGTGACGGCCGCCGGCGGGAGCGCCAGGTCCGATGCGGCGACATCCGTCCCGACGGCGACCATACGATCAGGCGGGGATTGGGATGTCGACGGGGAGCTGGACCGGAATTTCAGAGTGGATGACGATGCCGCTGACGATTGAGAATGGGAGCGCGATCGAGTCGGGGCGGGGGAGGCCGACGACAGAGGAGGTGACATCAAGGGATCGCATCCTGGCGGCCATTCGACCGCCTCTTGGGTGGGTGTGAATTCGTCCTGGCCGGGTTCCAGATTTTGATCGATGAGGGGAGGAGTGTTCAGCTGGACGGTGGCGGGCTTCTGTGCCTGGGCCGACTTGGACGCCGCCATCTTCTTGTCGACATCGGCCGACGGAGTGTTGGAGTTGGTTTGTTCAGCACAATTGTCGGCCGGGGCCTCCATGTTCAGATTGCTATCCAACTCTTGCCGATGTGGATTGGATTCCTGTGAAAGAGGGAGAGGGGTGGCCGGGCCTTTTTCAAATGTCTCTGGTTCCGCCACCCTTGCCGTAGATGGGGCGTATCGGGCCTCGCAATCAAAGTTTCGGTCGGAGTTTGGGATACTTTTGGATGAACCACGGCGTCGGAGAAAGGCTGAGTCACCAGGATGGCCGCAACCTGGAGAGTCAGTCGGTTTGGATCTGGGGGAGGAGGAATGCGATGATAAATGGTAAGATGAGACAATTGTAGAGGGTTAAAAGGGAGATTGTGGTAATGGACGGTCAACGGGTTGGATGAATCGAGATGGAATAGATGGTTAGTCTCGTAGCAGTCGGGTTCTGGCAGCCATTGAAAGCCATTGAGGCTCGTCGACGGTATTGAATGGAGGTTTCAATGGAAAAGTAGAATGGAAGGCAATGGGTGACGACAGAAAACAGGCACTGAGCGTGTGAAAGGGGGGGACAGGCAGACGACATGATTGTCCAGTAATCCTTTGCATTGGATGAATCAGAGTGCGTCATTCTCGGATTCCACTACGGGAGGCAAAAAGTCAGGCAAACAGACTGGACAATCGGCCTCGTGATTTGGTGAGCACGAGAGAGAAAAAATGACCATGAGGGTAGTCAGTGGCGTAGTCGTTGGCCAGAGAGTTGGTCAGGCAGTCAGAGGGAGGCGCAGGAAGAAATATGGGTGGAGGGCACCAAGAAGGAGGGTTTAATGGATGGTATGATGATTCGATGGTTCCGATCTAATTCGCGGTTCATAGCGGGCAGCGCGCAGTACACCCTAGGCGTAGCGTGAATAAGTTTCCAAACGTTGGCCAGAGAAAAAGAGTCAGGTGGAAGGATCCAGAGAATCACAGAGAAGACGACAGCGAGAGAGAGAAAAGAAACGAGCAGATCAGGCATCGCTCGAGCCGCTTGGCGCCACCAGACCATGAGTCAGAGGGCCCAAGTGGAAATGACAAAGCCTTGTGATTGGCTAGGCAAGCCGATCCGACACAGTCACATGCTTGAAATGGCCGTAACGAGGAGATGACCAGGAGTTGAGGTACAACATCCGATCATGGCAGAGTGACCAGGTACCCGATACTTTGCCAGCGCCCATCTTTATGCGGTGTAACCAGGTACCCGGTTCTTATGTACAAAATTATTCAATCACAGGGACGCACTCTCTACGCCAAAGGCAGGGCTTTACAGATCTCACCTTCTGTTCTCCTGCTCCATCATTGGCCGCCATCTATACCGCGCTTTAGGCATTTACTTCCACCAACCATCTCCCACCATTTCCGAACCCAAATTGTGATCTGAGACTCCCCCCCCATGACCGATAGGGCAAGCCAGCCAAAACGGGCAATGAATAGCTCTATTGGTACAAGAGATACCGCTCGCCCTAGCACCATTTCAGCCATGGACTTGCTACGATTGAAAAACACTATTTAGTTCCTGATTTGGTCCCTTGACTTCTTGAAACTCCGTTCAATCTGGAACTGCGGAACCCAACCTTTCCCCCTCGTCACTAGCTCTGACAATCACAAAGCAGGACCAAGAAATCCTCGCCATGGCGCCTCCTCCGGTTCATTACCTGATCCCCATATTTCCTGGCTTTCAGCTACTCGACCTGACGGGTCCACTGGACATCCTCAACCTCCTCTCTATCGTCACCACCAATTCCGAGCTCCGCCTTACTTTCATCTCTGAAACTCTCGACCCAGTTCCCACGAAACCCATTCCGCCTGCTGTTGCAGACTGGTCTTTCGACTTGGAGACTGCTTTCCCGCACACGAAAGGAAAGGTGAATACCACCTTCAATGAATATCTACAGCCGGACACCACGTACGCGGAATACCTCAAAGCCCTCGAGACTGGTGAAAACAGCCAACCTGTCGATGTCCTTCTCATTCCCGGGGGAATTGGCACCAGACTGGCTCGTGTCCACCAAGACGGAAGCAAGACGTCCAATATCAAAAGCCTGCTGGATTTCGTTCCTCAAGTCGCTCCTCACATTCGCACCGCCATAATCACGGTCTGCACTGGATCCGATGCCCTGGCGCAGACGGGTTTGCTCCACAATCGTCGAGCAACAACCAACATGGCTCGATTTGCAGAGGTGGCACAGAGAAATCCCAATGTTCTTTGGCAGCATGCTGCCAGGTGGGTTCGTAGCCTGCCATCGGAAGCGCCAGGAAGCACGCCCATCGAAATCTGGAGCTCCGCCGGGATCAGTGCCGGCATGGATGTGACTCTGGCATTTATTGCGCATTTTTACGGAGGCCGGGATGTCGCACGAGGTCTAGCTAAGTCTTTGGAATACGATTGGCGAGAAATCGCCGAGGGAGAAAAAGACCCTTTGTATGAGAAGTACTACATGGCTTGAATCGGCAATTTATTTTTTTTTTTTTTTTTTTCCAGCGGAACTGTCGTCATGTCTAAATCAAACCTGGAGGATAAATGCAGAGTATGCGCCTTTGTTTGGATTTGATGAAGTTCGCATGTCTGACGTGTGAGAGCAAATCCTTCCAAAAGCTGTTTTTGGTTGGGCCAGAAAGCGAAAATGATAATGCTCCACCAGGAGCCTTGCAGTTGATCAAAATTCTTCTTCAAATCAAAGTCAGTGTAGGGAAAACATCGAACCTGGTCCGTCTCACATTCGAAAAACTGGTTGATGCCTGGCTTACCGCTAGAGAGTATAGGTGCTGGGTATTCAAAATGGGCCGCAAGCCTCGTCGTGTGTAAGTCAGCCCATCAGCATACTCACGGCCTAAGGAAAATTACCCCCCAATGTCGACTGATAGCCATGAGATGAAGAACACCCCACCTCGGTTACTGTTCCCAAACCTTCTCTATCTTTCTCGTTCCCTCTCTCAGTCAAGCCGAATTACCAACTCTGAGGGGTTTCTTGCTCTACCCACCTTTGGACAGTTTTCTTCGCGCTTAAGATTTTTGAGGAGAAGACCTTGCGCCTGGGGCACTTTCCAGCAGTACGTTTTGGACATTTCGTACTCCCCATGTCCTTACATAGAACTGCCCCTTCGTGGTCACGGTTCAGAGGACCTTCCGCGCCTTAGCGTAAAGGTACGACCTCTCAAGAGTCTTCCTCTCTTTATCCTCAGAAAGGACTCTTCCCTTCATCGAAGACCTGGAGGACGCTGACTCGTGCGCGCTGGAGCTTTCCAGCACGGACATAAAAGCCTGGACTTCATCGCCTCTTTCTTTCTTCTCAGAGTTGTCTAGCCATAGTAGCCTTGCCCGACGTCTTGGACCATCTTCGCCTCCCTCGTTCCAGATACACCGAGTGACCAGTCTGACATGTAGATTCAACTCCCCTCGACGTGAGGCTGACGAGGCCGAAGCCGAAGCCGAAGCGGTGGAAAAGCTGCAATGAGATCAAGTTTCGTTAACTTTTGTAGACGCTGACGGGTATATCTTGAGGTAGTGGAGACGACAAATATTGGAGAAGAAATTCAAGAACAAAGACAGACATCGACGTACCTCGACAAAGATCTTATGGCACTCCATCAACGCAATACCTTTCCTAGACATGTAAATCTGCTGGTGACAAGTGATCATTCCCACACGCGCCCATACGCCTTTGCAGTCTCGGGGTCAGCTTCGATTCATCGCTCTGATCGGAAGGTGGCCGCGTCTGGGCCGAAGAAATCCTTGCGTGTCGTCATGTGATGATAGCTCAGTCCGACCGAGGTACCGCTATGAATGCGGACACCATGGATCTTGATGTTCTCCGGTAGTGAGATTTGGTCTGGATTCCATTCAGAGGTTGCCAAAACCTCAGACCCTCCTTGATCCAAGGTTGTAGGTGTGGGGGAGCTAGATCGTCTTGATTTTTGACCACCGGGAACGAAACTGCCCCGTGGGCGATGGCGTCGTCGATTTCGGCGCGTAGTTTCGCGTACGATGCTGTGTGGGGTCAAGGATAGAGTAGTGTGACGCGAATGGCGGTCGCGGTTGAATCTGATCCTGCCAGGATTTGAAGAAGAGGCTCAAACTCGGCTTCCAGCTGGTCAAGCCGTGCTTGAGGGAGGAGTTCAGCAGGTCCTTGTCGTTCTTTGATACTGACAATGGCACCCCATCCAACTTTGTCCTCTGGTTTGGGTCCAGCAGGGACTTGCATCAAGGAACTGGAGAGGATCGAATGGATGAAGGGGACGTTGGCTCCCATTTCCATGATGGGAAAGAATGCCGTGCTAGATTTTGTTGTAGTCGTAAGGTCTTCATTTTTGATCAGGAAGCCGAATGGGTGACCCATTGCTACATATTGAATCACTAGCTAGGACTGATTGAAGTTGCCACGGCTCTTTCAGGGATATACCGACATGTGTCAGGCTGTCTAATGTAAGGTATTGGGCCATTTGAGCGAAATCAATGGTGGAGCCCTTGGTATTTGTGGTCCACTCACGCCCGGCATCGTATTGACCTTCAGCTCCGCGTGACGCTTCTCATCTCTCTCAGATGGAGATTGTTGAGTCGGGGTTCAAATTGCATGCCTTGGTACCCATGAGGATCGAAAGTATTGCGCACTGTCTGAGCTATAGAGCGAGATCGTCTGAGGACATTCGGCCGGAGTCAAGTCAAAGCTGCTGTTGGAAAAGCGGGCCATGCGGTGACCAACAAATCATCTGGGCCTTAAAACCCGCTGAAAAGCGGTGATGGTTCCTCCTTAGAACTTCTCGCATGCTATGCCCTTGATAGACCGGACGACCTTATTTTCCAACAGCTCCTGAAAAATTCACAACACGCACTTCCCAATTGGTTTTGGTTGAGTTACAATGTCGCGCTCCGAACATGACAGTGCTCCTGAGGCTGCCAGCGATTGTGGGGGGCACGGATCTTCGTCCAATTCAACCGGATCCAAACTTAACCTTTGAAATTGCAGATGCAGATGAAGAATAGGGCCTATCGACAAAGATGGGACCTTGTACACTGCAGAATCATGAATGACTTCACACCAAAAGGCTGGGCGAATTATTTTGCGCAAGCCTTTCAATCCATCACACCAGGAGGGCAGGGTCGAGTGCCAGGAATTTGGCTACAATCGCCGGAGCGATGACAATTCTATTTCGCTTGTACAGTCGGCTGAGTTTCCGGGAACGAGAATGGTGGAGAGGGATGGAGAGTATCGGTTGGAATAGATTTGGCAAGCCCCAACGAGCCTTGGGCGGGTGCGTGCGGCCGGGTGATATGCCTTAATTTCAAGCTCCCAATTGGACCCTAGCCAAAAGATCGTCAATTAAGAGAAGCCGGATTATTCGGTCTCGTCAATCTACTAACCGTCTTGAGGGATTGAGCCTCAAGATCTTGACAAAACTCGTCGAGTACACTCTGGAGGAACTGGGGGCCACTTTTGATGGACTGTCGAAAAGAAATCAAGAGCACGGCATTGACAGCTACTGGCTTGTGTAAGTATTTCCTCGTGATGGGCTACTGGCTTCGATTTAGTTATGTTATATCGGAACAGAAACTAGCGAATGCCTGAGGAGAGTGGCGCACCATGCCCATCACGACTAAGAAGGAAAATTGCGTCTGCCTTAGCCACCGCGTCATATCGAGAATCCTGTGTACAACCCTGTATGAGAGCCAAGGGTCGGATTGGTATATCTACGGTATCGGTCAGCGTAGTATCGTATTCGCGGCGCATCCCATCTTTTTGGCTGGTCTATTGGTCGTGTCTGATACTTGGCCTTTTGGCCCCGCAGGGACTTAACTCTAGAAGTCCTTGGGGAGCCTCCGCATTTACTGGCGGAGGATCATCTAGCCCCGTAGTTCGCCGCCTGAAACAATCCTACTTAAAAGCCACCAAAGGCGGAGCTTGAGGAGCGTTTTCCAGATTCTGCCTTTACACGGGGGTGGGGGTTCTCACGTTATAAGCTCCAGGGCTCTGCTGATAACATATCTCGCCATCAGCCGCTGGTGAGGTACCCCAATCGCCTACATTCATTCATTGGTCTGAGCGTCTTGCGGACATTGACGCTCGTCTGTCTCGTTGGCTTTCTCCGGGATGGGGCTTTCCCTCCGGCTTATCGCATCTTCGTTCCTTGCCGCATGGACCCTGCCTGGTGCTCGAGGCCAAGGTCAGGCTCCTATCGGGACCAATGGCACTGGTCCACTGTCTCAATACAAATCTGTCCGAACAAGACCCCGGATATTCGTGGCTGACCATTGCTGATCTGCGACTAGAGACCTGACATTTACGCTCCTTTCCTCAATATTTCCTTGTTCGACGAAGATGCCGTAACTCCTGGCTATATTTTTCTAGGACCATATCAAACATTTCAAGAGGCGATCTACATCTATGATAACAGAGGAGTTAGTAACACCTCCAACGCAAGTGGGGAGAACACGGGGCTCACTGACGAAACCAGAACTTGGTTTACTCCGGGTTTGGCTCGACAGGCGGCGGTCCTTCTCACAATTTCCATGTCTGTTCGGTCGATGGAACTGATCATCTGTGTTTCATTACGGGCGCACAAAATGATGGATATGTTCGCGGCTACGCCGTGATCCTCGACGACTCGCTCACCACGCGAACATCTATCCACTCCCAAGGTGGGTTGGCCAATTTTGACGAACACGAATTCCACGTGCTTGACGATGGGACTTCCCTCTTCACGCTCTATCAGCCCGAGCATTACGATCTGACCGACTATGACATCACTGCCGGGCAAGGCTGGATCATGAACAATTTCTTCCAACACATCGAACTCGGCACGAAAAGACTGCTCTTTGAATGGTCTGCTCTTGATCATGTCCCGTTGAGCGAGAGTTTCGTGATGCCCAATTCGACCGAAGTCTCTGGAACCGGCTTTTCATCGACGAGTCCATGGGACTACTTCCACATCAACGCGGTCGATCAGAATGCAGATGGGGACTACTTGGTTTCTGCCCGCCATACCTGCACGGTGTATAAAGTTTCGGGTCAAGATGGACATATCATATGGAGGTTGGGCGGAGCCACCTCTGATTTCAGCTTCGCCCCGGGCCTGAATTTCAGCTTTCAGCATGACGCACGGTTTCGCGAAGAAAACGAGACCACGACCATTATTTCGCTATTTGACAACGCCTCGAATGGTTACAATCAGACATCACGGCATTCGGCGGGGATGCTTCTGAAATTGGACCACACCACCGGCACTGTATCGCTCGTTCAAGACTTCATCGCACCAGATGAAATGATCTCGGCCTCCCAAGGGAACATACAGCTCCTGGGACGCAATCAAGACTGGCGTACCTCCAATGTGTTCTTGGGTTGGGGCTCCAACGCTTACATCTCGGAATACACGCCGGACGGGCGTATGGTACAGCAAGGCCACTTTGCTACCACGGGATCGATGAACTATCGCGCCTTTAAATATAACCTCACCACCAACCCGACCGACGCCCCCGCTTTGTACACCTATGCACATAACACAAGCGCTCCCACGTCGTATTGGATGAGTTGGAATGGCGCCACGAAACCAGCCCAATGGCGCATCTATGCCAGCACCTCCCGCACAGGACCTTGGACCGTCGTCGACACGGTCGACCGCAACGGGTTTGAAACTCACTTCACCGCACCGAGATATCACGCATGGAGTCTGGTGGAAAGTCTCGACGCGGACGGTAATGCGCTGAAAAACAATACCAGACCGATTCGGACGTTTGTGCCGAGCCCAGAACTTGCCGCGTTATGCGATAGTTTGTCATGCCCCACGGCTGAGAGCTATGATGAGTCGTCTCCCCCCCGTCCAACACAGTCTGGGGAGGCCCCTGCCACCAGTTCGAGTGTGGCCGTACATATCCAGAGACGAGGTGGAATGACGGGTGAGCTCGGGTTCGCTGCTATGGTGGGCGTGGGAGCGATGTTGGTATAATTTGTGCCAAATGTTCTGTCCAATACCATAATAGAACATTGGACAAAAAGATCTCGTCTCATGGATGATGCAATTTCGCGCTGATGCCCGAATTAGGGATAAGGACGGCAAAGTGTCGCTTTCGGCCGATGAGAGCCTGCGTCCGGGTCCGAGTCGTGGCCGGCTGCTAGCTTCAAGCGCAACAAGCCCATCACCTTTTAGGTAAGAATTCCAAGCTAGTCCTGCGTGGTTGGGCGTTGGGTTCGCGAAACGCCTGCCCCGATGCACTCGACACGGAGTACTGTATGATTCGAAGGGGTGAGATAATTTTAGGGCTATTATGGGAGAGTATCATGGACGGGGACGGTGTAGGGAGTCGCTAGAATTTAAGGCAAACCACACGGGAGTATATATTGTGCGAAATAGGACACCAGCGGTTCTGAGCCTCATACCTCTTCCTCATCGACGTCGAAATTTCTTCCATCTGTGCTCCTTAATTTTCACGGTCGGACAAAGGCCGGTTCCTGTGTGGAAATCTAAATGCAAAAAGATTCCTCACGGGTTATCTTCCACATTCAATAAGTCAGCCCATGCCATTCAGCATCGCCATTGTCGGCGCGGGCCCGGCAGGCCTCACCTTGGCGCGGCTCCTCCAAGTCGCGAACGTCGATGTCTCCATCACAATATTCGAACATGACGCCTCGCCCACATCACGACTATACCAGGGCGGCACACTAGATCTACATACCGACACCGGTCTCGCCGCTCTGAAGAAAGCCGGCTTATGGGAGGAAGCACTCAAGCATTTGCGCTACGATGGCGAGGAATTGTCCTTTGCCGACGAGAACGCCACGATAATTGTCCACAAGAAACATTCGTCCATGGCCGGGGCGAAAGTCGACTACGAGCGACCAGAGATAGATCGCGAAATCTTGAAAGGCATGCTGCTCAACAGCGTCAAGCCGGAAATGGTCCAATGGGGAAAGACTCTGCGGTCCATCGAGCCCACCAACGGCATCCTGACATTTCGTGACGGCACCACGGCCGGACCCTTTGATTTGGTGGTCGGTGCTGACGGTGCATGGTCCAAAGTCAGACACGTCTTGACGGATATTCGTCCGCATTATGCAGGAATGGGTGGATTTGAAAGTGTCATCGAGAACCCGGACAGAGACTACCCCAAGATATCCAAGATGGTCGGGAGAGGAAGTTACTTTTCATTTTCGGACGGCAAAGCCATCGTCGCACAAAGAATGGGCGACGAGAGCATCAAAGTCTCCCAGTGGTCGTTGAAGGAGGAAAACTACCCGTCCGATCTCATGGCATCTTGCGGCTCCGACGAGGAGAAATTGAAAGAAATGGTCCTGGAAAACTACCGGGATTGGGCATGTGAACTGCGAGAAGTGGTTCGCGCGAGCACCAATCTCCGGCCTCGGTCGCTGTATGAACTTCCAGTCGGACATTTCTGGGACCACCGGAAGGGATACACGTTGATTGGGGATTCGGCTAGTCTAATGACTCCTTTCACCGGAGAGGGCGTCAACAAGGCCATGAAAGATGCATTGGAATTGGCAGAGGTGCTGGAAACGGCGGTGACGAGGAATGGGAGCATGGACGAGGCGGTGGAGCAATATGAGCAAGTCATGTTCCCTCGAGCCCAAAAAATCCAGCAACGAACCATGCACAATAAGAATGCGATGTTTAGAGGAGGGCCGGTTCAGTTCATGATCGGCATGGTAGACGTGATTACGGAGGAGTCGGGAATAGATTTGAAGAAGGGTTGGCTGTCGTGGATTCCCATCAAGACGATTATGTGGTGTTGCTTGTCACTTCGGCAGGTCATTGGAGGGTATAGGAGGAAGCTGAGAGACCTGTTCTCTCGAAGATGAAGCCGATGAATAGCACAGGGTTAGAGGGGGGGAGTCGGATGGAAGGCACTGAAAGAGGTGCTTCATGTCGGGAATGTTGGCGGTTACAGGTTTGCTAAAGATGCCCTGTCAACTCAGTTTAGATTCCAAGAAAATTGATCAAGACAAAATCGAAAGCCATGGATGTGAGTGATCAGTAAAATGAAACGGGGGGATCTCTACAGTGCTAAATGCCAAGTCTGGTGTTGACCAATCGTAGAGCAAGTATTTGGAGAGTTTGCAACCATCTTTACAGGACGTCAGGAAACTTGAAGCTCCATTGAACGAGCTCCTCGTCGACGCCAACGTTCCTTTCAACAACATCGTCCTCCCACTTCGATAGCTGAGACCAGCTCGACCGACCTGGCACCATGCGGTCTCAGCTTCTTCGCGCCGCTGCGCGATCTAGATCCTCCCTGACTTCGCCGGCGACCCGGACATTCACCTCCTCCGCAAGACGACCCGCCGAAGTTGACCTTACCATCGATGGGAAGAAAGTGTCCATAGAGGCGGGCTCAGCTCTGATCCAAGCCTGTGAAAAGGCCGGGGTGACAATTCCAAGATACTGCTATCATGAGTCTGTCCAATATCGTGTTCCCCTCCCCCCCAATTGAGCTGACCTTGGTTGTGTGTGTCTAGAAAACTCCTCATCGCCGGTAACTGTCGTATGTGCCTGGTCGAAGTCGAACGAGTTCCCAAACCCGTGGCCTCCTGTGCATGGCCCGTCCAGCCCGGGATGGTGGTCAAGACCGATTCGCCCATGACACACAAAGCAAGAGAAGGGATTATGGAGTTCTTGTTGGCCAACCATCCTCTGGATTGTCCCATCTGCGATCAAGGTGGCCAATGTGATCTACAAGATCAGTCCATGAGATACGGAGCTGATCGGGGTCGTTTCCATGAAATCACTGGCAAGCGTGCGGTGGAGGACAAGAATATTGGACCTTTGATCAAGACTTCGATGAACCGATGTATCCACTGCACGAGATGTATTCGATTCGCCAACGAGATTGCGGGTGCGCCCGAACTCGGATCGACAGGACGAGGCAACTCGCTGGAAATCGGCACCTATATTGAACGGAGCCTTGATACCGAGCTTTCGGCCAATGTGATCGACCTCTGTCCGGTGGGGGCCCTGTTGCCCAAACCCGGCGCCTTTAGCTATCGACCTTGGGAGCTCACCCGATTCGAATCGATCGACGTGTTGAATGCTCTGGGATCCAACATTCGAGTGGACGCAAGAGGAATGGAGGTCAAGAGAATTCTCCCGCGATTGAACGATGACATCAATGAAGAGTGGATCGATGACAAGACACGGTTTGCCATGGATGGATTGAAGACTCAGAGATTGACCACGCCGTTGATCCGAAAAGAGGACAAATTCTTGCCGGCGACATGGGAACAAGCGCTTTCCGAAATCGGCAATGCCTTCCTCCGGCTCCAACCAGCGGCGAACGAATTCAAGGCCATTGCCGGACATCTCATTGAGGTGGAATCTTTGGTGGCCATGAAAGATCTGGCCAACAGATTGAAGTCCGAAAACCTGGCCCTGGATCAACCCGGTGGTGGTGCGCCGATTGCACATGGCGTGGATGTCCGGGCGAACTACCTGTTCAACTCCAAAATCTATGGTATTGAAGAGGCCGACGCCATGCTGATCATCGGCAGCAATCCACGATGGGAAGCTGCCGTCCTGAACGCCCGAATTCGAAAGCAATGGATGCGCTCACCCCTGGAGATTGGTTACATTGGCGAACCTTTCGAAAGCACCTTCCAATTCGAACACTTGGGTACCGATGCGGCGGCGGTGAAGAAAGCTCTCTCCGGCGAATTCGGCAAGAAGCTATCGGTGGCAAAGAAACCTATGATCATCGTGGGTAGCGCTGTTGCCGAGCATCCTGATGCCGCCGCCATCTTTGAATCCGTCGGCTCGTTCGTGGACAAGCACCCAGCCAACTTCAACACACCTGAATGGCAAGGCTACAACGTCCTCCAGCGCGCCGCGTCAAGGGCGGGCGCCTATGAAGTCGGTTTCACCACTCCGTCACCAAAAGTGGCAGAGACGAAACCCAAGATGGTCTGGCTCCTCGGCGCCGATGAGATCTCTGAGGCAGATATCCCCAAGGACGCCTTTGTCATTTATCAAGGCCACCACGGTGAGACTGGCGCCCAGCTCGCCGACGTCATTCTGCCCGGCGCCACATATACCGAAAAATCAGGCACGTACGTGAACACCGAAGGCCGTGTCCAAATTACTCGGTCGGCTGTCACATTGCCCGGGGCAGCCAGGACCGATTGGAAGATCATACGAGCAGCGTCCGAATTTCTGGGCGTCCCACTTCCGTATGACGATCTGGAAGTGCTCCGCGACAGACTTGAGGAGATCAGCCCGGCCCTCAGACGGTACGATACGCTTGAGCCCAGCGCGTTGACGGCCTTGAGCAAAGTCCAGCTGGTGGATGCGCATAAAGGTGCCAAGGCCACGGGCAAGGTTTTGGAGTTGCCCATTAAGAACTTTTACATGACGGATGTTATTTCGAGAAAGCATGTCCCCTGTTCCTCTCCTCTCCCCTTTCTCCCCGGATATGAATGCTGACTTCTCTTCCGCGTACAGTTCGCCGACTATGGCCCGCTGCTCGGCGGCCAAGGAGACAGGAAACCCGGACACGAATTTCATGGCACCGGGTGAACCCTCGCCGCAGGTCTCGTATGGTTAAATAAAGTGGACTTTTCCACGGTATGTGAAAAGAGAGAAGAGCGTCCGCTTAGTAGATGGCGATGTGGTGAAGACAAGGGGGAATCGTTCTCGGTCGATCGAGATCACATGGACGAACGCGCTTGTGTGGATATAAACCCCTTCGAAGAGAAGACGACTGAGATGGTCAGTCGAGTCGAGGAAGAAAGAAACGTGAATCAAGAGCATGGTCGGACATGGCAAGGAGTGGCAAAGAAGCGACGGGATATTCAGGGTCCTTCAAGAAAGAATCATGTCTTCACAACACAAGCAACACGAGTGAGAGCTGGAATCCGAGTTATCCATTCGCTCGTGAATTGAATTGTACATGTCACATTATATATATCCAATCATCAAACCTCAAAAACTATCGTTTCCATCTACAAGACGTGACCAAAATTGATTATGATCACGATGTGATACTGTATGTCGGCCAGAAAAGGTATAAACACTCGTTATGATGGACTCGACCTAACCTGTCTTGGCGGGTTGGGTTTTTGTTCGGGCTGGAACCAGAAAACTATATCAATATTCCCCTCCCATTCACAAGCCCACGACGAACAGAACTAGCGCACGCCGTCTCTGGCGCGACTGACCATCCTCTCGGCCTCGGTAATTTCACGCTCATCAATCTCATGTTGTCTCTGACGTTGGAGTTCGGCCACCTCTTCATCGCCACCGTCTCCATCGTCCTCCTCGTCACTACTACCTTCTTCGGCAAGAGTGGCGTCGTCATGTCCAGCACCTTCGATCTCGGGTCGGCGGCGTTTCTCGAAGTCTTGTGCATGTGCCGACGCAATGGCAGTGCCAACGCGTTGCAGGGCACGGAGACCGGGGGTGCGCGGCGTGGTCGGCGTCTTGCGCTTGCGGAGGGAAGAGGTAGTCGTCAGAGTAGATGAACGTTCCAGATCGACGCCCGTCGCGTCCGTCTGAGTCGCGTGATCGCCAGGCGCGGACAGGGTTTGGCGTTTTGATTCGGCGGATTGGCCGCGCACGCTCGGTGAATGCGGCAGGTCATACGGCAATGGGATATCTCTGGAGGCACGGAATTGGCCCACGTTGTTGCAATGTTCATTCTCGACACGAAACAAAGACCACATTCCTCTGCGAATGACTTCCGCTAGACTGACGAGGAAGGACAACATGGCCGAATGTTGTAGGTCGGAAGTGAATATGGCGTAGAATACCCACTGCTGCCTCAGTACGACATTGGCCACCATCGCGAAGTAGTAGACCCAGACTTTCTTGTAGGCAAGCTGATCGCGCAGGAAAGGATGCTTTGCCCATGGATTCCCGAGACTAAAGTCCATAAAAACGTCCCAGAATGAGCAGTAAATTCCGTTGAGGGCGGCAAAGGTGATGAAGGCGGCGCGTGTTTCGTAGGTCATGTCCATGCGATAGATGGAGAGCGTCATGTAGTACAGAATGTTGCCCAAGTACTTGCAGAAATTGGCCAGATGGGGAAACCAGTTTCGGGAATCGTGGTAGCGGCGAAGACATTGGAGAGCACGCCAGACCGCCGGAAGCGCCGTGAAGAATCCCAAAAGCCGGGAGTGATTTGAATTGCATTGGGCCGGATGATTCCAGTCATTCACATAGAGACAGAAAAACACCTCAATCTGGCCCATCGCGTACGTCTGAGAGCAATACATGTCGCCCAAGTAGAAGTCTCGGAATTCGACGGGGTACAAGCCGGCCAGGAGAAGTCTCCAATTGGAATAACCCCACCACCGTCTTGCGTTGTAGTAGAGAATTTTGAAGGGAAGCACCATCATGACCAGCGTGATCGCGATTAGCACGATCGGCCAATACAGGTAAAACCCATCATCGGAACTCTGCTGAAAATTGAGGTAGAGAAAGAGACCGTTTAAGAATAGAAAGAAGCAAGGTAATTCGGCCAATTGTCGCCAGTCCAGGACATGTCGAGTGTCGTATTCGAAAACAAAGACGTAATTGATATGTGCGTGGGTCCAGACCCGGCAGTCCAGGCAAAACAGGAGGAATAAAAGGAGGGCCAGAAAGTATCCGGCATACAGCTGCAGGAGGTAGCTCGTATGGGTCGCCACGAGCGGATTGGGATCATTGAGCCGATGGCTGGCGTCCATGAGACCGGCCACCCCAAAACAAGTTCCCGCTGCCACGTAGAGGCCGTTGCGAAACGTCGTTCCGGATTGGTCTCCGGCGCCCAACTTCGATCGAAGTTTCCGGACGGCAATTTTGCGGTTGCCGCGCTCAAAGTAACGCGAGTACAAATCTTCGACCGCGGTCAGATGTTGGTCAATCACATCACTGGTCACGAAGTACGCGTTGTTGACCTTTTCCGACATATATCGCAGTGGTGGCCGAGCTTGGACCGCTTTGTCGTACTTCTTGTTGATTTTGCGAAATCCGGTTCGGTTGAGGAGAGCGTAGGATTTGAGCAATTCGAGAGCTCGGTAGAATTCCTGCAACGCCAGTTTGAGTTTCCTCTTCGCGACCCGGTGCGGAATGTCATTTCCATGGTTATGCCGGACATAATCTTGCTTCGCATCGTGAATCCGTTGTTGAGCCTTCGGTCCTGGGGGGGAACTCAATTGCTGCATTGCCTGAAGCGTTTTGTCCACGGTTTTGCGGCGTGCAAGAGCGTCCTCCAGGGGTTTCTTGATGAAATAGGAAGACCCATTTCCATTGGGACGGATGTGCTCCTTGAGGGATGCTCTTGACCGATCACCAGACAAAACTCCGTCCACAGCCGGTGGACTCAGTGTCTCTTCAGGCTTCTTTGATCGTAAAATTTCGGCCAGTCTGCGATCCCTCATCTCATGCAGCTGTCGTCGAAGAACTTGGAGACGTTCCGTGGCTTCCTCCTCTTTGAACTTGTAAAACGACTCGATTTTGTCTAGTTCGCTGTCTAAAAACGAAAAGAATTCGGCTTGCCGAGCGTCGAGTTCTCTATACGCTTCGAGTTGCACATCATTGACGGTAGGCTCATCTAGGGCTTGTGCGGAGAATAATCTCCTCAACCGAGATCGAGGGTAGGTATTCAACTTGGGAACGGATAACGATTGAGACCCTGCCGCCGCTCGTTTTTGGAACATGGTTTTCGCAAGCCCGCCTCCCAAGCTGTGTCGTGCTCGGCGGGTGGTTTCACCGACGTGATACGGATCAGGGCCGGGAGGAACCTGGACCGCCTCCGGAACAGGTCGCGGCAGAGGGGGACATGAAGGTGGAGGTTCTGTTTCCGTTGTCGTTCGACCCCGAGCAGGGTTCAACGCCGGATCAGGAAGTTCGAGAGTCGCCAGGTGTCCCGATATCTCTTCTGATGGGGGCGTACCGACAATACTCCCATAATTCATCGGTCGTCTGGTCCGTGGGTATCGATGGCTGCCGTGCAGTGGTTGTCTTTCCGGTGTTGACCCACCGCTCCCCTCTTGACTCTCTGCCCCCGGAATGAGAATGGGCGGCGATTGTGCAAACCAAGTCTCGCTCTCCTTTCGCATGGCAGGCGGCTGGTGATCCCGGTCTGCATCTTGGTCAGGAGCAATCTCGTCGAGTTCGGGTAGCGACTGGATAGAATGAGCGGTGCCCGGGCGGGGCCGATTAAAGTCATAATGGGTAAAAGGGGTTCCATCCGCATCTTCAGGGAGGAGGTTTGGACGGCCAGGGATGGCAGGTGTTTTGTTGAGAGCTCGGAGGGCTTTCGAGATGGCCTTGATTTTTTTCTTTCCTTGCTGGAACCATCAGCGGATCGCTCGAGAAGGGGGATATCCCGCACCTGCCTTGTAATTGAGATATTTAACTCTCCATTCGGGGACGGCTTCGTCCTCCAATTCCCTAGACCGGTCAGTAACGTGCCGTGCTCATCGGAATGGGGCCGCCGTGGCGCACTTTGCAAACTTCATCTCCAAGCACGACGAGGGGGCTTAGAGGGCCTGTGGGACTCGCGACCCATTATCCAGGGCCGAGACAATCGAGGGAAGAGAATAATGGTAGGGGCCGGGTAGAGATGAAGGATGTCAGGAATGTGCCATCTGAGTAACGCGATGCGAGCATCAAAGCATCTTATAAAGAAAATTGTCAATACAAACTAAAACACCGAGGGCGAGCGTCATAGGCGGAGAACATACAGCGCCGGGCCACGTGCCTGGACGAGACGCCGAGTGTTTATCTCTTGTAAACTCAATTGAAAAGATGCAGTCGGATCCAAAAAAAAAAAAAAAAAAGAAAAATGCTGCAATGCGGGAGAAGGAACCCTGTCATTTGAAACCACTTTTGCCAAGCCTCCATACGATAAATTGTCAGGTGGGGGAATCAACAAAGGCAAATATAAACGAGGTCAACTCGAATCAGCTCAGAAACTCGTGGACAATATTCCCACGCAGATGTGTAGCAGAAAAATCCCTCAGCACATCTACGCTAGGCTGCTGTTCCAACCAGAACAATTACCACCCACATGGGTGCCCCATCCGCCGATCCAGCCTATCGAAACTCCCCGGGTATAGTCCAAGGACAAGGAGACCATCTCCTGGTTTGTCATGCAATCCGTTACGACGAACGCGATTTCACCATCGTTGAACGGGACGAGAAGGAAAGTAGTCAGAAATACCATCTAGAGAATCCATATTGGAAGACGTTTGACCCTGGTGTCGTGCCTTTGCTAAAGGGGAACAAATGGAATTGAAAAGATTCGAAGAGTGGGGCACCAACAACGACAGGATTGTTGAATAAAATGTTCTAGACAAGAATGACCAAGTTACTATCCTGTTCAGTCATCGTTAATATATTTCTCAAAGACATCAGGATAATGTCTCCTTCCCACATCTCGGTGGCTTCTGATCTTGGTTCTGAGCTGTGCCTCTCCCCACGTCTCATATTTCCCTCGAAGAAAGGGACTATCAATCCGTTGGCCCTCCTCCGATTCTCGCGTATTCCATTTCAGCTTGTCGAAGAGCTCCCACAAGGCTTTGAGGTCTCGCTTCGTCAAGTCCGGTCCGACTCCTTGGAAAAAGGGCACACTGTATCTGTCATAGTCCCCTGGAGGAAGAAGGACGCGATGAGTGGTCACTTTACACGTTCCGTTCGTGACGACCTCGAACGCCTGGCCCATATTGACCACGAATGTGCCAGATTTGGGGGGGACATCGAGCCAAGTGCCATCTTTCGAGAGGACCTGGAGTCCTTTGATGGACGGATCGGATGCCTGGAGAAGAAACGTCATCCAGCCTGAACTGTCTTTGTGGGGGCCGACTCCCTGCGCGGGAGCATCCATGGTGGCATCGGGCGACGGTCGATAGTGAACGAGCTTGAGTCGATCTTGTGGCCCTGTAAAATTAACAAGACTGCCGGGAGGCAAGTAGAGGGCTTCGGTGACCACCTCGAGGAATCGAAAAGCTAGATCCTGCAGAGCCGTGATGTAGGACTTGACAATTTCACCAAATCGGGGCACGGTCTCTGATTCAAGCCACTGATTAGGACCCTGTAGTCTCGTGTAGAGCGGCAGCCCGGGTGTCTGGCTGTACTTGTCCGCCAATTCATTGGCCAGTTCGAATTGCTCTCTCTGGTCCTGGATGCCGGCGGTGACCTCGGACCCCCATTTGCTGAATCCCAGGAAATGAGGAGATTTGACCACGGCAACCGACTCCTTGACATCGTCAGGAAGGGAGAAGAGACATGGCATCATCGTCACCAGATCTTGAATCACTTCTTCCTTTATGCCGGTATTGGAAAGATAGAGAAAACCGACATCCCGTAAGGCGTAGCGTAGGTCTTCCAGGAGCCGAGCCCGGGCTGATACATCCTTGGACTTGCTCAGATCGATCGTGGGAATCGACATGCTGAATATGACACAGGACCTGTAATTTTCTCCCCTCAGTTCGCTAGAAGTGAATGTTCTTCTTGACCATGGACTAAGGGCAGAAATGGCATCATCTGAATGCACAAGTACGCCACACTGAAGTTGTTCCGCCTTTCCGCTCATCACATCCACTCCCTTGTAAAGATGCGGATGCCGCCTCACATGCTGTCGAGAGCACCACTATCCACACCTTCACAGCTCAGAAATCAGCACGGTTTCTAACAATATCACCGGGGTCTACCGCTTCTCCCAGTGATGACGGTTCAGCGGGCTCCTGAGCAGATGCGACAACGCACTACTGGTTCGGCCATTTACGGTGATACATGGGGAATTGCTAGGCTTGACTAGTCTAGCATGCTGTCTTACGTCTCGCCCCGGTTGGTCTCGCAGTTATTCAGTTACTTGACCAACTCGTGCACTTTCGCATCGAGCCAGAAAGAATTTTGTTCCCTCTTCTAGAGGGTTAACGGTACCTGAAATGCTCAAGTGAGGCATGCCGAGTGAAGAGGGCGTTGAGGTCTACGTCAAGAAGAAACATTCGAGTGACCAGTTCATGCTCCTTGGGCGCTACCATTGGGTTGTGAGGTTCCCCCAGGGGGCGAGGCTGGGACAGAGTATCACGCAGACTAGGATGTTGTATGCTTTCCTGCATCTGATTCGTTGCCAAAGCTGTTACTACCGACAAATACTGAGAATAAAAAGACATTTTGCATCGTGCGGCCAACCGGCGACACGCGATCCCCAGCGGGTCTTGGCCAGTCGCCGAATGCCTATCAATAGGCGCCGAGTGCTTATTCTTTAGGCGTACCCCAATCTACCTCCGAGCTTATACTGGTATATTGATGTTAGGCCCCTCGCCTACGGCAGGTGGTTGGGAGGTTGATAAAAGTCGACTAATAGAGATTCCCTCGACCAGTTATGTTCCTCCCACTAGTGTCTTCAACTCTTCCTTCAATTCCTCCACACTCTTCTGATATCCATATCCCGGTTCAATCTTGGCCTCGAAATCCGCGTTGTATCGATTGTTTTCTTCGAAGATACCGAAAGTTCCATACGCGTTATATGCTTTGGTGAGAAGTCTGACCTCCACCCCTTTCTCGGTGTCTTCGTCCCACAATCTTTTGGCCTCGGCGAACAACTCATCCAGGTCGACTTTGACAATGTTCCAGCCCGGACGTACCTCCTCGAGCATTGGGATCAGCTGATTCATACTCACTGTATGATCAGCAACGTAGACAGGTCGATTTTGGAATTTGCGCGGATCAGCCAGGACATCGCACACGGCCTTGGCGGCGGTGCCCACTCGACACATGCTGTTGCGCTGGTTGCCGCTGCCATAGACCATGATGGTATTGGTCTGGGGATTGATCCAATAGTATCCGAGTGGGATCGCTACGGGCATCGCAAAGAGGTTTGAGTTAGTTAGTGCGCATTGACACGTCACTCGCACATATCCGACGGTCTGGTATGGAAACACTGGGGCTGAAGATTTGCGATCTTGATCTGAAAACTCACTTACCCCAGTCATACCATCCGCCCGTGATGATGGCGCTCCAAGTCAGATCGGTGCCTTTGATTTTCTCCTCGAGTTGTTTCTGGGCTTCGACCTTGGGCACGTACAACGGCAACTCTGTGATGTGCGGGGAGAATGTGTCGCCGGCGAAATCGGGTGTGATAATGTGCTTGATGGTGCCGGACTTGAGACAGGCATCCACGATGGTGGGTTGCAGGGTCGCCGCGTTGGGAGGGAATGCTTCCACCACGGCATCTTGCCCTTGGAAGAGTTCGACGAGGGCGTCCACAGAGCTGTAGTCGACGGTGGCGGGGATGATGGGGTCCGGGAATTTCTGCCCTGCCGTGCGAGAGGCGGCGGTGACCGTGTAGCCGGCAGCGGCGAGAGCGGTTACTACGGGCTTCCCAACGTTGCCTGTGGCCTTGGATTCGATGTCAGTACAGTCGGACAGGAAGGGAGAGGTGGTTGGTCCTCGTCTTCATACTCCAAGAACGACGACTTTCTTGATGGATCCGGCCATTTTGTACATAGACTCCGGTAGGGCTGGTCAATATGTGGACCTCAAGCGCTCTGAGAAGTTGATAGAAGAAATAGCTGGTGAGCGAGATCAGTCAGTGCTCTTATAATCTGCAAGGGGTATGGAGAATGGCCGTCAACGTGTCACCCTTGGCATGATTGGTGCGTTACCTGGTCATATGGAGACCCACTGCTCATTACCATCTCGGTGACACTATGCATTCAATCTTTTTTTTTTTTTTTTTTTCGGAGTATATCTCTGTTTGACGACCGAAATTTCGTCCGTTACATGAAGTAAACCAATGTGGTGCATGGCCAGATGTGTGGTGAAGATATGGCTGGCATTGAGGAGAAACATCTTTTGTGCAACGCATAGATGGCACAGTTATGTCAGCATACAGCCATAAACAGTAAGTACTTACATTTGATGTCAATCCCCTTGCTAGGAGCTCGGTCCTTTCTAGCGATGAAATATATCGGCATGTGAAAAGATAAGATGCTGACCACAAGAAGATGGAGGGGTGCTGAGACATGGAGAAGGCTGGAGATGGAAAGGGGCAATTGGACAAAACCACGGTCACACGCCAATTTTGGTGCTTGTGGTTAATTTACACCTCAGCCCATAATGCAGTTGAGAGCATCAAAATCCAGAGAGAATAATTGCCCATACTTAGTTCATCCGCCTGTGATGACCGTAGTCATCAACGATGGCTCAGTTCCGGCCTCGACTATGACACCATGTTCGCGACAGCCAGTCGCAATCTCCTTTTGAGCTGCGAGTATGTTCGAAAGCATGGACTTGTCTATCTTCGGCAAAACATCCTCGGTCTTTGGACCACTCTTATCTTGCTCCCTTGTACACTGCGATCGCAATTCTTTGTTCGTCTTCTGCCCACCGACCATTCATTACTGCCGCGTCAGCCGATCTCGGCCACATACGTCTTTGCGAACGCGGATGGGATGACTTCCGAAGTCACAGGCTCGGAAGCGAAGGATCGTCCGAACGGAGCGACGCTCAGGAGAGACAATTTGTAGAAATTCGGACAGAAGCATGAGAAGGTGAGAACAAGTTAGGGTGTCGGAACGGTAGGGAAATAAAAGGTCGCAGTTTCAGTTTTGTATCAAGCCGAGGATTGGAAGATACGAACTCTTCTCGATCAGACCATGAAAGTGAGAAGGCATTCAGCATCAAACAAGTATCGATTTCGAGGTAGGTCTCATTCGAATCACACAGCTACTCCTAATCAAGTCCCGATCTCGGAGGCAGACACCTATCCTGTGATCCTAACAGATCCTCTCATTTGGTGTCCTTTGATCAAGTATCTTGAGGTTTCCCCAGCCAGTGCCGTTTTCCCTTTTTTCATCTGTTCGTTTCCCACCATCTCAACGTTGTCCCATTTTTTATACAGCATCTTGTGATTGTGCTTCATCCTCTTGCGAAGTGGTTCCCCGCCATCCTGGTCAAGTTGGACCTGATTGTTTTTCGAGTTTGGAGTTGAAGAAAGAGGACTATTCGGTATTTGTTGACTCGGGGGATTGTGAAGCTTGACCATGATAGCCAGGGTCATGGTCCTGGATCAATGAGGTTTCAACGCTTGATTTCGCTTCATTGGTGTCGATCGAGTGCAATGACGACTCGAGGTTAGAGCATCGGCCATTGGCGTTGTCGAATGAAGATCGGCTATTGGTCTCATCTGGCGATGTGTCTTCCCTACTCCCGTCTTCTCCCGCTCCAGAATCGGCACCTTCATCTTCGGCTCGACTAATCGAACCTCCAAGTTTAATCTTCTTGGGTGCCATAGTCTCTGGTGATTCATCCTCGGATTCGTCCTGGATCGCAGACATATTTCGCTTGATGGAGGTTGAGAACGTTGGGGTCTGTTCGATCTCACTTTGAGAAGCTTCGATGGACGGCACAGTGGTCGATTGGGTTGGCAGATTCTCCGGCTCGGGAGCTTGAGATCGTTCAAGGCGACCGGTCCTACGCAATTCGACCATATCTTGAAGCAAACCTTCCAGTTCTTCTACTGTAGCCATTCCGTCTTCCACTCGAACCTTCAAATTGTCCAGTCGGGCCGCCCTGCGAGGGATACGTTCGTAGGCACCGAGAACGTCTTCGTACACTTCTAGAGATCGCTCAAACATGAATTGGATGCTTTCTCGATCTTGATTGGCGATAGCTTGAAGGCCTGAGGCTGTTGTTGTCATGATTTCGACTCGTTCATTGATGGTATCGATCCGCGACTGAAGTTGGGCCGCTTCATTTTTCAACTCTGCAGCCTGAAGGAGAAGGGCATCGGCTTGGGCGAATGTCGCTTGTGGAGTAGTGGATAAAGTCATATTGATGAGGAATTCTGGCATCGTGGAACCCATAGCGGATCCCGAAGCGTCAAGAATGGACCTACGGCCTGGATTGTAATGTAGGATGGTTGCAATGAGGGATAGGAGAAAGCGCGATTGTGAGAGTGAAACGATCACGATAAAAGAGAGTGAAATATCTGGCTGGACAGTACTTTGTTTCACTCGCCAGCGGAGAGTAAAATTCACGACGTTGTTTTTTCCAGGCCGAAACCATATCAAAAGTATGATATGCCATACCTCCGTCTCAGAGGAGCCCCGTGTTCCAGTCCAGGATGGACAAGGAGCTCTCATGATTCTGGATTACTTGCTAATTTTTACCACCGATTAATTTTGCCCCTTGTCCGGTCTGCCTTGATTCTACTGAAAATCAAGCCCTCAATCCCAGCAGAAACTCTTTGGTTTTTGTACAGCTGTCTGTCCAGCCTCGCATACTCAGCCTTCACTCAACGAGCTGGTATCAACCTTGAACTCCCCAATATCGTGGAGATATTCTGGATCTGAAATCGTTTGTGTTAGCCCTTTTTTTTTTTTTTTATTCTCTCAAGTGTGTATCATCGAGACTGACCCGTTTTCTCTGCCACAATAGATTTCTGTGTTCGCGTAATCATACCCATGAGTTCGCTAGTTACCTCGTGTAGTTGCAGCCTCACCGTCTCGTTCCTCTTGGCTGCACCCTGGATAGCCTGAATGGCTACATGATATCGACTGGTCTCATTCACCAGCATCATGTTGAAAGGGGTGGTGGTGGATCCCTCTTCCTTGTAGCCGGCCATACTTACTCTCTGCATATTCGGCCGGCCGAACAATAAACCTTTTAGCTCGTTCGCATATCCATGGTAATTGAAGTGAATCGGTACATCCGAGGTGAAGAGGGCGTCGAACGCCTCATCCGTCAGCGCATGCGGGTGGCTAGAGAATGCCCCGAGGATCATCAGGTCAGTCACATTGACCACCCGAACACGGAGGTAAGGCATCTTCTTCCTCAGCAAGCCTACCGCAGCGATCACCTCGAAGGTCAACTCGGCACCAATGCCCACGAGGACGACGTCTGGGTCCCGTCCACCTGCCGTGGATGCAAATTTCCAAACGGAGGCACCGGCACGGCAATGGCTCTCCGCCTCATCAGCCGAGAGAAAAACAGCAGATGGTTGCTTGGATCCGACCATGAGGTTCACATAGTTCTTGGATTCCAGGCAGTGTGCCATTGTGGAAAGGAAAGTGTTGGCGTCGGGAGGAAGATACACCCGGGCAGCGTCGGGCTTGAGATTCAGAACTGCTCCGATGAAACTCGGATTCTGATGGGAGAAGCCATTGTGTTCCTGCCGTGTCCACGTGGATGTTTCGAGATAGTTGATGCTCCCGATATCCTGGCGCCAGGTCAATTCCCGTGCCATCTTGCCGAACTTGGCAAACTGCACCATCATCGTGTGGATGATGCCGAGGAAGGCCTCGTAGCTGGGGAACAGACCCACTCGCCCTGTGAGTGTATATCCTTGCAGCCACCCCTGACATTGGTGCTCCGAAAGAGTTTCAATGAGACGGCCACCTCGCGCGGGGGAGAATTGGTCCCACTGAAAGTTGCGATGGGTGGAATCGAGCACCGCGTTCAAATTGTTCGATTCAAATTCGTCGGGAGAGAAGATTCGGAATGTTTTAGGATTGTCCTGGACCACTTGCTCCAGTAACTTGCCCACTCTCTTCATCGAGCTGTCCAAGCTTCCTTTGGGGACGGCAAACATACGCCAGTCGATGGGGTGGAGACCTTGATATGCGTCGAAGGCTTCCTTTTTCTGGCCCAGACGCCGTTTCGGGTCCGGGGGAATGATAGATTTGATCTCATCAATGACATCACCATTTTCTTGGAAGAGTTCTCGCGGTTTGTACGACTCCAGCCATTCCTGAAGCATTTTCAGCTCCTCCGGGTCGGTCTTCGCCGCTGCCAAGGGAACCTGATGTGCCTTGTATGAGCCCTCGACAATCTGACCGTGAACGTTCTTCGGCCCTGACCATCCTTTGGGAGTTCGCAGAATCAACACCGGCCACCGAGGCTTCATCATGGGCTTTCCACTCCGGGCCGCGGCCTGAATCTTTTGGATTTCAGTCAGAGCCCATTCCATCGAATTAGACAGGTCCGCATCAATGTGGTCCAGGTCGTCCACCACCCTGGGCTGATATCCGTAACCGGTGAACAGCACCGCCATTTCTTTGTCGTCCATGCATCCATAAATGGTTCTCTCGCTGATCTTGAAACCATTCGCATGTACGATAGGTAATACGGCACCCGACTCTGCTGGGTCGATGTACTTGTAACCATGCCACGCGGTCGCGGTCGGGCCGGTCTCGCACTCACCGTCGCCCACGATACAAGTCACGATCAAATCCGGATGATCCATGACTGCGCCGAAGGAAACGCTCAGTGCATACCCCAGCTCGCCCCCTTCGTGGATTGCTCCAGGAGTTTCAGCATTGATGTGACTGGGGAACCCGCCCGTCGTGCTGAATCGAGAGATAAGATGGTGGAGACCTTGGGCGTCTTGAGAGCAGTGAGGGTAGAACCTGGCCAGGGCGCCTTCCACCCAGAGATTGGCGAGGATAGCGGGTGCGCCATGGCCCGGACCAACGACATAAAGCATGTCCAGGTCATGTTTCTGGACGAGAAGATTTAGGTGTGAATAGACCAAGGTCAGACCCGGACAAGTTCCCCAGTGACCAAGCAACCTAGGCTTGATATCCTCGAATCGGAGATCTCTTTCTAGAAGGACATTGTCCTGTAGAAAGATCATGGCAGCGGCAATGTAATTGGCCGCGCGTCGATATTTGAGCATAACCTCACGTGTGTCATCGGCCAATGTTGGCTTGTCGAGTTTGACCAGCAAATCTGACACATAGTCGGGAACATTTGACGGTGGAGGTTGAGGATTAGGTCGACCGATCGCTTCTCCTGGCATGACGGAGGAAGCACTGTAGGATTCGACTGGGAGGACGGCGGGTGGATGACAAAGGAAAACGGGTCACTGTCGGCCGCGAATGTCATAAGGTGATGCCTACACAGTCAGTTAGATGTTCTGCAACAGGAAGATTTACGAGGGGCATTAAAAGATATCGTGGTCGAGCCATGACTGAGGTTGTCTCATCATCACCTCAGCAGAAGAACCAGTATTGCGACACTATGATGTCGATAGAACCAGGGGTTTCGGTAAACTGATGCAATGAAACTGGAGACTGAAGTTCAACTGTATCCAATCACTGGTCACCGCGAATGGAGGAAGCTTTCGCCATCATAACTGAGGGCATCGACGTCAGGGCAATCCCTGTTGTCACAGACGGGTGCCATTGTAATAGTGCGGGTTTGCCGTTTCTTCCAAATACAAAAAGGGTTTCACGATAACGTCAGCGAACGGTGCCGCGCATGGACGACACCCGCTGAGACTGTCGTGATCGATAGGTGTAGTAGAATTACTACGACGGACAAATTGACTCGGTAGGTGGTGCAGAATATCATGCTCTCGATCAACGCAGGCAGCTCATTGCTGAAGGAAAAACTCTGTTCATTGGGGGAAGACAGTTAGAGCCGCGGTACCCCAATAAAATACGCTTGAGGCCCCCCAAACGACAACTTCCGCTTTAACTAAGCATCCACTTCCCCTCCCCGCAGCCCCGATTACTGCAAGCCTCATTAGGAGAATGCTGAGTAACATTTCAGCAGCCAGATTTCAGTTCACTACTGATCGCAAGGCCCCCGTATATCTGAGAATGAAGGCGCCGCAATCATTGGCCCTGGCCTTCTCCTCCCTTGGACCCTTCTGAACCCGGAGGCAAGTTCTTGATTCCACAGTCTCATTCGCCCACAAATTGAATCCGATCATGAAAATCGGGGATCCAAAGGCCTCTTTCTCATCACCTCACCCTTCCACTTGGCTGATTGTTGCGGTGCCCGGATCTTTCCGTTGCGCGTCTTTGTCCTAATATCTGACGCATCCAGACTTCAAGATAAGACAGATCAGCCTCAATCCGCTTGCCCTCTTGTAGTTGCTTGTTGAGAGCTTCCTCCTCCCTCCCCTTAGCCTTGTCCCTCTCCCTCTGCTCTGTACCCTCTGCCGCCAACCGATCGACCCGGTCGATTTCGGCCTCATTCAAATCACCCAGAGTGATTTCCTCGTTCTTCCACGCTCGTACAAGCGCTCTATCAGCTAAACGTTGGGCGGACTTTTCCTTCGTTTCGCACCGGTCCTTTTCTAGCTCCGCTTGTTCTTCCGCATTCGTCTCCTCCTACAAGACATGTCCACCCTTCAACGTACGGGAGAGAGAAAAGGCTCTAATTGCTTTTGGTGCCATTGGACTTTTACTTGGATCATGCGACGTGATGAATCAATCAAGCCGATTAGTCTGCCAGGTACAGTTCTTTTGCTTCTCGTCTGCGAACTGAGATAGCTCGACGGCGCCGGGCAAGGATAAGTCTCAAATCCGGTTGCGGCAAACTGGGTGTGGACAAGACCTTCCAACAATGGACTGTGCGTGTTAAGGCCACAATAATCGATATTGTCGAGACTCCACGGAGACATACGTGCCTTAAATAGTGTTGAACTTTGGGCTTTTTCTCCGCCTTGTGAAGAGTCTACAGCACGAAGGCGAACTTGCATTCAACAAGTTTGATTTAGGCATTGACATTAGCGACCGAGAACCGTACATCTGAAAGGGTTATCATGGCTAGTATCTCCATCCTGGACATTTTGTAACCGCAAGTCAATTGCATTCGAACATGTTTGCCCATTATCTTTAGAGCGTTCGGACCGTTTTGTCCTGAACCATCCTTAGAGTGTCATCGACAAGGCTGCAGTCCATCGTTGGCTCCATTTATCGGCGAGTATGCAGATCCTGTATATAGCAATAGGACTTCGCCGTCTTTCTCCGTTGAACGGTTGAACAGTAGCAAGTGCCCCTTTAGTGGGAAATGGGTTATCACTTCTATGTAAGATATAGAGGTCAACCAAACATGTATAAATACCCGAAACCTGGCCGGACCAGTTGCTAGATAAATAGAGCATTCAATACATATTCTCTTGGCATACTCGGTTCGACATTCTCCAATGCAAGAGAACATATCAAGGTGTGGGAGTTGAGGGTTGCTTGTTCAATGACATGGCATCCGATAGAGTAAGGAACCATTTCAAAGCCGGGTGGAGAATCGTCAGTCATGATTTCGACCAGGTCATTTCCTGCGAGGACAGAGGTGTGACCAAGAAACGGAATTGGACCGTCTTCTAGAAGGTTGAAATACACCTCGGGACAGATGGTACGATCGTGGCAATGAGAATCGAGTCGAAGTTGCAGAATTAGTTCATAAATTGAGGATCTGGCTGGACGAGGCGAAGACGATCCATGGCGACTGTGGCAACACCAATGTCTCATCCGTACACACAAATTGGATGATCAAACATCACCTCACGTTCTCCATAGACAAGAGGCTGACCCAACCCACCCTCAACTCACCCTTCTCACAGGCTGGCTCATCCTGCGTCGAGAGGTTACCTTCGACCATGATGGCGGTCTTTCGTTCGAGACGAACTGGGGACCCGAAGAGTAGTCAACCAATTGTGGGTCGTCGAGACAGTGTTCTCCAGGATGATGCACGCCAGAGATTTTCCTCGTGCAGCGGCCGGCGTGGAGGACCGTAACCCCAGAGATATTTAAGAAGGTATGGCCAAAGTGTGCGAGGGAAAAGGAGATCATGGGCCATTCCACGTCCGTGGAATGCGGTCTTCCGTCGAAGGCAATGAAAATGGACCGCCCCGATTACTGAACGATTCGAGTTTCTGTCCTGACTTCAACAGGCGCCCGCTAAGGTTATTTGTTAGTGACATACTCTGATCGGAAGCTGGACCATCGAAGACCTACCGCCATGTGTGTGGCAATAATTCAACGATGCTTGCGTCGGACAGAAATACCACTCCGTAACCAAAGCCCGCGATGGTTGAACCGACAGCAAGTCCTAGTGTTTGTGGTGTGGTGCAGGCCACAATCTAATCGACGTTAGAAGTTATTCATCCACTGAGTATGGAAGGTAGTAGAAGGGGTAGACTTACACAACCCACAAGACAAATGACTTCACTAGGCCATGATGGTTTAACGGCAACCGAAGATGTCACTTAATTTGCCAGCGATTGAAAAGGAGACTGACGAAGCAATCGACCACCCCAAAAAGATCCAAGCAATATTTCGCGTATCATCCAGTTGCGTGCCCACGGGGACGAGGATCGCTGAGATGAGGAATAGCCTGCGAGAGACGTAGGAGAGAGCCAAGAACTGTTTCAACGCCAGAGTCAGTAGGTCTTCGAAAGTTATGGATTGATCACATACCGTGACGGCCTGAAGGGTTTTAAGGGCAGTCGTTCTGCCTTCTTTGGATTGTCCTCTAGCGCTGCGCGGTGAGGATCGTCGAAATCCAGTGGCGCATGGTCGACGTGTTCGACACGGGCATGTTCAGTCATCTTGTTCAATTCACCAATTGCAATGTTGAGCTCGGTGCGTGGGGCTTCTTCTGCTGTCTGCTTGATGAGCTTTCTGCCCAAAGAAGATACCTTCTAGAGCGAGGATGACTACATGTCCAGACGTTTCTGCATCGAAATGTCTTAATGTATCACCTCAGTGACACCTCGTATTCTACCAGGTCCTCTACACCATTCGGGGGCCCTGCAGCCCTCCCGTAAAGGTTCGCAGGGACGTTTCGAAAGAGACCTAATGTAGGCAAGGAAACAGGAAGCCGCCGCCCTCGATGTCCGTCTCAAGGAGCCGAAGGCATTCACAGGACCCACATTGGACGTTGCCAGACCAACACAGATAGGCTGAAACGGCTGTACGGTTTCCAGTCACAACGCTCATCCAAGCAAGGTCCTCCTTAAAGTGGTTGAACAAGCTGTGTGCTGCTGTGTGAACAATGAAGATATCAACATGGGACATACTACACGAAGCAAGCTTGAGTAGCTTCTTGTGTCGTAGATCGAAAACCAATTGCCCCATCCCCGGTTACCTACGCCCGCAAGCAGATGACATTACTCCCCCAACCAACGGCCCAAGATTTGTTGCCGACATATCTACCGGCATACTGATGCTCAGCAGGACGGTGATCAAGCTGAAATATTTATCAACGAGCTTCACAAAGTGTGCCCTGTAGTAGCAAGCAAGGACGATCGTCTTTTCGCTCGGCGTCGGACTTGCGGGTCGTGTAGCTTCGGCATTCCAAGAACTGACGAATTCAAATCGTCGTTGGCTCGTTCCATAATAAAACTTTGGCCAACTAATCCACATTTTCGAAGCAGGGAGCGGCTGGTCGTAAAGCAGCCTGATAGTGTCGTCCGGCCGTCGGATAGGCGGGATGACTTTGCATGGCAGATCAACAAACGCTGGCCTATGCTTGGGCTTTCACGAAGCCGCCACGGAAGAAAGGAACGTGTATGGCCTTGTTGCGCGCAGTCTAAGGTCCAGTCGTCGAGGAAGTATATTGAATAATGGAAAAGCCCGCATTCAGCACCCGAAAACGAACCGTTAAAGGCGACGGAGGGAGGCCTGTTGACAGAAAGTTCAGGAAACGGTTGTTTTTTTGGAGCTCTGTTGGTAGGGTATGGTGCGGTCAGTAAAAAGGAGTCGCAAAGACCGTGCAAGCGCTGTGGCATTCAGAGTCCCAAAAGTTCCATCAATGCCTACACGATCAATGGCACCTGCGGAACCCATCATGTGAAGAAATATAACTCGCGCAACCGTACATGGATACGGAGCTTCTTGTTCCCAATCACGCGGTTTGAGAGAACGCCTGTAACAGATAACTGACAATCTCCATATTCTCCGTATCCATGCTCCGCAGCTTCTCAGTATTGAATAGGCCACGAGCCTCGGCTTCCACGAAGATGCATGCAAGCTGGCAGAATTCCGGACCAGCATCCCTCATGAATCCTAGCTTCTTCCATTCTTCGACCGGCAGATTGCTCATTTGCAATTCCCATATTCTCATCCAACGGTCCAGGGCTCGCATAAATGCGGGATACATAATCTTTCCTGTACCATTCGCACGTGAGGCATGAATGGCACAATGAAGACCTAGTTGCTGATGTGAGATAGTGAAATCGAATAGGAGAGAGTGGTTGTACCGCAGAGAACAAAGAAGAAATTCATGGGGGAGAGATCGGCTAGGTTCGACTGTCCTGCAAGGCCCTCTCGGCCTTCCAGGAGTTGGGATGAATTTGTTGAGATAGCCTGCGTACTGAACCTCATTTCTTGCTTGGCGTATTGCTCGCATGCAGCACTCGTGGTGGCAGAAAAGCACCTTTCACTGCACATCGGGTTCCCTGCCATTTCTGAGATGGCCAGTCTCGGATAATGCTCGTGAAACATGGCAAAATTGCATTCGATACCAAATATGAGGTAGGCGAGCCTCGATACACCGTGAGAATCCCAACGTGAAAGCTTCGAAGATGTACTCACCGTATTCTCGACTCCTTTGCCACAAATCCGTGCCAGTCAAAATCAATACAATCTCTTTGTTCACGATCCAGATATTCATTCTTACTGTCGAAAAGTTTCAATCTGCGAGCCGCCTGGATTACCTCATTGTATCGTGCATTCCTCACTCGCCGTCGGGATATAACATTGTTGCCACACATTTGCAGGAGGACCATTAAGTATGCGGCTTGGAGCGGCTCCAGTGACGAGGAAGAGGCTAATGAGGAAGGTGGCTCGTCCCGCAAAAGTTCTCTGAATTGAGGGTGATTGAAAGCGTATTCTTCGGCAATATCATAGTAAGCTTGAGCCAGGGAAGGGTAAATCTCGGAAGAGTATGCCTCTCCGATCAGAAAGACGGCTAGTAATAGCGGGGGGTGACCGTTGGTCAACACGAAGGTCGGGCGATGCAAAATCGGGCAATGAGGACTCCAACGATCAAAGTAGAGCTCTGTAAACTCTACCATGTTGTCGTGGGTGAAAAGAGACTTAAAGGTCTCTTCATCGAAGAAGAGCGCACCTGGAAGTTTTCGGCATTGCGACCGATGTATAGCTGTGAGATCGAGCACGACCTGCGCCATCCTTGCTTGGAGGTGGTTGTGGTCCAACGCATCAGCGTGATGAAGCGAGTTTCGAGCTAAAATGATTTCGTTCCACCACTGCTCCTCGGAATTTCCAAGCAAAGATGAGATCCCATAAACCGGGGTCGATTCGCCAGGCCATACATCGTCCACTGTGCCTTCGTCTACAGAATCGTCCAACCGATCGCCCGGCGTACCGACGGCGTCATCATGGTCGGAGAAGTGATCGCTCAGGTCTTGGACGCTTTTGTAGCAGGCTGAGAGGGAATTGGTGGCAGGATTGGTGTAATTAAGGAGGAAAGGCATCGCGGTCTTTGCACTTCGGGTGCTCGGATCGGACGGGGAACGTTTGGAGAATCGTTCTGCTCGTACAGAATGCCTTACCGCCGGGTTGTCGAATAATGCAGCCGCATCCTTGCGCACAACCACTTTCTCACGATCTCGGTAGGTACATTCCGAATTTCTCCTGAGACATCGAGTACACGGTAACTTCTCGTCGCAAGCTACTTTAGCTACCGCACATGATTCACATGCTTTCCTCTTCCGACCACGAGCCCCTGGACTGGGATTTGGATTCGAACCCTTCTCCCGACAGGATTCCGAATGACGGTGAGCTACATCTCTTAAACGTGCCTATATTAGACGCGAAACAAGTCATAGGTTGGTGTGAGGCTCACCTTCTCGCAAACTGTCGAGGGCAAAAAGCGCACGAGAATGTGGGTCCAGTGGTATCTATGTAGATTGAGCATGATTGTCATGGCCCTGAGCGACGATACCTACGAAGTTTTTCATGGCGGCGCAGGTGACTGCTATTGGAATATGTCCTTTGACATTGTTGGCATTGGTAGACAGGGGGCATTGTGAACTGAACCCAAGAGTCCGGGCGAAGCTGAAGAGGGTGTGTCCGGTGAAATTAGGAAGGTTCTGGAAAGTTTAACCCACAGAAGAAAACGCGGGGCTCCAGGTCTCTTATGTATCGCCGGGCCAAAATTAAATCTCCGCCAATGAGACTGCGTGGCCAACAGTCAAGCAGCCTGACTGATAGTTTCAGTCAGGCCAACGGACTTCTCAGTCAGGCAGGCAAACAAGCCGTCGACAGTTGAATAGTCAGGCTGAAGGCCTTTGCCTGAGGCCGGACGTCAGGCAAGAGTAGATATGCTTAGTAAGTGAGAGTAGCCAATCAGATATCTAGCAACGCAATTCCCTAGACTATCATGCTATAGCTAATCAGCGCGCCCCGCTTCACCTTTAACGCGAAGCATTTAGAACCACTCGGCAACATCAATCTCTAACTTCTAAAAGATTAAGCAAGTCTTCTGTAAGGCAGGCGGTTTATATATACGCAACAAAAAAAAAAAAAATTAAGAAAATAAAAGGCCCCCCTCCTAGAGTCCATCTCTAACGAACTTATAGATGGGGCGCCGCAGCCAGTGAAAGCTTCAGCCACACAAGTTCAACTGAAGAAGAGTTTGAATCAGTGACCTCCTAACGGTATGAACAAGACGACATCATCAACAATCACTGGCTGGAGCATTACGTTACCCATCTAGGGCACCTAGAAACTCAATGGAGCTAGGCCGGACAACCCTCTTACCTTACCTATGGCTAAACACTAGTAAGGCCCCTCAATTCTATCGGTTCGACTGCAAGCCGAGTGTTTTACCACTCGGTTACGTCCTTGATAGGTCAACCACGATTTGGTGTCAATTTTGAAGCAGTTTTGGCATTATAAAATATAAACTTGAATTTTTTTTTTTTTATTTTTCAATTTTGAAATCGCCGGGTTAGGGCTTGGCGTTGTGCGGCGACGCCAAGAGCGACGAGCCGGCCAATCACGTAAGCATATGTCTTGGCGTTATCACGTAACTGTTTTCCTTGGATTCCCTCGTCGCCCATCGGATCCAGTATATGGACCACTCAACCCCCAACGGATTAACTATTTTCCTGGGTCACGTGCTCCACCGGGCCCCGCCCTCCCAACTCGATATAATCCATGGATTGGATCCGATGAAATCCCCCTCTCGTCGCCCATCGGATCCAGTCTATGGACCACTCGACATTTAACTGATTAACCATTTTCCGGGATCACGTGCCTTCCCGCACCCTACTCGATAGATATCGATATCCTCGATATCGAGATGATCCACGCATCGGATCCAGTCTGTGGACCACCTAGAGAAGCTCTACTAGTCACGCTCGAGATGGTTCGTAACCGAGCGTTAACGGACGAGCCTCGATGTCGACGTGGTCCATGGATTGGATCCGATGAAAGACCACCGCCAATCCGTGGACCATGTGGCCGGGGGGCATCTTACTCGATAGGGGTCGACATCCTGATATCGAGAAGATCCACGGATCGGATCCAGTCTGTGGACTACCCAGAGAAGCTCTACTAATCACACTCGAGATGGTTCGTAACCGAGCGTGAACGGACAAGCCTTGACGTCGAGATAATCCACTGATAGTCCTCATCTCTCTTCATCCTGGGCCCCTGCATTTCTGCCCTGTCTCACATGATCAGCCGGCGCCCTGTATTCTCAGGCCTCCTTCCAGTTCGCCCTTCCGCGGCCCTCCGACCCTGGGGAAAAACTGTTGAACGGTTGGACAGCAGCAAGAGCCCCTTTATCGGGAATAGGGGTTATCACTCCTATGTAGAATATAAGGGTAGGAATAGGAGAAGAAAAGGGGTCAACCAAACGTGTATAAATATCAGCAACCTGGTAAGACTAGTTGCTAAAGAGCAGAGCATTTAATTCATGTTCTCTTGGCGCTTCTGTTGTCCTGAATAAGCTCTTAAGTGAACCCTCGGCAAGGATGGTACTTCCGTTGCCCCGAACAAGCCCTTAGAGAACCTCTGGGAAAGTGATGGCATTTCCGTTGTTCTGTATGCTGTACAACGGCGTAGCACATAGCCCGACCCGCCATTAGCCGTTGCCAGTCCCACAATGTGTCCCCCCAATCCTGCCATAACCCTTGCAATCTCTCTACTCAACGTTCTCCCAGAAGTAATCAACCCAGGTCGCGAGATCCGCGACATTAAAGACGAAGTCGCCTTCTGGTGGTACAGCGGCTCGAAGGAAGATTTTGTCAAATTCGAGAATCAGAGGCGCTCCAGCAACGTTATAGGCTGAGGCAGTGCCTGGCTGAACGGTGACAATTGGCTGACCGATGGTATTCGACTGAGCAGTAGGACCTAGTTGTGGAGTGGGATTTTGGGTGATAGTAAGCTCTTGGACTTTTGTCGGAATTGGAGCATTGGGATTTGGGTGGCTTCTGGTAGCTGGCCTATATGCGGTAGGCGGAGAAGGGCACCACTTTTCGACCATCAGCGTCTTCTGTGCTCGCTTAATTGAGATGACGATGACAATCTTGACATCTCCTCCATAGTTGACAATCCACCATTCTGCGTCATGTCTTAGACGAGTAAGTCTTTCAGAGAGTCCAGACTCAAAAACAATGGTTGGCCAGTCAGATTTCTTTTTTCGGGCCGGGAAGGGGCAGAATCCCGTATCACCCTCTTTAGAGGAATTAGGGAGTTTGTATGTTGTCCCGCCAACAGGACATAGGCAGCCTTCTGGGAGGCCCATTCTGACAGATGCGTGAATAAGTTTCAGGGCTAGTGTGAGGTGCGCAACTTCATGTTCCTTTGAGGGCATCAGCTTGATAACTAATAGATTGTTATCCGCGTAATGACTCATCCGAGTATGCTTCCCTATGTTGGCGCGCTGATGGTCAATCTTTTCAAGTTGGCCTTTTGTAACACCCATGAAAACAAGGTACTGCTGATTCGTGTGGCCGTCCATCAACGCAGCGGACTGCAAGTTGACACGTTCTTTTAGGTCTCGGATCCCTTTGTACGTATACATACGAGCGTCTTCCAATCCCTCTAAGGGCGATAACTTCGGTGGTGAACTCTCCACTGTCGTAGTCTCTTTTGATGTAGTTGAGCTTGAGGATGACCTTGACATGGGTGTATATGTAGGTGCCTCATCGCTGGGTCCACAGATTGTATTCATGTTGAGGTTCGAAGGGCGGAAGGCGCAATGTCGAAGGAGTAGAAAATGCTGGTAGAAGAATTAGGTAGGGAAAAGTTGTTGATGAATCGGGAGTGTACTGAGGCGAGGGTGGATGCACTGAGGTAGAAGAGATTATGAACTGTATGGAGAGAAGATTGACTGATTGATTGATCTCAAAGCACACGAGGGTATAAGTTGCCTCAGGTGTCACTATAGAGTGATAATGCCAAGCCAGTCACGGTGACAACGCCAAGCCAGCATTGCCTATTCTGGCCAACAATGAACGCTTAAGTAGCCCTTCAGTAGAGAGAAGCAATAGGTGAAAGCGGATGTATAGGTGTCACTCTCTCGAGGCTGTTAGACTTGATGTTGTGATATGTGGCGACGCCAAGGCTTGTAAAGACCTTCGGAAGCGTTGTACGCTTCGTACATGCTTCGAAAGTATATAGTCTGACGGTCCCCTGGAACCCCTTCGAAGTCCTCCGTAAAATCACAGCGTGCCAGCCAAGCACTCACGTAAGAATGAAGACGCTTGCAATGAGGGAAGAGTTGGCATTTAGGGGAGAAGAACTCCAAAAGCGGCGGCAGATTTCCCTGCAACCTGCGTTGTGTTGTAATATAAAGCCCGCTGAGCCCTTGGGTTGTAAGTCGACGGTCCTATTGTTTGTGAGATATCCCCTTCGCGCTATATTGTCATACGAGATGGATCATTCTATAATTTGCTTTCTTCGGACAAGCGCCTCAATGCCCCCCTTCCGCGATGATTTCAGCCTTATCCCACGGCTTATTATAGTTACATTGGCAACCGCTTTCATTCTGCTCGTGGTCGACTTCATCCGAGTTTTACGCCTACGTCGTCGACTACCTCCAGGTCCTTTTCCTTTACCAATAGTGGGGAATCATCTCATCATACCAAAGGTCAAGCCATGGATCGCCTTTGAAGAATGGAGCAAATACTACAATGATCCACTTTTCACAATCTGGCTCGAAGGCGACCGATCATTGTTGCCGATGATGCTTGGTCCGCTTCAGAGCTCATGGAGAAACGAGCCAATATCTATTCCTCTCGACCGGAGATCGTCATCATGGGTGATATGTTCAACTGGACTGTGAATAATCAGGTATGCCAGGTCTACGGGGACCGATGGAGGACATACCGGAGGCTTACAGTACGAGTGATTCTCCTATATTGCCCTCCGCCTCTCCGTTAACATCTTTGCAGCATTCAGTCGTGGGCTCTCAAGCGATCCGCACCTATCGCGACATTCAAGCCGCAGAATCTAAAGTCATGACGTGGAACATATTAATAGATCCTGCGGATTATGTCTTTCATCTCGAAAGCGTGCTCCGTGGCCTCCATCTTTGGCTGGGGACGTCGTATCGTGAGGAAAAACGATTACGTGGCCAAGCAAGCGCTCGAAGTGATGGCCAATGCGGTCGACGTTATCATCCCCGGCCCATACTGGATGGAGTCTCTACCATTCTTGACCAAGTTACCCAAGTGGCTTTACCCCCTGCCACGAGCCATCCAAGACCAAGCCAGTCTGCTCTCACGCTACTTCTATGCTCTATCTCTTGAAGGATCTGAAGGGAAAGAAGGCAGCTTTTCTATGCGACTCATCGAAGAACAAAATTCCAACGGTCTATCCAACGAGGAGGTGGCAAGCTTGACCTCGAACTTGATCGGGGGGCGGCGTTGATACAACGAGCAGCACTATCATATCGTACATTCTGGCCATGTGCGTGTTTCCTGAGGCCCAGAAAAGGGCACAAAAAGAATTGGATGAGGTGGTTGGCCATGATCGGAGTCCTGATTGGTCGGATGAAGCTTCCTGTTGAACTTCGTGAATTGAAAAGAGTGCTCTGGCTCTCCTCATGAATGGAGGATAGAGCCCATCTATATATCTATCTAACGAGCGTACGTCACCATTGTTGCCTGTCAATGGTGATACAGCCTATTGAGCGAGTGTTGCAATATATCCTAGTCTGTTGTAAATGATTGGCTAGCATTTGTTCAATGCTATTGTCCAACACTTCCCTTCCATACGTTGGCGCCATTATCAAAGAGACGCTGCGTTGGCGCTCCGTTACGATTCTTGGAGGTATTCCACACGCTCCGATTCGGGATGATGTATATAATGGCTATCTTATTCCTGCTGGTACGAACATCACCGGAAACCTCTGGGTCATCCATCGCCATCCTCGCGAATTTCCCCTTCCAGACAAGTTCGAACCTGAGAGATATTTGGGAGGGCTCCACTTTTAGTATCCCAACGCTCGCGGGCACCATGCCCTTGGCTGGGGTCGGAGGCAGTGTAGCGGGCAGCCATTGGCAGAGGCCAGCCTGGCCATTTCTATTGCCAGACTTCTTTGGGCATTCGATATCAAGCCTGGCTTGGACGATCAGGTAAGAATCTGACCTTGGAACGATTGATATCCGTCCTTAGTAACGTATTTTGCGACACAGGGTCGTGAAGTCAAACTGGACATCTTCGCCTACACAGATGGGGAGATGAAGCTCACTTTGGCTGATGTGTCTTAATGAGACGAATACTGTTCTGGCTTTGTGGCCATGAATTGTCGGCAAACGCGAGATGTACCAGGATAGAGCGGCCTCGGAAGAGCCATTCATACCGAGCGTGGTCCAAGACTGCATATTGAGATTGGGGAAAGATATCTCGAGATTCACTCTTTGATCAAAGTGTGCTTTTGAACACTAGTCCTATGCAAGATAGCATCTTTCGCTCTTGTCAATCATTCTCCAGCAACGTAGCATCGAGACAAACCTGTTGTATTTTGACTACTTTCCGCCGTGAATGTTTCATCGACAGTCCTGCTTACAGCTATAATGCAATCGTCACTACATATAGCATTACTGCTCTCACGAACAATTGTTGTAACGATTGTACTGTCCTTCACCACTCTACGAGCACAGGATTAGACGCGACGTTTGAAACTCGCCATCATGTGGGTGACCCACATAATTTTCCGAGAAACTTTGGAGTAGACGGATTTATGGTCACTATTGACGCCACCAGTACCCACATGGAACCTTTGCCACCTCAGCGACCGCATTTCAAGAAGATCCCACCTCCGAGACAACTAAGTACTCGCATCCATCAGCCCCATTGAAATTTGGACTAGCTCCCCATGCTCCAAGCTCCTGACTGAGACGCCCCGCTCTCCACCTCTGCTATTGTCACTGGCATGGACAACACCGACCCCAACCCTTCGGGCTGCAAAGGGTTCCCAGTCTGAAAGGCCGATCGGTAGCTCAAAGGTCTGCTGGCGTTATTCACTACCGTCACATGAGAGATTGCTAGCCGATCTCAGGAAACATATAAGCGAGGAATTACTTCACCTCCCACAAAACCAGTTTCAAATTTTGAAAAATCCCGAAACGGGACATTTCACTAATATTAGACGCGGTCGTACGCTCCGATTAACGGCATGACGGATCCAACTAATGCCATGTCCCAACATTTCGATGGAGTTCTCGTCGTTGGTGCCGGTCCATCAGGCCTCATACTTACCTATGAACTCCTGCGCCGTCGGGTGCCGGTACGTCTGGTGGAAAAGCGCAAAGGACCTTCTCATACAGCCCGTGCGATGACGGTGCACGCCCGTTCGATGGAGATGTTCGACCATATGAGCATTGGCCACCGATTAAAGGAGGTTTGCCTCGAATGTCCAGGAAACAGATATCATTTCCCGGGCATGCCTGACGAGCAGTGTCCCAAGACTGACTATAGAGTTCTGCCGACGAGATATCCATTCTACTACAAGATCAGCCAAAACGACTTTGAGCAAGTATTGAGGGAACATCTGTTTGCGACACATGGAATGGCCCCGGAGTACCAGACCGAAGTTGTAGCACTGTCGAGTCCGGCAGACATCGAGATGGGTGGGAGGGTTAGGGCTACCATCAAGTTGCCCAACGGTGATTTCGAGGACACGACATATCCCTGGGTTGTCGGATGCGACGGCGTCAAGAGCTTCGTGCGTGATGTTGCCGGTATTGCATTCAAGGGAGATGTCGTCGCCGCCATGGCCATGATGGACGTGCCTCTGACGGGCGTGAACTTTGACGATCGATGGATGAACTACTATTTCACCAAGGACTTGTTCATGAACGTGACACGTATGCCTGGTGGAGTGTGGAGAATCTACATGAGCGAGCCCACAGGGGAGTACGTCTACAGGGACGACAAAAAGCAATCGTTCCAGGAGGTCGCCGATCAGATCGGCATCGGGTTCAAGCTAGGAGAACCGGAATGGGCGACTTCATGGGAGATCAGGAACAACATTGCCAGTCATTATCGCGAGGGCCGCTTGATCATCTGTGGAGACGCCAGTCACGTCCATTCCCCATCTGGGGGACAAGGGATGAACGGCTGCATGCAGGATGCCTTCAATCTTGGCTGGAAGCTGGCCGCCGTCTGGAAACGTCAAGCAAAAGCGGAGATTCTTGATACTTATGAAAGAGAAAGAAAGCCCATCGGGGAGCAGATCAGTCGTGGTGCAATGGCAACTCATCATATTGTGATGGGGTTTGGCGAAGAGCCCGAGAAGCGTTATCCTTTAACGCAGGGGCCGAACTGGGAAGAGAATACGATCAGGCTGGTATCAGGCCTCTCACACAACTACTGCGAAGTGGTTCGTGTTCCCGTTTTGCTTCGTCCTCCCAAAGGGCCGAGAGCAGGCGAGAGAGCCCCTGATGCGCTTCTCATAAAGTCTCCTCAGCGACATCTCTATGACATTTTCCGCAGGCCACAATTTACCCTCCTCATTGTTCCCAGCATGTCACGGAAACATGAACAGTTGGTACAAGCCGTGGCCATCCGAGACACGCTCAACGCACGATTCCCTGGACACGTATGTGTGCACCTCATCTCCGACAAACGTGAAGTAGAGTTTGATTTTGATCGTCAATCCAAGGACGAAACAGGCCAGTTTCTGGATATGTACGAGATTGACCGCAATGATGATGATGGAAGGTTGGTGTTGGTGAGACCAGACCTTTATGTTGGAATGTCATGCTGGATGACTGAATGGGAAGCCGTATCGGACTATCTCGAGCAGTGGTATATACCAGTTGCGGCCAATGGGTGATAACCCTTATCCCAGTGACGGAGTCAAGACCCTCACAGGATGATAGTTAAGAACGTTATTCCAGCCGCTCATCACTTCTTGACATAGGTTGGCCTGGCCTAGGCTTGAAAAAATGCGATTTGCTGCATTAATCTTCGCTGCCTCTGATAGTCTAGAGCTGTTTTGTATGGCTCTCTTTTCCGGTACGGAGATCGACTTCTAAGCGCGCGGGAATATATGCGGAGCAATTCTTCGTCATCTACATTGCAATTATTCAGGGTGGTGGTGTAGCTGGACAATGGTCGATCGTTGTATCCAACATTCCACAATCGATGGCCTCAACGAATCGAATATTAAGCCTGCGAGAACATCTCAAGCCTTCCGAACACTAGAACGAAGTTGCTTGGGCCAAGATAGACCGCGGCCCGAAAATTGAACCAAAGCACGTCAAATTCAAGTATCCAACGAGAAACGTGCCCGTTTTCAAGGATTTGAACCTCTCCATCAGGCCAGTCGTCCACGGCTGATTCGATCATCTTTGCTATTGACCAACCTGACTTCATTGCATGCAACCGATTGCCTCCAAGCGCACCTCATGCCATCCCACATATCAAGGCGAGCATGGCAGAGTGAGCTTCGAGATTCCATTCCCATGCTGGACGGTATGTGTCACGGCCTTCAGTTCTTTCGCTTGAGTTCGGATCACCCCCGTCCCCGGATTCCGCGCCATCAGGGGAAAGGAGCCGCCAGCGACTATCACTCTGATGCACGTGTTCTTCTTGAATACGTGCGCCCGATCCACAAACGTGAGCGAAAACTCGCCTCCCTGCCGCTCCACCCCGTCCAGCGCTTGCCAATTCTCCGTGAGATTGTGTGACACGCCGTCGGCGTCGACCTCACTCAGGCGAATCCAGAGATCAGCATACGGGACGTCGGTCGAGTGTGCGAGCTGCACGATGGGCTTGCCCATTACTTCCACATCCTCATTCAGTGGTGCGCTCGTATAGACAAGGACATCGGACCTCGATGCGTAAACACTGTCGTCCACCCGTCCACCGCGGGCTATCCGGGGTCCACCCACTGTCGGTGTGGGATTGTGGGGGTCATAGGTGAAAGACGCAGGCGGTGAGTCGGCGGCCGGGGGCTGCGCGCCAATCGTCTTGTCGCCGTGGAGGTAAAAGGTGCGCTCTTCGGTGGCTGGCGGCCAGGACGGCAAGGAGCGCCATTCTTCGGCGCCCGTGACGAATACCTTGACCGAAAGTGGGCGGTGATCCTTTTTCCGGCCGACGACGTACTCGTCCAGGAAGTCGAAGACTTCTGGCATCGCATTCGATCCACAGGCTTCGATGTGCGTCCATGATCCGACGGTGAGGTAGACCTTGATGCCACGGTCGCGCGCGTGAGCGTACGCTGCCAGGGTCTGGACGGTCAAAGTGTCGTACCACCCACTTCGCAGGAGCAAGGGGACGTTGACGAGATCCAGGGCTGCGCGGTGCTTGCACCGAGCCCAGAAAGGGTCATCGACGTTCGGAGTAGTCATGAACTCCAACACGTACGGTGCCTTCCCGTCGAAGAAGCGCTCCGTCGCGTCGAAGAGGGGCGTAGCCTCGATGACGGACTTCAGCTTCCTGGGGTCGAGTATGCTCGAGACTCCGCCGCCATTGATCTCGTCCTGCCTTGCAACTATGTAGGACCAAGAGATGCGGTCCATGCGATACACCCCGTTGGCCCAGACAAGCAGGGAATGGTCGTACACGCTGCACAGGTTCACCGACGCGATAAGGTCCTCGGGCGGATCTCGCAGCAACGCCCACTGCACGTAGCCCAGGTAGCTCGGCCCGAATGTGACGAACTTGCCCGGGTACCACGGCTGCTCGCGCATCCACTTGACGACGGCCTGTGAGTCTGCCTGTTCGGTCATAGCCGCTACAAAGGTCCCTTCAGAGCCGGCCGTGCCGCGACAGCTGACGAAGAGGACCATATATCCACGGGCAGCGAAACACTTCGCGTTAAGGAGGGCCATCACACCTTTGCGGCCATACGGACCGAGGACGTAGATGAGCCCGTGGGGCTTGCCATCTGCCGGAAGATCGGGCTGGTAGAAGTCGGCGGCCAACTGGATACCGTCCGGCATCAGAATGCGCTTCTCGAATACCGTGTAGGTGTTTTCTTCGGAGGGCAGGATCTTGGCCAGGTTCGCTGTTGTGTGAGCTTCCGACCCCTCAAGTGACTCTGTAGACGCCATAGCTGAGAGCGAAAATGGGTCGAATCGTAGGACACAACGTTTGGTAGCTTGGAAAGGGAAGAGTGTGCCTCAATGCAGTTGTGGCTGAAGTGATGTCTCCTTTCTTGGCGCCGTAGTCCTTCTATAGGTTAGGAAGAACGGTCATGCTGAGGTAACGTACCCACGATTTTAGATCCCGCAAACAGTATAACCTCACACTTTCGACTCTCTAGATCAGTTCAGGCTCCTTAGATGCGCTGGGGGGCCGAGGTTATAGACGTTTTCGTAAGCGGAATAACCTTTGCTGATGCGCTTCCCCGCGGGGTGCGATGTGAGTGTGAGTCATAATTCCTTTTTCGACACCAGGGAATGAAGCGAACTCTGGTAATTCTATGACTCTGTCTAGACCACGATAGACAGTCGACCGTCATACGTTTTCGCGAAGTAATGAAGGCCAAATCTGATCTGTTTTCTTGTTGCACTCTTCTACAGTACTGTGATACTGGAGACTGTAGAGTCGAGATAAGAGACATGAAGGAATGCGTTGTTATATCTAACAAGAGAGCAAGACTGAATAAGTGCCGGTTACGGCAGTGCCAAGCCAACTCCCTTACGTAACAATGCCAAGAAAACATGTCACGTAATTGGCCAACACCACCCCCTATACACCACACCGAAAAATAAAAAATAACCCCAAATGGCCCCCTCTTATAATCCATCTCTGACGAACTCATAAATGGGGCGCCGCAGCCAGTGAAAGCTTCAGCCACACAAGTTCAACCATAGGAGAGTTTGAATCAGTGACCCTCCCAACGATCAACAAGACGACATCATCAACAATCACTGGGTGGAGCATTACGTTACCCATCCACTGTGGTATCAGGGGTAATTTTCGTTAGTACATTTTGGCGTCTTGGCGTCACTATGGTTAACCTCTTTTCCATTCCTCTGTGGATATATTACCAAATGGCGGCTCTATCCACACTGAACGAGCTGCTACCAGCTTTAGAGGACCTTATTGCTCTTACTCCACAAACTCCATCAACTCTACGAACTCCACCGTCGGAGGAGAAAAAGAAACTCGGCCCACGACTCAGAAGGAAGATATACGAAATTTTGGAATAGCGAAATGCAAAAAGTCACGTGTGCGCAGGGACCCTTGTCAATACCCATGTCGGTGGCGTCGTACTAACGAAAATTACCCTTGATACCACAGTAGGGCACCTAGAAAGCTCAATGGAGTCTAGGCCGGACAACCCTCTTACCTACACCTATGATCAAACACTAGTGAGGCCCCTCAATTCTATCGGTTCGACTGCAAGCCGAGTGTTTGTTTTACCACTTGGTTACGTCCTTGATAGGTCAACCACGATTTGGTGTCAATTTTGAAGCAGTTTTTGGCGGAATAAAATATGAACCTGAATTTTTGGGAATGCGCCTCCGATTTAGGCGGCCCCGCCCCTTAGGTATGGTCGCAGGCTGGGCGCGCCGCCGCTTTTGACATCCCCTTCCCATCCCAACCCTCGGGATTCCTTGGGTTGCCAAATTGGCCAAAAGGAGCAAGTTGAAGTTGTTGTGTTGTTCACGTTTGGTGTAACTCTCATTGCAGGCCTAGCGCATCTTCCTCGACGCGTCGCGAAGGACATAACTGGGCTCCTAATTGGCTAGTATTCCCTGTTCAAGAAAATTTTAAGAATATTTAAGCAGTGCTTTAGTGCCGGTCTAGCGGCCCTTAGCGCCACTTCCAGCGCGCTACACATGACTTTGGCGCAACGCTAGTAAGACTAGCTGCTACTAGTGGTGGATAGTGCGCCGAAAGGCTTGTTAGTATAATTTACGGCGAAAATATGAAAACGTAGAATATGGACATTTTGGGGGTTTTTGTTACTACCTTGACATAGATTTCAGCCAAGAACCCAACCCTGGGTTACGAAAATTCCGGTTATCACAGTACAGTAGAAAAAGCTCCGCTAACGCTATGCTTTAATGAGTAGCGACTTTTCCGACCAATCAGCAACCGGTGGAGTCACGTGAACAAAATTTATTCCTATGAACAACAATGGCCGTTTTATAGGCGCACTCGGCGCCTTGGCCAAGATCACACCCGTTTGGCAAAAAATTGTCAAAATTTTTGATTGGCCGGCGCTTGGCAACCGCTGTCTGATGCTGAGACAAACATCTTCCACCATTCCTTCCCTATCCTTTCTTTTCATTCTAATCAGCCCTTGGGAAGAGAAACAGGAACTGCAAACATTAAGAATGTCATCCACCACCAGTGTCTCCACGTCGAGCCAATGGTACGACCGCTACCGCAGATGCGAGGACGGCCACTCCCACGAAGGAAAGCTTGAATTGATCACCTGGACATCCACGGCTGGTGGTGACCACATGGGATGGGGCAATTGCCTAGCTTCCGAATCTGACGCACTGAAAGAAAATTCGAGAAGGAATTCAACTCCAACGAGGAGAAGATGTACGACTACTGGCCACAGGGGTTCCGGTGGACCTGTTGCGGAACGGAGGGAGATCAGCGATTCGGATGTGACCACCATGGAAACGGAAGCACGCCATGTAGCTGCGACTTTTGCCAGGTTAGTATTTTTATGCGTCCGAGATTGAGCGCTTGTTCGACAGGGAATAGAGGGCATTCGCTTAATATTAGAAACAGATGGGCAAACCAATTCCGGACTCCATCCATAGAAAGCGGACCGAATCTGCTGCGGGAAAGGGGCTGAGACTCTCCAGAGGTCCGGACCCAAGAAGCTTCAATAGGACTCAGGGCAGTATCGCGGAGATGATGCGCTCGTCCTTGGGGATGCCTTAAAGTCTTGGCTATTGAAATGGTTAGCTGTCTAGATGCTTCTTCTAGCAGATGCATCGAGGGGGATCACGCAGAAGGTGCGAGCCACAAAAGGGCCCTATCAGCAATGTGACGTGCCGAGCAAGAGATAAGCGCACAATCGATTTAATATTATATACATCTGTACACATTAAGAAGCTGGCAATACAACGCCCGCTTTCCATTTCGCATGCACGGTGTCCATGAAGAATCAGGAACGAGCTTTGCGCTGTCCTCTTGGCTGCTGAGTATTGATGTGAAGATCACTCTATTCGATCTCGATTCCAATGAATGTACGCTTGATATGATCGAAGAGCAGGCGGGTGAGACGGGTTCGGAGTGTCTTAACGACCCTCACGTCGGGTGAGACATCCTTGAAATTGAGTTGCGAAAGAACGAGTCTTTCGAAGCATTACGTTTAGGGATAGAGTAGTTGATCTCCTCAAATTTGCGATTTTCAATAAGGGGGTAGTAAGGTTCTGTCAGGGCGGAGACGCACTATGGAGCCGGAATGAAGGTCTGACAATGATGTTGCTATCCAATACGCTATAAGGTACAAGACGAGAGACGAAGAGCGTGAAAGCAGTGCAAGGCTATCCTAGATGCTTGTAGCCCTGTGGTATAGTCATACCACAAGGCTCCCACGCAGGCACACGAGGCTATCGACAGCCACAGTGGGTCCATGGCCGGCACCCGGCAGGCCTCGACACCGTCAGGAGAGCGCAATGAGCTTCCGTCCTTGAAGCACATCCTGCACCTGCCGCTGCACCTTCTCAAACCTCATGAAGGCACATGCCTCACTCTCTAAGTGGTTGAATAATCCAGCCAACGAGACAAATTGCTTCCCACATTTGCCCTTCATATTCGGGCAACGATACACCTTCTGCTTATGCACAGACGAGTTGAGATGCGCATTCAGCGCGTTCACGGCGTTAAACTCCTTGTGGCACATGTAGCACTCCCAGGAAGAGCCGTTGAACGCACGGCTGGTAGCCGAGTATTTGATGTTTTCTTCCTTATGCCATTCAATCTGCTTGTTGGTGATGACGCCGTGCGGATCACGCTCGCGAACCATGTGGAAGATGCTTTCGCGGTTAAGCTTGGGGGCGCGAGGGCAGGAACCCGTCTCGAGGTGGTGGGTGAGGCCGCTAGCGGAGGTGTAGTTTGCTTTGCAGAAGGGGCAGGAGACGCTGGTGCCGCGATGGGTCTTTGAGTTGAGATGCTGCATGCAGGCTTGTAAGCACGTTGAGGGGTGTATGGGTGTGAGAAAGTCTTACCATCCGGAGGTTATTCTCGTTCTGAAATCGCAGGCCACAGTCTTTGCAATAGTTCTTGTAATGAGCCTGCTTCGTCATGTGCTGATTCGCTGCGGTTTGCGTGTGGAACTTCAGTCCGCACGTTTCACATGGTATCTTCGGCGCCCAATGTCCCAACGCATTCATATGTTGATTCGCTGCTTTCTGGGAGAGGAACTCCTTGGTGCAAGTCTCGCATTCGAAGCGCGGCGCCCAGTGATCTGTGTCGTTCATGTGCTGATCGCAAGCACGCTGAGTTCTGAAGGCACGGGTGCAGGTCTCGCATTTTGGCCGGTGGCCATAGTCGTCCATGTGGTCCTCGCAGTCATCTTGGTACCAGAACGTGGCCGTGCAGGTTTCGCACTGGTACATCTTGAGTGGTGGTGATTAAGACTACGGCATCTAATCGAAGCGGAGCGAAGGCGATGAAAGGCAGAGAAGGAAATACCCTTTAAACTTGTCTCAGCATTTCTGGCGCGGCCAGAAGGGTCTGAGCTGAAAACCCCTGTCCCTCGCGTTCATTATGTACTGACATATAATCAGTATGAGTAAGTTTTGAAATATTTTGAAATGACCTGAATGACAGCTACGGCGAGGTGTAGTTCTATGAAAGTGAAAGGTCCATTACACGTATTAGAGCCTTCTGGTGAAGCCAGAAGGCTCTGCGTACTGAGACAACTTTTAAAGCAGATTGCTCTCCAGGCTCAAGGCTGTCGGCCAGCCACGTGAAGCAGTTGCTGAGCATTGTCACACAAAAACAGTTCGCTTGGCGCGCAAATACAAACATCACGTGTCGAACAAGTGTCAGGCTTCAGGTAATGTGACTGTATCACTGTGTAAAGTGGGTCTTCAGCCTGCTGGTGCCTTCTCGTGCCTGCGTGTGCCTATTTCGAAGACTCATATGACTAGTATATAGAGAAGCTAAGATACCTCTTGCGGGAGGTCAGAGCCCTCAATACGAGACATTTCCCAACAACAAGGCTTTGTTGAACAATGTGTGGCGACATTCTCAGCTATGCAGCACGGAGACACCGAAGAGTGGCAACATATGTGTGAGGCAGGACCTCAATTTGATAGAACAAACGATAACCTATCGTTCATGGCAAACCTACTCGTTTTGTAACATTCACCTCCTGGCGTGCAATACCATTGACAGGCAACAGCGCCAACATACACCTCGTATATAAATGGGCTCCATCCCACACTCATTTGAAGAGCACAGAGCATTCAGTATATCGACAAATCACGCTTGCCCTTCTGTTCCTTGGCATTCCTTGATATCGCCGTTATCGTTGTCGGCTTTCCTAATTGGGTATACCGTCGTCTACCTCACGGGCCATGGACTGGATCCGATGGAGGATATCGTACGGCACAGGACACGGTGATCAACATCGTCCACACGTGATCCATAGACTGGATCCGATCAGGGCGGTTTGGCAGACAAAAGGCGGCATTCTACCCATTCCTGGGCGGGCCATGGATTGGATCCGATGGGGTCAGCCAATCAGGGCAAAGGAATTGGTGGTCGCCGGATTTTCCGGATTTCGAGGTATTGGCAAATCACGTGATTATAAAGGCTTGGCAATATCGAGCGCAGCGAGGCCTAGGGGTTTGGGGCTAGCCCCCAAAAGTTGTGGAGATGCCAAGATATTTTCACACTAGTCCCAAACTGCTGTATCACTCGCCGCACTAGCAACTGGATCCTCCGGTTTCCACACTAAAAAAGATTCCTTCGTCTGGGAGCGGAGCATCGGTAGATTTTCTATTCGCTAGGTCTATTTTTGCTTCATTCATGGTTTACCAATCAAACTATCCCGGGCGTATTGTTAAAAGCTTCACGCACTAGTCGATTTTGGGTCTTCGGAACCACGTTTTATCCGAATCAAAAGCCTCCGTCAACAGTGACCACTCACTTGGCCACCTCTAGGTGTCCATGCTGTGCAGCAACACCAGGAGCACTTGCGCCATCCTTATTCTCCTCCCGATTGTCGGCCCGCTGCTCACTCAGCCACTTGACCATTACTCGAAGAACCGAAGGCCAATTCTCTGCGATCCCTCCAAAGAGTGCACGGATTGAATCTCCAAGCGCCACGAAGTCGCCTAGCAAACCAGTAGTGAATGACGTAAGGCACAAAGAATGGTACAGACGGGAAGTCATGCATGCCGCCTTCGAAGCTCCTGTCTGCGGTTCCAAACACGAGAGGCGCGGTTCGATACTAAGACAGAGTCAGTGATGCCATATGTGTCGAGAGCTCGCAGAGTTTCAACCTCGTCGCGCAGATGTCGAGTTAATGGCTCCGCAAAACCTTCGATGAGGCTCCTAATGTTCTGTCCGTCATAGTCTTCGGGAAGACAAGTCCGAGAGTACTCGTGAAACAGATCAAACCCCGGCGTGAACGCTCGGTGTTGCTCTATATTACGTCGCATGATTCTTTGGACATCTGATGTCAGCTCTATGCTCGGGAAGAAATCCTCTTCTTCGGCATCGTGGTGGTGGTGCATGGATTCACACCTGCATTGGCAATATGTCAGGAAGTCTCGAATCGCGTCCCGGTCTTCGCGCGGTATGTGCGTCGCTTGGAGATAGATGGAGTTCAACCCTCGGAGAATGCCATTGTGGGCAAGTGCCATCTGCGTTGCAACATAGTATGCCGCGTGGGAGGACTATGAGGATACATTAAGTGATGCAAAATCTCAGCAGAGGAATGACCAACGTACATCTTTTGAGAATGGATCAGTAGAAATAAGAGAATGCGGCTTATCGACCCACTGAGAAGACATACTGGCTCGTCCGGTAGTAGCACAAACCGACGTCCACCTCACAGTAGCAGGAGGTTAGCGACAGATATACTGAAAGAAAGATACTGTACAACCACTGTAACAGCATTTTGGTCCGGAATGATGGACTGTGCAGTCTAGTGAAGGAATGCGTTATTGTTTTATCTTACAAGAGAGCATGACTGAAAAGGAGAAAGGGTGCAAGTTGCAATATTGTCACGCCAACTACCTCACGTAATTTTTCCGAGCAACGTGTCGCGTGATCGGCCATACGGACGAATACTAACAAAATCTATTACAATTGCGTCACCATTTGCTTTTGAGTTGACTGATCGCGGCGCAACTCGTCTCCGGTTTAGTAGTTGGCGCGACACTCAAGCCATGCAGATATTGTTGAACAGTGGTGGCCTAGTTCGCGACAGACCAACGCGTTCTGCGACACTCGCTCGCTAGGCTGGATTACCATGAATAGACAATAGCGATGACGTACGCGCTGTAGATAGATATATAGATGGGCTCTATCCTACACTCGTTAGGACAGCCAGAGCACTCCTTCAATTCAAGTTGTGCAAGAAGTTTGACAGATATATTTACCACCGCGTCTGTTATTATAGCCAGTGCAACAAAACAGCTACTATGAAGGTCTTTCTCATTGGAGCAACCGGTAATCTGGGTATTCGCCTCGTCGCAGCGCTCATCACACATGGCCACTGCGTTGTTGCGTTCGTCCGGTCCTCGAAAAAACTTGAGTCTATTCTTCCAACTTCTATATACCGCCAAATCGCCGTTGTTCAGGGAGATGCCACGGATCCAGTCTCAATCAAGAGGGCCATCTTGGATGCCAGCTGTGATGCTGTTGTCAATGCCGCCGGTTTAGCGGCCTTACCTCCTTGGGGAAAAAGTGATCTGCCTGCAATATTTCACGCTGTCCTGGACGCCGTACGAGAAGCGGGATTGGATAGAAAGAAACCGTTGAGAACTTGGTTCTTAGCTGGTTTAGGAGTATTATACTACCCAGGATCAGAATCGATGCTCTCGAACTAGTAAGTACAGTGACAATAGCGTTCTCCCCTCATACACGCCGTTGTACCTACCATAAAAAGAGGAGCTCGGAGATTCATCGACTCTGGAATACTAAGAGCCTGCAGCGTTCCCATCTACCTCGAACACCACCAAAACCTCCACCTCCTTAAATCTCTCCCACCGAACACGCTCGACTGGTCTATGCTTTGCCCAGGCACTATGACCCCCGAGTCCTCAGACATCAATGTACCTACGAAACTTTCGCATGGGAAACTGACCGCAAATGCTACCACTCCACCTAGGCCTTGACATGGGCCGGGTCGGGCTGGGTTTTCACCCCCCTTGGCCCGCCCGAACGGGTTTTCGGGTCAACCAAGGCCCGACCCAAACCCGACCCAACGGGTTTTGGGTCAAAAGAATAATAGCCCAAAACCCGCCCCAAAGCCCAACCCAACCCAAAACCCGCCGGGTCAGCCCGGTCCATGTCTAGGCCTAGTCAGCTCAGAATACTAATGAGCTCCAGAACGGACCCTGACTCACGTCGTCTATCCAAGATGATTCAAAGTTTCTATGAAGAGATTGAGTTTCCTGGTCATCTTGATCCCTTTCAGCATATGAGTATCTACGTCAGATACGGGGCATTGTGATAAAGAGTTGTCGTGCTGGACTTGATCTAGACCGCCAAGTTCATATTCAGATCGTATCGGACTAGATCAAGCCCATCTACGATGATGTAGCTTTCTTTCCGCAGGCCAACCTCTTCATGTCCTTCCTTTCACCTTCGGCGCATTGATTTTTTTAGTTGAGACGTATGCTACTCACGCCACATCCCATGGACCTGAGCCCTAAGTGCGCAGCCATATTGACGTTGGTAGAGGAATCTAACTGGCCAGGCAGCTTCCGCTTCCAAAGAAACCCTCTCAAGCCCAGACTAGCTTTGAATTCTGACCGATCCCAAAAGCAGTCCTGGTGAGATTGTTGACTTTCAAGGAGTTCCGGATCTGATGCAAGGGTTTCACAGAAGCAACGCCAATTACAACGCCATTTCTCTGGGAGTTCAGTACCCGGAAAGCGGATCCAGCTTTTTCTGAAGGGCTAACCGCGAGTATTCAAATAAGTTCAGGAGCTGTTCGGTGACTTCGGCCCACCTCCGGACTTCACGGAGCTGCGACTTTACAGCCTGCTTTTGCGCCCACTACGGACGCGCTTTGCAGTTCCTCAGGGCTCGAGAACCACCATATTACCCCACCCAGAATACTCGGCTGCGGCATCAATTGCCTGATGGATATTCTTGAGCTTGAATCCATGCATCTTGGTCCCGCCCATCGGTCTATCGCCGACAACGAGGTGTCCAGTCTCGAGGAGCTTGACCGCCTGCTCTCCGTGCCCCCGGTCAAACATATAGCGACCCTCGATCCGGATGTTCTTCAACATGACAAGAAAGTAAGGGATCTCGATATTACCGAAGATGGCGCCCATGAACGATGCTCGGCCCCTATTGCGGAGCGCGCCCAAGCACGACAAGATATGTGTGGTGCCTACTGCCCGTGGTGGTATGAAGTCGATGTAGTAGTCGGCGCCCTTGCCCCCAGCGGCTGCTTTAATCGCGGCCGTGTCCTCATTCACCTTACCGGTCATCACCACTATCACGAAACGATCGGACGCACCGAACGCGTCGGTCATGCGCGCCAACGTCTCCGCGTTTCGTCCACATGCGATCACCTTGGCTCCGAGTGAGAGGGCCGCGGGCACGGCAGAGCCACCAAAGGTACCCGTAGCAGGCGCGACAATGACGCTGTCTCCAGGCCGTACGCCCATGTCGAGAAGGCCAACCAGAGGGATGCCGACGGTTCCCAAGTACGAAAGGTCCGTAAAGCTATACCCCTTGGTCTTGCAGAGCAAGTCTTCGTTAAGCGTCCAGATCCGTTCCAGCGGGACTTCAGCATACTCGGCCAAGGTGTTGTTGTTCCATGTCTCCTCGAGCTGCTGGTTGCCGCCCATAAACCCGGCTAGAATGCTGTCGTCTGGGTTATCCCTGGACTGGGTAAAGAAATCGTGCCAGATCAGCTGTCCCGGTTTCAGACACGTCGCGTCAGGGCCGACGCTGTGTATACGACCGATGGTGGAAAAGCCGGGAACCACTGGGGTACGTGGGGTGACAAGACCGAAGACACCCGCAAGGACTGCCTTGATGTTGGGTGACAGAGCCGTCGCAAGAACCTTGATGATTGCAGACCCCGTTCTCGCCTTGGGGATAGGCAGGCTCCTCAGGACCAGAGGCTGCCCGATGGTCTCGAGGACGGCTGCTGTGTAGGTTCCGGTCATGGTTGCTCTGACGGAGGACCCTTTCCCGCTCAAACGATGGGCATCATGTCTCCTCGATCATGAAGGAATCCATCCGTATATGCTTTTCGTTCAATGCCAAGTGTTTCCTTTTCGTCCGTAGACACGAAAGGAGGTTAGAGCTGCTGACTAAAGCGGCATCTGCTAGGCCCGAGTCCGAGTGGATGGGCTAAATCTGAAACGTGGAAAACACGTTACACGAGGCTCATATTCAAGGAACCAAATAACAGGTGGCCTTTTGTGCATGATTCCAAGGCGACTAATTCTGACTCTCATGTTCTATACGACTCGACTGTGGTCTATGGAAATGTGAATCGGGAGTGGGAAAAGTCGAGCCGCTGGACCAATAGTACCGTTTTCCGAATGCAGCGGCCTTATGCCGGTGCAGACGGGAAACCACCAAGGTCTGCGTGTCTTCATAAGCGCTCCGAGACGGAGCAAATGTGTGGCTTTAATTACATGCGTCCAAGAAGGCTCGGCGACTTCGAGCCGGGCGTGCGTCCTTGGGTTAAACCGACGACAACCGATGGGAGGACCCGCCGAAGCACAGTCGTCGGCAAGGCTGCAATGCCTTTCGGCAGAGACTGTCCTGATACCTTTGAAGGCCTTGAGGGACCCGGAGGATGGGCACTGGGAGCGTCAGGAAGTAAGGCTTCCAGAAGGGAAGTGATAGTGTGTTTCCACTTCCCCCGCATTTCGCTCCGGAGGCTGGACGAGGGCCGAGTGGACAAGTTCTCCGGCCTTGGCGTCCCGCGGTCCTAGATTCTTCCCCCGCCTTCGCTCCCTGTCGGCGACAACATCTACACACACGACGTGGCGACTCGACGGCGCTGATGGGCCATGGCGCAGGCAGACCTCGCTCCGCACCGGGTACAGTTCTCCAGCTGCGACGAATGTCGGAGATCTCGAGTCGCGTGCGATGCAGGAAGATTTCGGCGCAACACCAACACCTCGCACACTTAGGAATCCTACACGAGATGCACGAATCGACAGCGCCAATGTACGTTTGAGGTAGGCTGAGAGGCTCCTTAATCCGTAGGAGACTTACGGCACTCGTGAGATAATGCCGGTGGAGGCATCGACAGGTGTAAATGGCCGTTCCCACCCTGATTCCCTCTGTCTCCTCTTCATCCTCTCCTTTTACTTAAAACTTCTTCCGTTTCTACCATCATTGTCAGTCATGGCTATCACTCGCAACATTCGTCACTGCCAGGTTGTTGAGAATATGTGACAATATCGCTCAGGCCGCTCGACGGTCGCATGTATGAGCAAAGCATCACAGTCATGGCGCGTTCGCAACCCGCTCCCACTGTCGTCTCCGGTGTCCAAACAATCTCGAATCGCAAGTCAGTCAGATCGATCTGGACACGGCAACGTCTGTTGTCGAGTTGTGTGACAGCAGTCAAGGAGTGGTCTGTTTGACCATGGACTTGTGTGAGGGGGGTGATGTTAGTGGTGACATCAACAAAGCAGGTTTGCATCCCATCCAGGATCAAATCGCAACCGCTAAGACAAGGAAGGCGATGACGGACATCCTGGCACTAGTTTGCCACGGTCTGGCTCAAATTCGCCGCCCCCATCCTCATCTGGAGGATGTTGGACTTCCTCCTGATGGGCTCTGGGATCACGATGCAGCTTATAAGCGGAGATTCTGTTTTGACCATGGCGAGATTGAGTACCTTTTAGGGAATGCCGATCGGTGGATGTTTCCCGGCAACTTTGACGTCCCGAACGCTGCGGCCGCGTTGGAGGCTATGGTTCAACAGCATGGGAACAGTTCCTCTAAGTTTGACCCGCATTCACGACGTTGCCAAGCGGAATGCCGAGGCAGTCTATACTTTCATGTATATAGCGTCCTCGACAAACGTGAATCTGGAACCGAGGCGCTATACTTGGAACGATGGAAAACTTGCTTGACGCCGGAGAGTCACCTTGTTGAACGGATCGGATTGCGGCATCGCTGGAAGCGAATAAAAATGGTCTTTGTCGACGGAGCGAACGGATGTGGAGCTCTTTTGAAGACAGAGTGAAGTGGTATGAAAGGGTGATGTAGGTTGTGAACCTTGAATGACAAGAAAGCTTGTGATATCCAGATCTAAAGGGCGTGACCCAGCGACCGTTTAAATAGCTCCTGGGAGCACCAACTTCTTTTTGGGTCTTCCTTAGCCCAACCTACGCTGAGAAGTGGCAAAGTTCACATGCAATGTCGTCCAAAATTTCCTATCGAGACCCAGATTCTTCTTCTTCTATTCATAGACTGTCCCAGCCGCCTTATGCAGCTATGCAGCGTTCGACTATAAATACAGGTGTTTCCCACTTGTTGCTTCCAGAGCATCAGCCCATTCCTTGTTCGAATTGGCTCTCCTTCTTAACCATTACTTCATTGCTGCTTGACAATCTTAGAAGTGTTGTGCGGAATGCCATGAGTGCTTGACCGGGAAATGTCGTACGGCCGATCGTTCAGCTGCATCGCGCTGTGATCAGGACGTAAAATCCGTATCCCCGCTTTTCTTGCCTGCTTACAAACTACCATCTTCTCGAGTTCATATTCAATTTGAAACCGGGAATCTCATAATTCGGCTTGAAGCTTGTCCTCGTATATGACGAGGCCTTGTGCTTTCTCATCAAGTCCACATCTACACGAAACAGGGCAGCTGCATCTGACCTTCATCGTTCAATACTTCCTTCGTTCATATCGAGCTGCTCTGCCAGATGTGGCCGTCTGTCGGCCGTCCGCGGACGGCCTGCGGTACGTGTCAGACCTTGAAGGTGAGGCACTGTGATTGACCTCCCGAATGTGGTTTTCATCATGTCCATACATTAACTAATGCCACTCAAAGATACGGTGCACCGGAGAGCGTCCGACATGTAAAAGATGTTCGAGGTTAAGACAATCCTGTTCCTACAGCGGTACGGTCACCTCTGCAAGGAAACATCACGTTTTCGTTTCGACCAACATCAATAAATTCTTGGCAGCATCTTCCAAGCGGCAGCACGGCGGTAGAAGCCACGCTGAAAATATGGGAAGATCAGACAGAATGCAACACATTCGTGCATCATCGAATCTACCCAAGTATTCCAATATGGACCACTATGACCTGGGAATACCGAGGTCTTTGATATTGACCCTAGTGGAAGTGTTCTTCGACAACGCATACAACGCTACCCTCGTGCTACACAAAAGGCTGTTCTTGGAGTCGCTCGAACGCGGAAGAGCTGATCCCCATGTCGTGCTAAGTATCTGCGCGTGGGCGGCAAAGTAAAGGGAAATTCAGTCCAGCTTATCGACAATTAGCTAATAGAACATCTTTTAGTTTCTACAGAGACAAAAATGGCCAGGCAACTTTGAAGGACCATGGCTTCATGGTTGAATGGGCCAGGAAAGCCGGAAGACTTGTGTTTCAACAACCTGAGGATCTCCACGAAGATAAGATCGTGACGTTGATGACTCTGGGCCTGTTCTGGTACAGCCAAGGCTCCTGGAGAGTCAGCCAATTTTACAAAGGTATCATTTAACATCACCACTGTACAGCCATGGAGCGGACGCTCACTTTTGTAGGAGTAGCCTGTCAGTTGCTCTATGTCATCGGTCTCGAACCCGCCAAGTTGTACGGTGACAACGCGTTCGAAGCTGAAATGCGCCGCCGGCGACTGTGGGCCTGCTATCTGATGCAATGTCAGTCCGCCGACAGCCTGTCCTTCTTCGAGCCACTCATCGATCTGTCAAGCTTGAGCTTGCCGTGGTCGGAAGAAGACTTCGATACTGGCGTTTCCAGACAACCATCGGAATGCCTGGATTCTAGCCGAAGTACGGCGGCTGCTGGTAACAGTCTATATGCCGAGGTGATTAAAGGCCTGACACTCTGGTAATATTTACTCCCGATGCCCTTTTGTACGGAAACATTAATTCTTGGTAGGTACTCGGTACATTCGCTCATAAAATGTCGTGAAACCGATATCAGTGAGAGAATAACTGGTTTGCATGCGTTCGACGAAAATATATCGAGATGGTGGCAAGAAGTGTCGCCAGACTTCAAATTGACGCCATCAAAGGTTGCAGAGATGGCGAACGACACCCGATCCTTCCCAAAAATCCTGCTTCTCAACGCCGTATATCACCAGTCTCTCGGTGCGCTGCACGCGTCCATCATCCCTCTCTTCTCTTGGAGCCCCGGCGACAGCAGTTGGCTTACCTCTCGACACTGCTCAGCGCAAGTGGCATTTGAACATGCCTGCTCATTCTCAGAATTGGTCAAAACAGTTGTTTCGACGTACGCTCGACCTGGTGCGATATCAACCTTTGTTGCATACGCGGCATATTCCGGATGCGCTATTCAAATGCCATTCATGTGGTGCTCCAACCCGGCAGTACGAGGTCGTATACGTGCCAATGTCAAGGCGAATATTCAAATTATACAAAGTGTGGCCGTGTACTGGAAGTTCGCCGCGCTGCTTGTACTGATGACCTCACCTCGTAAAGACTGGAACCTGTGCTAATGACTCTCTTTCTAGCAAATACATGTTGGTTGTTTATACGAGATCCACCGAATGCATCCGAACACACTCGAAGACGAGCCTAGACATATTGATATCAGAAAGTTGGTCGACTTCAAGGTCAACGCCTCACATGCTCGCGCTTCTATTCTCGGTTTCATCGACATTTTGCGGCCTAAAGGCGACGGAGTCGTGGATTCAGGAGACGAGAGCAAAGATCTCGGAATTGAACAAGCTGCTGTCGGGAATGGCTTGGCAACGAGGCCATCTATACACGATGATCCCATGCACGACCTGCAGAACGGTCTAATTCGGCAACATCCCGGGGGAGACAGCCCTGCCACTCTACCGTCAGACTTCACCCAGACCCGTGAGCATTTACGAGGCTCTGAAACAAACGTCAATCATGTTCCAACCCAGCCGGAGATCAACGTGAACCGGACGCCATACCAACAGCAGGGAGAGCCATGGTCTCAACACCATCAAGCTGATATTGGATTTGGGCCTCCTTTCCAACCCCAGGGCCAAGGTGTCACAGAGAGGCTGACTTTGGATCCATACTATCCTTTCCTTGACCAGACGATGCTCGATCTCTTCCCGAATGGAGAGATGCCGGATCTTTCCCAGCTGGATACGGAGCTAAGCAATTTGGAATACTTTGGTCTTGAAGGCTGGAACGCCGGTTCAACTGATCCTGGCGAAGAATGCTGAACAAAGCTTGTGGCGAGTTACTGGCCTCGCACACGGGTCGATGGGTCATGCGCAGACACTATGGCATATTCCCTCGACGCCAGTTCGGACGGTGCATGGGCTCTGTCTCCGCAACAATCCGGGCCCCGCTTCCCAAGTTCTGAAGCAGACCGGGGTACGGAATACCCTAACTCTTTCCCGCAGCAGATTCCCGGGTGTTCGAGGCGTCCATGGGTACCACTAGGCCAAGCAGTGCTCCTTTCCTGGTAGTGCTTCTAGCTCACCTGACTTGGACGTGGTCTCGACTCGCGTCCGGGGCAGTTCTATGAGGCACAATCGCCTAGACTCAAGATGCAATGTAATAGCAGTAGTAATAGTTCCATGGTTAGGCACAATTCGCAACGTCTTTTGTATTCTGGCTTCAAGTTCAATCACACCTTCACATTCCCCTTCTTCTTGACCATACAACGTTTACTGATCGGATTGATCAGGAAGTAGTTCTCCATCTTTCATCGACGCCGGTGTGGTCGCCTCGGAGAGCTCGAGATCGCGACATTCACGGAAGAACTCCGCCAATCCGTGTCGCAGTTCCATCCGGGCCAAGTGAATGCCTAGACTCATCCGCGTTCCTCCTCCGAAAGGCCCGAACGCGTATTTCTGTGCGCCTTCCAGGTGCTTCAGGTAGAATCGATCGGGGTCGTATACGTGGAGTCACGGTCAGCCACAGGGATTTTGCAGTCCGCGACGCCCTAAACTAGGAGACGTAGGGGAAAGGGGTGACTCACGTTTCTGGATCATCGAAGATTGCGGGATCGCGGTGCATCGTGTAACTTTGAGTCGTCAACGTCACCCCTGGCGTAATGTACATCCCGTTGACTTCAATGCCTTTAGCTGGTGTAGTGCGAGGAAGAGCGCCGGGTACTGATCCGTACAGCCGTAAAGTCTCGGTAATCACGGCGTTCAAATATGGCAGCTTCTCCAATGCCGTGTCGTCGTAATGTCCGGCAGCTGTTTCACCTCTTGTTCCGGCTTTCGCCGTATATCTGGGTGTCTGAGTATGGCCCAGACCGCATAAGTGAGTGTGACAGCGGTCGTACCGGACCCGGCCAAGATCAAGGCAGAGGCCTGTGAGCCCAGGATGAAGTCAGTCGTGGTGGTTCCCTCGGCGCGGCTCGCGTCGATCAGGCCTTTGATGATGTTGTGTCCGGACAAGGAGGCCTTTTTGGCCCGGCTCGCGGCCGACAATCCGTAGTTGACGACGTTCTGGAGGGTGGTATCGCATTTTCTTGTAAAAGCAGGTGCTGCAATGCACATGATCTTGTACAGCCACGGTACCTCGCCTTGCAGCCCGAAGATCATCGCCGATGATTCCAGGTCGTCAATGTAGCTGCATTTCTTTACTTTATATCAGCTGTCCGTTCCAGCTTGAAGGGGTTCCAGTGGGTAGTCATGGCAACTTACTTGTCGGCTTCTAGAAGACGGGACTCATCTCTGAAAGCCACCTTTGCGATGACATCGGTAGCCATCAAAGTCCACCATTTCATCACGTCGCAGTCTCCTTAGTCCGCCTCCCCTTCATCTTGGAAACGGCCACTCGCGCACGCTCCGACACCAAGTCTTGGAAGTTGACCAAAAGTGATAACCTGCTAAAGGGGCGGGCCAGCACTCTTCGACGAGCTGCATGCTCCCGAACATCTGTCATGGCGAAAACGTTGTCTTCGATTCCCGGTGTAGACGACTTGTACCAATCGGATTTGACAAATCCACTCCCGATGCGATGAACTTCGCGAAAGGCGTCCAGGTGGGATACAATGACCTCGCTTGGCTCTACTCCGACCAGGGGCCCGTACTTTTGGTGAAGGTCATACACATAGAAAATGCGTTGGCCAGTCAATATCTTGTACTTGGTCACGATACCTGTGAACCTCGTGTGCCACGGTCCTGGTACCGCTGAGAGCGGGCCAGAGAACGCTTTTGCGATGACCTACATGATTGTGAGCAGAGACGACCAAAAATTGTCGATCGAAGGATGATACTCACCCATATGGCCAATAGTACTACTACCAGCAATGCCAGAGGTACAAGGCATCGAAATGTCCCAGAGGTAGCCCAAATCATGATTGCACTCGTCGTTGAGGCGCGTCTAAGAGGGCACAGTACAGAAGTATCACAGTCGAGATAGCAATTCGGAGGCGGCAGCGAGTATGCTAAGTCAATAATATCAGAATGAGTGATTGATGTTTGAGGCTCGGTTATTGCTCTAGTGCCATATTCTCAGATGTGGGGATACGCACCCCACGGCACGTCCCGAGGCTCCGGATTGCAAAGCCCACGAGGTGTCGCAATTCGTCACGACCATTAGTGCAGAAGGAAAAAGAAGAAAACTGACGGGTTCGAAACAGGGACCGCCATGCCGTAGTCTCGTCGAAGCTCCTCACGACCAATCATGACGCATGGACACCAGGAAATCCCCTTCCAAATTAGGTTAGATTAGTCCGCGCTGTCAACCCCGCAAGCTGCCAGCTGCGCGCCAGCGATCATGATCCGGTCATTGGAGAAGGGTCCACAAAAGGGAAATCATGCAAGGGGAGCCTTTGGCCTATTCAAGTTTTCCAAATTAGCTGGATTTTTCGACTTGACGTAAGATATGAAACTGGGGTGGCAACCTTCTTTGCCTCCGGCATGAAGTCTAGGCACAACGTCTAGTGAAAAGGGTGTCTTGCTGCTCTCAGTGAAGTCATTTACGTCCCGAGCCAACTGGTTTTTTCAAAATTGAAAAGGAGACTCCGAACGCAGCTGCACCATTCTCTTCCCCGCCTCAGAACGCTTACAACCAATTGTCAAGATGTTGACCAACGGCACCAACCATCGGCCCTCCCCATTGTCCCCGTCGACTATTCATATCACTACACATAATGCTTCGGGCCAGGCGACGCTTCACAGCTCGGAGAGACCCCAATGGACGGCCTTGAAGGAGCTGAAATATGCTTCTGCGTTATTGTATACAACGACAGCGATGCCGCCCACCCTAAACGACGACGCAGACATCAAGAGTCATCAGGAGGTAGTTTTACGAGGAAAAATCCCTGCTGTCTTGCCAAAGGGTACTGTCTGCCGCTTCGTGGATTTTGAGCCCAACAGCAAAGGGTTCATGCACCGAACCCAAAGCCTCGACTATGGCATTGTCATGGAAGGCGAGGTGGTGCTTGAACTCGACGACGGTAGTGAGACTCACATGACGCGCGGAGATGTTGCCATCCAGCGAGGCACCATCCACGCGTGGAGCAACCCCAATCCGACGGAGTGGGCGAGGGTCCTGTTCGTCCTGCAAGACTGTCAACCACTATTGGTGAATGGGAAGAGATTTAAAGAGGACTTGGGTGCGGCCAATGGACATGTGCCTGAGAGTGCCAATGATAAAGAATAAAGTGGGCTCACACGCGCTGTGCAGAGGACGAAATACGGACGGCCAAGAGAGCTCGTTAAGGCGTTACATTGGCGTTCGATGCCAACGTATCACTTTTGTCAATTGTAGAAGAGAACTTGGTACATCAAGACTGCTTCTAAAATTGTCCTGTTTGAGAAGTCTTGAAGAAACCCTATCGTTGCTCACTGTTTAGCTGCTATTGACATTGAACAATCACTCTTCAGCTCAAGTGGTGTCTCTGTTCATTTGCTGTTCTACTCGTGCTTGAATCAGACATTAGGATCAAGAAGACCGCAGAATATGCAGTGCCAACTAAGAATCAAGACCTCGTGTGACAACAGACTCTCATCTGCAAAAACAAATTCGATATGTTGATGGCACTGGAAGACTTCGAACACGATCCTTTTTGACTTGCTTATCTGTTTACTACAGAAATCTTCTACGAAGGTTGACTAGGCATCTTGCCAAGTTCCCTGCACCCCAAACCGTGCGCTGGCAAGATCTCCAAGTGTAGCAGATGGACTCTGCTCACACTTCGGCCTTAACAGAGCTTCCAATCTTTGGTTTGCGTATAGTCTTGTTGACGTAGTTTGTGAGGAAAGCGTCGACGTCCGTGATGAAGAATGCTGCCACCAATCCAATGCCCGTGAAGGCTAGTGTTGCCAGATACACTATCTTGAAAGCATGGGCATATGCCAATTTGGTAGCTAGAGCAAGGGCATCCAGAACTCCATCGGTCATTCCCGGCACTTCTTCCAAGGCTGCTGCAGTGCCATTAGTGATGGCGGTGAAAAGATCTGGGATACTGCTGGCCGGCAAACCCGCGCTCGAGACAGCGGGAACGATCTCCTGCGGCAGGAAGGCCGTCAGCCTGTCGCTGTAGATAGCCAGGTAGATGCTGACTGCACACATTGAGTTAGACCCACTGACACCTTTCTTTTCGAAAGGACGGTGGCTTACCCGCAACAGTTCCAAAAGTCAGTCTGGTAGAGCCAAAAAAGCCTTGGGCAACGCCAATATCGTTTGGTGGAGCCACAAGTCCAGTGATGACAATAGTTACCATCTCGATCCAACCAACTGCAAGACCGGCTAGGACTGTGAACGCAATGCCCATGTTTTCTGTTTTGTGCGTCACGGCGGCCATGGCAGTAGCAAAGACGGCGGTCATCATACTCGCAACTACCATCTGCCATTTCAAATATCCCAGAGTTCTGAATATGGGTGCAAAAATGAGCTCACCGACCGCCAATGCAATCCCTGTAGTGCAGGATAGCAAGCCGATGGTTACTTCGTTCGAAGTGAAAAGCACACTGATCTGGATGGGCCAAAATACATTGAGTGCCAGCCAGACCATCTGCATCGTAGAGCCGACAAAGATGCAAGCGGTGATGTTCGGGGTCTTGAAGAGCCTGACCGGTAGCAATGGTTGTTTCAGCGGCATGTACGTTTCGTAGATACCAAACGCCACCAAGGTGACGGTACCGACGATGAGTGAGCCAAGGACGTGTGCACTCTGCCAAGCATAAGTCCCTTGAGCCCACGTGAACCCCATGAGGACCAAGATCAAGCCACCAAAATATAGTAAAAGACCCTGGACAACAGTCAGCGCAGGTATAAGCTCTGCTTCGAACGAAGGAAAAGACTCGAAGCTCTTGCGAAGATGGCAATTGCTCACCCCGTAGTCTAGCGCCTTCACCTCTTGCCACTTAGTCAACTCGCTGTTGATCATATGGAAGTTTGGCGGAAAGTAACAGGTGGCAAAGAGGACGACAGACGCTCCTGACACCGCCACATTGAGCCAATAGACTCCTCGCCAGCCAACCGCGGTTTGGGCGATCATAGTCCTTGCAATGGCGGGGCCAAACCCCAGGGTAGGCAGGACTGCCAGCGTTATTGCAGCTTGACCCCAGTGACGGTGTTTGTTAGGTAGCAGTTCATGTATGACGACAGGATACAGCAGCCCTGCGGCACCACCAATGCCAGCGAGGACGCTACCGCCGATGAGAACGTTGATGCTATTGCCTGTGGCGCAGATGATGGAACCAATCACTCCAAACGTTTGGCCTCCCGCGAGGAAATATCGTCTGCCTAGGATATCCGAGAGACGGGCAAAGAACAAATGCAGCACCCCGGTGAAGAGCGTGTATACCAGTGAGACCAGATAGATGTTTGGAGAAGGTCCGATGTCAGCATTCATGACTGAGAGAATGCTGACGGGCAAGGCGTAGCCGATGTAGATGCTGTTTGCGAGGAGAAATGAGGCCAGGATCGAACCTAATAGTCTGGGTGAAGCCCAGTAACCTTCCAGGGTCGCTGCATCTTGACCCAGGTCGTTGCGGTGCAGTGAATCTTTCGAGTCGACTTTCTCCAGATGCTCGAGTGCATAGTGTTGAGATTCTTGCTTGGTGGTGTCTGAACCTGCCATAGTATCTGCCATTTTGGGCGACAGCTTCGCAGAGTATGCAGAAACAGCTTGAACGAATGGCAGTAGCAAAGTCTTCGGTGGTAGTGGGCGAGCGAATACGCAAGAGACAGGGAAATCATATAGTCACTGGAAGGTAACGAGCATGCTGTGCCACTCTTAGTACATTGCAGTCATGGTTACCTCCTTTTGCTCGATCATACGCAGCTGGTGTGGCAGCGAACTCGGGTATCAGTCTTCCAAGCAAAATTGTGGCTGTTCCAAGACATAATCTTCCCCATGGGGTGACGCTTCCTGTGGGACTGTCTCTGACCCAGATCGTGTTCGCTTCGGGAAACTATGGGGCGATTTTCCGTACGGATTGATTTGGTGATTGCCTCGGGAGAGCGAGTCGGGAGAGCGAGTTTCGAACAACAGCGAGTGGGTCTGGGGCTGTCTAAGCACCAATTGAGCCTAGCTGTGCGAGCGCCGTCCGGTGGATGGCGAGGTACCTCAAATCCTTAGTAAAATGGGGGGTTTTCAGGTACCTTTCCATCCACTTGCCTCCCTCGCATAATTGGCCCTTTTGGTACTTCTTTTTCAACGTCGTTGATCCATTTTGATAGAGCCCTTTGCATTCGCCTTTACCCCCTGCACGGTCGATACCTCGTGCTGACTAAGGTAACAAACCAGTGCCCATAGGCTTGGGGGGAACCGCCTACAAGCCGGGGGTGAAACCGCCCATAAGCCGGGGGGTAACTGCCCCGCTTATGGGGGGTTCCCCCTCCAGCGTGTGGGGGATAGGCACTACAACACCAGGAAAGTCTATGCAAAGCGCGAATCGAGGGTAAAGAGCACGCAAATGACCAAGGTATGTGAGCGCCTCAATTTTGATGTTTTGGTACCTCGATTATGTGGCTTTACGAGGGCTTCCCAAGTACCTTTCCATCCTACGGACAACGCTCGCACAACTAGGCTCAATTGGTGTTTAGCAGGTCGCTGTAGTACGAAGGTCGCTGCCCCGAAACATTCCCAGTTGACAGAACAAGACTAAATACAGTAAGTGGGGTTTTGCAAACCACTCAGTTTTGTCCTTGATAGGTCAACCACGATATGGGTGTCAATTTTGAAGCAGTTTCTGGCGGAATAAAATATAAACCTGAAAATCTTTTTTTATTTTTTTATTTAAATTTGGAATCGCCTGGTTAGGGCTTGGCGTTGTGTGGCGGCGCCAAGAGCGACGTGCTGGCCAATCATGTAAGCCTGTGGCTTGGCAGTGTCACGTGGGCACGTATACACTCTCCGTTGCCGCCCCGTCATCGGATCCAATCCGTGGACCATATTGAGATGATCCATGGATCGGATCCAGTATGTGGACCACCCAGGGAAGCTCTACTGATCAAACTCGAGATGGATCGTATGGAGCGTTCACGGGTGAGCCTCGATATCGACATGGTTCACGGATTGGATCCGATGAAATGCCACAAGCCATCGGATCCAATCCATGGACCATGTGGCCCCCGTGGGGACATCCTACTCGATAGAAGTCGATATCGAGATGGCCCAGAGATCGGACCCCATGATATACCACCGCCATCGGATCCAATCCGTAGACCATGTGGCCGGGTGGGATCGGGGACAGTGGTCTCGTTCCTTCGGCAGCGTGTACAGCGACTTCAGCATAGCCTCCACAGCCTACTCTGATCCAGTCTATGACCCATCCAGAGGTGTTCCGACTATATCATAGCTAACGGGCCCTTAGAGGCACTAAAATGTCCCTGTCAGGGTGGAGACGGACTACGAACATTCACCTCCTGGCGTGCAACACCATTAACAGGCAACAGCGCCAACATACACCTCGTAGATAGATATATAGATAAGCTCTATCCCACGCTCATTTGGAGAGCCCAGAGCATTCAATACATCTTAAGTTGCACCCAGTTTGACAGGGTCTGACAATGATATTGCTATCCGATGCACTATAAAGTACAATACGAGAGACGAAGAGCACAAAAGCAGTGCGAGGCCATCCTAGATACTTGTAGCCTTGTGGTATAGTTATACCACAAGGCTCCCACGCAGGCACACGAGCCTATCGACAGCCACAGTGGGTCCATGGCAGGCACCAATAGCCATCCCGTGGGCACTCGGCAGGCTCCGATGGACCTGCCAGGTTGTGCCGTAACAGTCCGTTCATCTGCCTCTTCGGCTCGAAGTTCCTCCTCTAGTAGAGATACCAATGTGCCATTATCAAACAATCAGTGGATGTATGTATAATGATTGTTGTTAAATGCTCTGGAATTGATAGAGTGCGGTTACCTGCTAGGCTACAACGCTCCTAGTAGGCTACAACATACATTCATTTAGAAGGCTGAGCACTCTTTCCAAAGCGCATTCTCTAAATTCAAGTCGTACAAGAAGTTTGACATAAGGTCATCTTCATCTCGAGATATATAGAAGCACTGCTCAACGAGAACTCCTCGTGAACCACTCAATATTTGAAATGGCGTCCACGTTTCCGCCGGAGCCGAGACTGCTCTCGATACAATAGATAGTCGGTTGATGCTTTTCTATGTAAGACGTCATAATGATACAAGGCTTTGAAGCTCATCTGGTAATACAAGTGACACAATCGTTTTAGTCCGAGAATCTTTCCTCTAGTAAGAGACTCCCGCAGAATCCGTATCTTCCGATTCTTCTGGGCGTTCCCCGGCATCGATCTCGACCAACTGGTAGCTACCACTTCGCTTTCCTTCGTCGCCGAGGCGCTTATCGAGAGCCGCCACGCAGTCTTTCAATAGGCCTTGACATGGGCAGGGTTGACCCGGCGGGTTTTGGGTTGGGTTGGGCTTTGGGGCGGGTTTTGGGCTATTATTCTTTTGACCCAAAACCCTGTAGGGTCAGGCCTTGGTTGACCCGAAAACCCGTTCGGGCGCCCAGCCCGACCCGGCCCATGTCAAGGCCTAGGCTTCAAGAAGCGATTGTTCGGTTGTTAAATCATTTGGATTAAAGAAACTCCTCTCATCAAACGTAACGTCTCGAGAGCGAATTACTCGTTGCGAATTTGGCTGCCAGATACGATAAATATTGGTGGAGTCGTATCCAACGAGATATCTAATAGTTGCGCGCTCTTGAAGCTTGTCAAGTCGAGGGATTCCATGCTTAAGTGTGTACGTCTTGCAACCGTAGACGTGTAGGTGCGACAAGTCGGGTTTAGTCTTTCGGTGCCACCGCCGTAGGTGTTGTGGACCTCTTTGAGAGCTTTCTCTGCCGCTTGCTGGCGAGGACGCGATGGGGTCTGGCAGGAGAATCCATCGCCACGGTGCGAGAGCGAACTTATGGCCCATAAGTGTGAATAGCATATCAAAGCCTCCTTTAGATTTCAGACAAAAAAACCACGTTGGGGAACTGGACAGTAAGTGGACAAGGTGATAAAGTGCGGATAGTCGTGATGATGTCTTGACGCAGGTTGCAAGGAAATCTCCCGCCGGATTTGGCGGATGGTGCCGCCGCTTTTGGAGGCGTTTTTCCCTCAGTGCCAAGGACGCGAACCCGATCTCCCCCTGCCAGATTGACTTCCTACTTGGATCGGGGCACCAACCTCGGCACCAAATTCAGCTCGCGCTACTGTCGAGTGAACAATCACTGGCTGGAGCTAGGCCGGACAACCCTCTTACTGTACCTCACGTGTGCACTAAGTGAGGGTCCCTCAATTCTATCAGTTAAAACCTTAGTGTTGCCACTGAGTTTCGTCCTCGATAGGTCAACCACGATTTGGTGTCAATTTTGGCCTGCCCCCCCAAAAAAACCTTAATTTCGGCTTTAAATCGATTTCGGCTTGACATGACAAAAGTGGTTTCTGGCTACGATGCCAAGATAGGTGCCTATAAAATGGCTAGATTGTTCGTCATTCTACTCTTTCATTAATACTCAGAGATAGATGAATAGAATCAATCATCCAACGGACACAACAGTCCATCACTTCCCCACAGCAGTCCACGTGCGTTCGTCTTGGGCGAGTTTGAACTCTCCACAATTTGCGTGCGTGTCCGAGTCGTCACCGTATACCGTCTCCCTCGTTTGACCCTCCTTCACGCCGATTATAATGAATGCTTCTAATCAGGAAGCTGGGCAAGGCCCGAAGGTAATCCCTACAATCCAAGAGGTGGAAAGTTGGAACGATGAGCAATTACTTGAATGGATCCAGCGAACACAACCAGACCTTCTCCGCAATTACATGGACTTTTTGACGTTCAAAGCGAAGAGAATCAATGGCTCCACCTTCTTGGAGTATGCTGAGGATCCAGACATCATGGAAACCCATCTGCGCGTTGGAGTCCGTATTGGTCTTGCGTCTCTTGCACTTGAAGTCATCCTACAGTGTAAAAAAGGTAATAACGCCTTCAACGTACCATATGACAGCCAGCTAACGTCGTTGTAGGGGGTGGGAATGAAGACGAAATGACGCAATTGGCCGCCGAAGCGAACAAGCGAAGAAAGGCCATCAAGGATATGATTACACAGATGAACGACTCTTCTGGCCAGCATTCCAATTTCGTCGATCCTCTTCCTGAAGCTATCGATAAACTTTCCGACCCCACATCAAATTACACGTTCGACTTCCCATATATCGGCACTATGCCAGAACGATTCAAAGAGCCCGGTATAGCTAAAGGAAAGTGGCTATATATGGGGAGGAGGATATTCAAATCCCTCCTCCGCAGGATAAATAATACGCAAGAGAGGTACTGGCTTCGTGGAACCCAGGACTTAGGGAGGCCTCACCTTCTAGCCGCCCTCGTCTGCTACTTGGCTGCTCAAAATGAACGGGTCGTCTATCTACCGGATTGCCAGGCGTTGTTCGATGACCCTGTTCCCTACGTCAGAACAGCAATGCTGTTCGCCTGGGCCAACGATTTCACCACCCAGAAGACGATCATGGGCCTACACACCCAAGACCAGATCCGGATATTCTTAAAGTCCCAAAAAGACGTCATATTTGTCGTTGATCAGATGAATGCTCTCGAGAGTAGTGGCTTTGGAGATGGGGAGACGGCCCGACAGCTGCGTCGGTGGGTGATCGGTTTCACCTTTTCCAATAAAGCAATCTTCAATTGCCTTGAAGATTCTACGGACGACCTTGAAGAGCTCAACCATCAGGACCCGAATAGAATGGTATGGGTCCACCCCCGTTTCACTGCGGTAAGTGGCGTCAAATTAGTTGTCACAACGAGGTTTCTAACTTGTTTAGACGGAAATTACGGAGTGGTGGGAAGCAGCATGAAGATATTAAGATATCAGAGTATTTCCGGGAGACGCAACAGGTGCGGCACTCAGCTTGCTGTGCCGGCCCGTGCCAAAAGATTAGCTGCACTTCGCCGTCTTGGATGTCTTCACCAGATTCAAGATACAGAATCCCGGCATCGACGGTGCAGCATTCTTCATCAACATTCATCCTTCTTCCTATATGAGGGTTCTAGGTCAGGTGGTTTAATCAGATATGTTCAAGTAATCATCAGGTTCTAGATATAAGACGTAGCACGAAGAGAGTAATGCTATTCGCACTCCTGGGACGAGAATAAAGGATCGCGAGGTCCCTTGGTGCGTGATCGTGACACCAACGTTCATCTTGCAACATTCCTCATCAACATTCTTCCTCAACTGAGGATGCTCGATTTTGACGATCATCTTCCTAGGGCTTTTGCAAGTCTAGAATAATCGCCAGAGGAGCCCATCACGCGGATTCATCTTTGCAAGGCGGTACTAGGAGACGCACTGACGCTGACACCCTCAGGACCCTGGTCAAGGCGTAGATGATGGAGGGATCAGCTGAGCCTGCACGTTGTGCTGCCGGTGAAGCCAAATGTGCTATGGAGGAATTGAAGACATGAAGGGGGCTGTTAGGGATAGGCTCGGTAGGGGGCTAGAACGAGGTCGAAAGGATACCTATCTATACAGGTGCAGAGGCGGCATCGACTTTCACACTTGGAAGTCGAATAGGGGTACCCTGCGTAACGTATGCTATATACATGCCTTGGCATGGGGTCTTGGCGCTCCATGACAGGGGCCGTAACTGGCTAACCGGCTGCGTCAAGGGTGCAGAGGCCGTAAGGATCAGGGATTGGGAGGTGATCAGGGTGCACTGAGAGAGGCGAGGCAAATTTTGAAGGAAGCTAGTGGAGAATCGAAGGGTGGCCGGTGTGGCAGAGAGGATTCAGGTGGTGTCGTGCTTCACACGACTGGTGCGTCAGCCCGATGGAGGTGAGAAGGAAAACAGGCTGAAGGAAGAGAGGATTAGAGGATGAGAAGGGGGTATCTTATAGCGATATCAAAAGCGGTGGCGCGCCCAGCCTGCGATCATACATGAAAGGGTAGGGCCGCCTCAACCGGAGGCTCATTTCTCGGCAACAAGTTTACCTCTGCAGTTATTGAGAACAACTCGCTCACTCCATCACCGCCCGCAAGCTTCATCGTAATCATAGATCGCTCAGAACAACCACACTTTTTGTAATCAATCGGAAAAGGGAAATACGAATTTGCTGCAGTAGCTATCGGCATTAGGACTAGGACCGTCTGAATGTGTGGCCTTTCCACGGCCCTAGCTTCTCTGCACATTTTTGGCTTCGGGACGTACGTGGCGTACACACTCTAGTTGAGGACCTTCTCATCATCAGGAAACGATGGCACGCCCACCTTGGACGCATCAAACAGGGCGCCTCGCACCAGGAGTTTCTCTTTCAAAATATCATACGGAACGCCCTGGACAGCCATGCCCTGTCTGATGACGTAGTCGGAGACCATCCTGCGAGCGTCGCAGATATACAGCATGCGTGGGAAGTGGTTGTTGTCGGGTAACTCGTCGAGCGGGTAGCCGAAACGTTGCCATTCCTCGTGGAATGAAAGCTAACACCAATAGTAATCAGCCGGCCGACATTGCCTTTAAAAAAAAAAAAGGTAGTGATTCATCGGTCGTGTAAAAGCAGAGCAAGCCCTTGGTGAAGAGAGTGGCTATTTCCAGGATATCCCTGCGCTTTTCTGGAGAGCCATCGGCCCATCCATCGTTCATCCCGACCAGGTCTAGATGTAGCGGTGATTCACACCCGTCGACATCGGCTTTCCTACCTGGAATCCGAACAATCGGTGTGGAAAGCCTGCCTCCGGCCTGCGCATGCCTTCTGTACAATTCATAATGACTTGGGTCATAGCCTTCAGGCTTGTATATTGGCAGTTGATTGTCTTTGTTGTCCGTCAACGGAAGTTGAAAGGAAAATGCCATGAGATGATTATCACCTTGTCTTGGTGTGCCAAACGGCTCATCGGAAATTCCATAGAGCAGACCGCTGGATGGGTCGCCTGGTGTTCGGTACGGATCAACTGGGACTTGGATCTGGCTGTAAATGGTTTCGTGGCGCACTCTTGTCAGACTTTCGCCATAGACAGAACTTGCTTCCCTCCCGTACGTGGTTGATATTCCCGTAGCGGCCAGGAGGTCACCCTCGCAAGTGGCGTCGATGAAAACCTTTGAAAAAGAAGAATGTCAGAGATAGATCCAAAACAGGTATGTTGCGTATTTATCTTTGCCAAGGCATGGATTCCGTTTGACAACGATACTTTGGTCACTTTGACGTCGCTCTTGTCGACAGTTTTACCCCTTGCCAGGGACGCCTGCGCCAGTCAGAAGCAGAATATCAACGGCTAAAACGGGTCCTGGACTGTCGTTTTCTTACCTTGATGATTTGAATATTAGGGGACTCTGCCAACCAATCTTTAATATTACTCTCAGCCACTCTGGACTCAAACTGCCAGACTGATGGATCTTTGATGTCCTTCTTAACCACCGTCTCCAAGCGACCATAAATAGCGCTGGTACGGCGGCGTAGTTCTAGACCGGCGTCTCCGACGCTCGGGCTATTCTGAAACCCGGCCTGGCGATCAATATCCATAGCGCCTAGGCCATTGACTTGAACACCGCCTGTGTTCGTCACCAGTGGTTAGCTGGTTAAAAATTACAGGATCATTAGGACAGACGGCAGCTTACCAATATGCTCATCAGACGGCACAAGAAGAACCTTATGTCCGAGCTTTGCACTTTCGACAGCAGTGCCGGCAGCACCAGGAGTTCCTCCATAAATAAGGACGTCACAGTCAATCTCCGTCATGGTGTCTATAGAACCTTGGAAATGCGTCCGTCAACGGTCCGGCTAAGTACCAAAGTGCCGAGTTGTGTTCGAAACGACACTCGTATCTCGTTGGACTAGGGAACCCAGATCGATGGCAGGAGAATTATATTTCAAGTATTCAGCTTCCGTGGTGTGCGTCTTGCAGAGTTGTACCCATGATGGGCAGCGAGCGACCGGCATATTGTAATATAGACCGGCCGGTTCGATCGGCGTCCCCAGACTTCACCCCACAACACTCGAAAACTTGGGACTTAGTAGTATAAAGCACTGTTCGAACCGAAAGAATAACTACTGCCATCACATTGATATTGTCCCTGCAGTTCTTTCCTTTACCTTGCGCAATCCTGACAATGGCTCGCAAATCTGTCTTCGTGGGCCGACAGGCATGGGCATCGGCTACTCCCAGACTTCTGTTTATCTGCGTCGTCTATTCCATGGGCAGTATTTTTTTTGGTGTGTCCAAAAGGTTTTGCTGTGATTGAGCGACTGCTAACCCTGGGAAGGATAGTCAGTATAACATCCGACGCTTCCCAGCTATCCTTCTCATCCGTTGAATAGTGACGGAGCCTCCTTCAGAAGCGTCCAAGTCTTTCAGCCGTATGCAAAACAATTCGGTCACTATGATGAAAAGTTGGGGTTCTATGCCTTGTCACCTACAACCGCCTCGTTGATAAACAGGTATGACCATTCCATTTTGAGCAAGATGCGGCCACACTGAAGATATGGTTCATAGCTTACCACAAACTGGTAAATTGACGGGAACTCTGGCTGTCGCCCCTTGTTGTCTTGTTGGGTCATAAACGAGCAATGCTCATCACCTGCATCATCCAAGTTGTTGGTGTCATAAGTAAGTGGTGCACGACATGTCGGAGGCTTTCCAGTCATGCTCATACAATGTGGAGTCCAATGCACCAGTAAACGTCCGACCCAGTTTACCGTCGGCCGCATCATTATATATACAGCTGTCAGGTTGGTTGAGAACGTGAAGACGTTGCAAATGCCGTTCCACGACTTGAGGTGGGTGCAGTAGTCGAGGACACCGCCACAACAATGCGCATAACTCCATGGCAAGAACTCTTCAACAAGAGAAGCATAAGGCGCACAATACAATGGAGTGGATTCTCCATCCCCAATAAATATGTATGGCTAACAGGTTCCAGGATTGCTGCGGTAATGTTAGCTCTTCATATGGGAACAGGACAATCTTTTAGCAGCGCATATGGACCTACATTTTACAAGACGGTCGGACTAAGCTCCAAGGCATTCCTCTACACGGTTAGTAAATAAGAATATCAGGCTCCTGGGTAAGATTCTTGCTGACAACGACAAGGTCCTCGGTAGTGTTGTCCCCATTGCCACGTGCCTGGCTGGGATGATTTGCCTAGACATTTGGACACCGAAAAGTGAGCTTTTGCTCCTGCCGCCTTCACCACTGCAGCTGAAGTTGAGACCGCTGCATTAAGAGAGAAAACGATGGCATTTGCAGTAAGTTTCCCCCCGAGATCGCAAGACCAATCAACTTTCTGACTGCAAATTGATTTCGACTGCTGCGAATGTCGTTGTCGGCTTTACCGTTTGTTTTCTTCATTTCATACTTACATTCTCCATCATATGCAAATCTGGGTTCGAAGACAGGGTTTGTCTTTGGAGGAATAACTGCATTGGGAGTAGTATTGGTTGCAGTCATGGCCACAGGCGGTGTTGAAGCTGAAGCGGCCGGCATCTCAGTTGCAACGGACGAACATGTCGAAGATGTCGCGGTAGCTCAGACAGCTCGGGAACCCAAGATCGCTTATAGGCCTTGACATGAGCCGGGTCGGGCTGGGTTTTCACCCCGTGGCCCGCCCGAACGGGTTTTCGGGCATGCCTATCCTAGGTTTATGAAGTGTCATAGTTTCGAGAAATGAGCACAATGTCGGTCTGATCCGAACGGACTCTCCTTGAATAAATATTTCCTTCAATGCACTGACTAGTACCGGCGCGCCCCAGGAATATGACACAGCACAGCACCTAGGTGAACCCCGGAGCTCTGTATGGCGCATGACGTACCGCAAATCCTTGGTGATAGCCCCCGTCTCAAGATGAAGCAAACGTATCTCAGTACGCAATGTCTTGAAACCAGAGTATTTGGGCTATTGCTCCGCATTACTATCCTATGCCTTAGACTGTGCCATGATCTCGGGCATTGAATACAAACGTTGGTTGAAGGAGCGCAGCTCTTGAGATGTTTTGACGGCCGTTCTAGTGAAAATGACAAAGGTAGAATGGGTGCGAACGTCGTCCTACCAAGGCAGTTCAAAGCGGCAATCGAGAAGACAACTTTGGCCAATCCACTTGACTTATGTCGACAGGAGGATTTGAGGTACTTCGAGAATAGCAGGAAGATAGGACGATTCTTTGAAAAGAAGGCCGTCTGAGGTTATGCAGGATAAATATTTCAGGAAGATGAGCATTCGCTGGCGTGAGGCTGCGGTCGCCCCTATCGATTCATCTGTGAGGTCGTTGACTGGGAAATCTGCCTCCGGTTTAGCCGGCATCTCCTTTGAGGAATAGCTCCGGTCTTGGCTGCCTGCCGCTTTTGCCGTCTCTCTATAGGAACCGCCCTCTCATTCTCCTCAACGTCGACCTTTCCCTCCATCCTATTCTCTCCTATCTTACCCCCTGGCACTTTCCCCTTGCTTCACAGGGCACAGTCAAAGCCCGCGCTTTCAGGCTTCCCAACTCTCCCCTTCTCCGCCTCCCTCTGCCCGCCTGCATCGGAGCGACCCCTCCAATCGTCGACCCTCCCTGCGTTATGATCTCGACTCGAGGAGTTTCGGCCCTCCGATACCACCATTTCTGCCTCACGACTTCGATCCTACTTGCCACGCAATGTGTTGACGTGGCCCACCGTTTTCGACGTGCCAGCCGAACTCGCCGTAGGCGTGTGACTGATCGCAAAGGATCGAACGGCACATCATATGGCTGTCTCTTTCTGTCAAATCCCTACCATCGTCTCAGCTGATAGGGAGCTGGATGAATCCCTGGTCCGTCACGGCGTTTCGGCGTCATCTCGCACCCTGGTGCCAGGCGCAGGCAGCATAATGCCGGTATTGCGGGGATTGTGAAGCCGGCAGTGGAGAAATCTGGCTGTGTACTTTTGGGGGGAGTTGGAGAGAGAGGCCCGCCGTTGGACGTCTATTAAAGGGGCGTCATCTCTTCGGCCTTGGCTTCTATCTCGCCGGTTCACATCCCCAATACTCTCGTCAGCCATTTGGGTACAATCACATAGCCTAACTAACGTGCGAATCTGAAGAAAACTTAAAAAATCACGAGCATTAAAAGGAGGCCGATGCTTACTTCTTGAAAGTTGTTACCGAAGGGCCCATGACCATAAGAATGTTTTGCCACATACTACTGATGCATTCCCTCAGACCAGGCGCAATAAGGTCCTTTGAATGTCTCCTTTTCATCAACAACTTTTCCATTCATTATGAAGACTGTTCCCTCGCCGTTGATTTTCCCCTCCTCATAGAGCTTGATGACGGCTTTGATATTGATGTGCTGTCGATCGGGTTGATAGTGAGGGTTATTGGGATCCAAGAAGCCACGGAGTTCTTGGAGGCGCTTCTGCACATCAAAAGGTTCGACCCACGGGATTCCGGGGGAAAATTTAATTGTCGACTCCATTATTAAGAATCTTGCGCTCACAGCGGGTGTCGACTTGGCAGATACGTTTTGTCACGTGGTGGACGAAATCGGCCCTCGGAGATCTCCGCCAGGAGAAAGATTCGAAGATCGCGACGCCTTTGTTCTAGCGTTGGGCCCGACAGTACAACGCAATAGTAAGACCTTCAAGGCCATCCCTCAGAGAGCCGAGAAGTGGGCACTACAGCATGGATCACCATTCGCGCCGCAAAGTACGAGCTAATACATTTCTCGAGAGATCTCAGAGCCCTCCCTTGCAGCCCGCACCTATTCTATCGGTACATTGAGGCCTCCTTTGGTTGTTCCAGCTACATAATAAGGACTACAAATCGTAGTGCAACAGATTGTAGTCGAGGGGATCCAAAAACGCAACCAGGACCGAGACATGTTTCCCCACCTCCAAGCCGGACTGCTACGATCCGTAGTACTACAATTTTGTCGTGCCCTCCGAAGGCGCGGAGCGCTTGCCTCGAGTCGGGGGTAACGAGACGATGGATTCACACCTTGTCGTGGTGTCTGATGTTAGTAGCTGCGCTCGCGAAGTGAAGATGAGATGAATCTCAGACAGTGCTCCGAACTAGTCGATCATATCGGTATTTGGCGGATACCGACACCATCGTTGTCGATATCACCGATCCCGGATATCGTTTCCGTGGTGCATGCGGCCCCATAACGTGTCACGTGATTACCAGCCACCCTTAATCCGGAAAATCTATAGTCCGAAAATTCCTAAATCCTCTGCCCTCATTGGCTGAAATCCCGTACTGCGCATTCAACCCATCGGATCCAGTCTATGGACCATCCGGGGATGGGTAGAATTGCCGCCTTTGTCTGCCAGACCCCCCTGATCGGATCCATCGTAAACGGAAACCAATCGACAGCGACAGCGAGGTCAGTAACGCCATAGTTGGGAATGACGGAATACTCAGTTAGGAAAGCCGACTATAATATCGGCGATATATTTAGTAAATACCGATACATTGGGCTCAGATATCGGCGATGAGATCGATATTTGCCAGCTCGGAATACTGCTCCGCTCGCACTAGAACTGTTGAACAAAGGGGTATTGTGTATAGGCTCCACAGCTGAAACACTGGTGAGAGGTTTCCATGGACGACGACGTTACTGATGGTTGCTCTGCGTAACGACGTAGTATTCGCACGTCTATAAAAGAAGCCTCAATACCTCGACAAGTAGATAGAGAAGGGAGCATTCAATACATCTCGAGTTGCACCCAGCTTGACAAGAACCTATTCGTTTACGGCGAATGGCGAGTGTTTGGCCATTTCCGC